AAGGATCGTGTTAAGCGTAATTTAAACTGCACAAGGGTAAACGGAACAGTCGCAAGGTACGGGCGGGTCCAAGGGCAACAGCAAGCTCAATCTGGCCCAGCAGTGATTGTGAGTCCACCATCGCCAGTGGGAGCTGGTGTACAAACATTACGCCATTACGCCATTAAGTATTCTGCGATGGTGCCATGAAGATAGGTCTAAGAGTTTAAGCCTATTAAATAATTACCAATGTTTCCAATCAAATTAGTTTAAATGGAAACAAAATTAGTACTTTTTCAGCTAAACCTAAGCAAAAAATCAGCTATGCTTTAGCTACTATATACTATACCCACCTACTATAACAGATTGATTTGTAGCAAATTAAATTGAATCATTTAAAACCATAGAAGCCGCAGGGCCAATCCAGCCCATAATTGGCAAAGGAAAACTTCGATTGAAGAGATATTTTCGCGGACAATAATACACGAGATGTAGCAGCTATTTTTCTGTTCTCAGGTTTCTAATTTCGTACGATAATTAAGTACTGGAACATGGGCCACACGATATACGTAGTACTGCATGCATTGAACGTCTGTTGAAGGCTCAATTATGAAGAATTTTAAGCCGCAAGAACTTGACTGCATTGATTCTTTATTCTGCTGGGGATGATCAGAAATGCATACATACATACATACATACATACATATGTACATATGTACATATGTACATATGTATTAACATGCATAGGTGCAAATGATGCTTGATGCATCGAATGCGTCGCACATGGAAGCTCCTCGAGTCGCACATCCTGTTGATGTTCGGTGGCTGTCATTGCTTTGAGGCGCTTGGGCCATTTACCTCGTCTCTCCACCTGCTGTTCCCTGCTGACCCCTGCTGTCAACCGTGCTGCCCCGTGCCCGTGCTGCTCCTCCATTCGAATTCTCTCCGCCACGGGCAGGCAACCCCCCCAGGGCTCTATGCTGTTCATGCTGTCTGCTCTCCTGCCCTATGGCTTAATGGGGATTTGATGTTTTCGGTCAAGTGTCAAGGATTCCCAGCGTTGCACTGACGACGGGGACGGGGACGGGGACCAGGACGAGCAGCAGGTACAGACTCGAATGAATCAACCTAACCATTCGTTTCGTCAATCGAGATGTGTTCGTGTGTGTTTGTGTGTGTGTGTATCTGCAACTGCGGATGATGCCACATGATTCCATGATGATGATGAGTGGCTTGTCTTTAAGGGTTAAATAAAGTCGGCAGCATTGTGTTTGCCCTTCAATCGGTGCTACATATCGGATATCGGGCTGCATGTACATACATATGCAAATTGTGTCTGGCAATTTGTTCAACTCAATAAATATGGCTATGTGGCTCCACATCCGCACAGCCTCCTGCTCCTGCTCCGGCTCCGGCTCAGTAGGGCCCCCCAAAAAAAAACCCAAACTAGCAAAAGAATATTGAGAAACTCCTCCCAACCCTAAAAACTATAAAAGTGATTTATTTGATGTCACAGAAAAGCAGTCATGCATAAATATTTAGCATAACCCCCAGCGCCCAGTACCCACCCCCCCTCAACCAGCCTGCAAAACCAAATCCAACTCCGGTTGCAGCTCCGACTACCGACCACCGACTACGGGACTAGCGACTCCTCCGAGGAGATATTTAAATCAGACAAGAGGGAGAGACAAAGGCAGCCCCGGGTAGGTGCCCGAGGAGTAGACCAAATATATGCTTTATAACTGTGTGTAAGCCGTAAGCAGACGGCAATCTGAATCCAAATCTGAAAGCCTCTGTCCGTCCTTTTTTTTATTGGCAGGGACAGTTCGGGCAGGGGCAGGGGCAGGGGCCGCAGGGACGCTGGATGGCGGCACATTATAGATACACTCGGACACACGCCTACTTCAAAATGCTGGCTCAATGCTCAAGGATGCGGCAGATGCGGAGAAGCAGGAGCCAGGAGCCAGGAGCACCCCAAACAAGGCACATAAAAAGCCATAAGCATCCTGCAGCTGAAGTGTCCTGCTGGCGAGCGAACCAACCAAAAAAAAACGAGAAGGAACGTGCGAGTCGCTTCTGGGGACGCGACTCTATACCCGTACTCAGTCAGTATATACATTTTTGATCTTATGATTTTTTAGAATTTTAGAAAAAAAAAAATTTTACATTTTACATTTTTTTGCTACATCTGATATCTACATCTACATCTACAATGTATATTCTACATCTAACATGTAGATTGTACAATGTACATGCATTTCTCCTCCGCTAGGGGTTGCTCGCGCACTGAACGCGGCAGAGTGTGCGAGCGAGAAGGAAAATGAGTTTCGTTGCGGTCGGGGGGGGGACAGGGGAAGCAACTGAAAATTAATTTCTTCATTCTGGCTATAATTATGATCCGATCTGATTCAGATTCGGCAGTCTGGTAGGTATGGGCATTTTCTACGATACTGCGTTTTTAGTTTTATCTTTAAAATGTGCCTGCCACAGATTTTCGTTCTTTGTGGGGGCGGAAGGGGGCGGGGCAAAATTTTGAAATACACTTGTAGCAGTGTGTATCACATGGGAAAACAAATTTGGTTGCCCTAGCTCTTATAGCCAGTGAGCGCCCCACCAAGACGGACAGACAGACAGACGGACAGAGCAGAGGACAGACAGACATGGCTCTATCGACTCGGCTATTGATGCTGATCAAGAATATAACTTTATGGGGTCGGAAACGTTTCCTTCTCTGCGTTACACACATCCACTTTTACCACAAATCTAATATACCCCTTAACTCTTTTTTGAGTACGGGTATAAAAAGAAAAACACACAACTCTTTTTCCCCCCAAAATACCCTTACACTCAGCCTGACACAGGGTGCGCCCAATTAGGGCCAAAAGTTTGATCTCGTTCTATCGTCCTGCCGAAGGGTAATCATTTCTGACCGATACTTAATCGAAAATCAGCCACAAAGGCTGGTTCCTCAGTCGGTTCCTTAGTCGAACTAAATTCGCTTTTGAGTCTCTTAGCATACAAACAAAACACCTCTTAAATACCTCTAAAATCTCTTTTATTTCGACCAAAATTCCCAGCTGAATGCAGCTGCTTTAATGTCTGTGTAGAGATCCCCCTGGGACTTGACTGTTGGTTGCTTGGTGGCCAGTGTATTCGGATCTTCGCCTTTACAGCGAAGTTCCATTCCCTCTTGTTCTTTTCTTCGTTTGGGGCCAAATCAAATATGCGCAAATAAATAAAAATGAAAATTCAGGATGAACAGAAAAGAAAAAAAAAAAAAAAAAATGAATTTCTTCTTTAACTGTTGATGCCGATAAGCATTAGCGGGGGCAGGCAGCGGCAGGGAGAGACAGAGAGAGAGAGAGAGAGAGAGAGAGAGAAAGATGAGCCATTGGCATGGAGCTAAATCTCAAGGTAAGCTCCGGGGCAAAAAGAAAACACTTTGCGGCATTTTTATAGTTGTTTGATATATTCATTGAAATTGGTTGGCACACCCACGGCTGCTCGCCCCCCCCCTCACCACTCTCCTCGGCGAGTGTTCCATGTGTATTGAAATATTTATGAATCAATATACGTAACAAAAAACATAAGTATTCCCCTCTTCTCTCGATTGGCCAAAGGATCTGCTTAGACCTGCCTCCGTCCTGTCCCGTGTCCCTCTGTGTGTCATCTGTGGCATCTGTCCGGAATCCGAAATCCGGCATCCGGAATCTGGAATCCGGAATGGGATCCCCGGGCCAGCCAGCAGTAAGTGAGTGTTTGGCTAAGCAATTGTTTATGTGAAGTTGAAGTTGTCGCATTGGGAGCTGCTGGCAAGGACGGACAGCGGCAAAGTCCTCACATAGTTCAAGGATAGTGGGGCTGAGGGGCATGATAGGGAATGCTGCTGGTTCGGTTACCCACATAATTGGCTGGGACGCGTCTCAAGTGCTTCGAGTTCCATTGCAGGGATTATTCGGTACATGAGTTAGGGATAATCTACATCTTTCCAGCATTGAGACAGGCCGTAATTAGAGGAGGAACTTAATTTATATATTCCTCAGATAGATGGGTAGATAGGTGGCTTAAATCAGGACTAAAGGGTACCATAACTTGTACATAAATATATAAATTAATTGTTTAATGAGGATTGTGGCTTGGCAGTCGCCAGACAAAGTTTGTGCCCCAAAATGTGGTGCGTTTCTTTTCCGCACAATATGCAAGGCTACAATCAGAGTAAAAATATACAAGCTCAAATTAAGTGAAATTAAGTAGAACTCAATGAATGCAAACTTTAATATAATTACATAAAATAAATATATGTAAAATATTACATGTATAGGAAATATATTTTGATTCCAAATATAAAAGTATTTAGTTTATTTTAATTATTTACCAATTTACTTTATTTTATATTTATAAATATAATATCATAAAATAATATAATATAATATAATATAATATAATATAATATAATATAATATAATATAATATAACATATAAATATAGTATATTTAATTTTAATTAATAATAAAATAATATATGAATATATATATATAATTTATTTAATTTATATAAGACATAGGCTTATTTTTATTTATTCTATATTTAGAACAAAGTATTTTGTATGCACAGCATATTTAATCTACAGATAAAAAAACACTAACATATATTTTAATTTTTAATTTGTTTAATTAATAAATATATTTATATTTGAATCAAATATTTTCGCATTGAAAGCACTCTCCAAGCAAACCTGCGGCTAAACATTTGTTTATCTCAGTGTAAATATTACACCGTACATTTCTGCGCGTATTTTCACGGCATTTATGTTTTGCTTGTGGATCTTAGCTGTTTATCGTTTCGATTTTTGTTCAGTGCCCAGCAGGCAGTACAAATTCAGTCTTAGTCAGCTACAACTGGAATGTTAAAGCCTGTGAAATTTCCCAAAACAAAACACACTGATCAATTAATGCTGAAACAAAGACTAAAGCTACTAACTGATTGTGCCTTCAATTTGGTGGTTTTTTTTGTTCCGATAGAATGTCTACAATGCGCAGTGACACGGAGGAGGGTACGACGAGCGAAGCGTACCAAGATGAACCCGACCTTAAGCAGGAGTCACTCACCATAGATGGTCACCACGTGCCCCATTACATATTGCCCATTCGCGGCGATGGCAATTGTCTATTTCGTGCAATTTCATTTATTTTATACGGCTCACAACTACTCCATAAAACGGTGCGGCAGAGTATAGTGCGGCAGGTGGTGGGCAACTGGAGGGAGTTAGAGGTTCTCACCAGCAACGAACGAGGGGACAACTACAGCTGTCTCCACGCCTACACTACTGAAATGATGACCGATGGCACATTTGGCGGACTCTGCGAACTCTCGGCGGCCGGCGACTTGTTTCGCATTCATTTCGAAGTGTACTCTGGTGGGAAATGTCTTGCCAAAGTGGGCGAGCCAAAGAATCGTGTGAGGCGACTGCGGTTCAGCGGCAATCTAAGCTTTGGCCATTTTGAGGTGTTGCTGCCGAAACGGTACAGCCAATGTGCCTCGCTCATCATGAAGAATGGCGCCGAAAAGTTCAATTTTTGCGTTTTCAGTGGAGCGACCAGATATCCCGAGAACGGACACCAGCCGCGCTCAGAAGTGATTCGTGGCCGGGGCTTTCGACTGCGCATTGAGCCCCATTATCTGGGGCCAACCATACAAATTTGCTGCAAAGATCATTTATCAATTGTGAAGCCGGAGCTGCCCTCGCCGCATGAGGTGCGCCAGCGATTGGCAAAAAATTTAATAGCTAACAATCGGCCAGGCCAACGGACCCCGCAAATAATGCAACGCAACGCGATCATCGCTGAGATTATTCAACGAAATTCACACATCTTCCGCCACGCGCTGCCGCAGTTTCTGTCCAGATTTAATTTTCGCAGCGCCCGCCCTGGATAACTTAATGCTGTAACTGTTTTAATTAAAGACGCCCGCCCCGCCCCAGATGCCCCCAGACGCCCCAAAGACCTTCCCATACAGCTGCCTGGTAAGTTGCTCCACTTTGGAATTAGGCTCAACGAATTTCGTTATTTTCTTCTACGTTTCTTTTTTAGTTTTTTTTTTTTCATTTTCATTTTATTGTTGTTGCCTCACATCAGCTGGCAGCACAACATTTGAATCATTTTCAAAATATGCAGCACTGAAGAAAACGGAAGTCAAAGAGTGCAAGAATACAACGACAACAATCACGTTAACCCTTAGAGTATGTGTATGCCCCACCACCGCACCACCCCACCACCCTACCATAATATGTGGCAACTCTGCAGGCCACAAGAGGAGAGGCGAACAGGCAAATGCTCTATTCCAAATTCATCGTCGGCGATCGTGTAGCAACTTCACATCAAGTTACCGCTCTGGCACAAGCCTCAATGATTCTGGCATCTTTTGGGCGCAGAATAAAATATATCTTAATAAATCCATTAGCCATAATCCATGATCCAAATGTTTGCTGCGTTGTATGTGTCTGTTATTAATTCTGTTAGTTCCAGGATTCCCTATTGAGAGACTCCTTGGGCCATTGAGTGTTAGGGTATGCAAAAGGAAGAGGCAAAAGGCCACGACACCAAGAGACTGAGACTCTGAGGCTGAGACTCTGAGACTCTGAGACTGAGGCATGAACAGCGCGCATCGTTAGTCTACCCTCTCCCACTCTCTCACTCACTCTCTCTCTCTCTCTCTTGCTCGCTCTCAGTCTCGCTGTGTGGAGTCCTGGGCGATGGCTGCTCCTTGGCTTGGGCCCGGCCCGGCCCGGCTCGGCCCGACTGTGACTGTCATGTGCCACAAACCCACTAAACTAATGAAAAATGTGAAGCGACGGCACAAAAGGAAGCACAATTTTTGTACACACACACACACACATACAGACACTCAGAGGGTGAGTGCAGCAAGGGGAGGGGAGTAGTTGCCTCCTTATATGCAACAACAAAAAGAGTAGAGAAGCGCAGAGCAAAATGGTAGAAAGGAGCAGAGGAGCAACACAAAGAAATGTTAATTCCGTAATACTTTAAATGCGGCAGGCATCGAATGACATTTGCACTTTTGGCTGCCACTGTGCGCACAGTGGGACGCAGCAGTGTACAGACCAGGCCAGTACCAGTACCAGCACCAGCACCAGAAAGCATTCCAAGAGACCAACAGACCGATTCCGATTCTCGACCGAAGCGATGTTATTCGTATGTTTGCCGTACGTGATGGCCAAGTGAAAGCGTTTCCCACCTCTTTCCCTCCTCTGTCCACATCACACACAGCACACCATCCGCTCCGCTCCGCTCTGCTTCGCCTGTCCAATCTCTGCCAAAGGTATGCATGTGTCCCTTTGCCACCCCTCACCCCGCACTCCACACCCCACTCTCTCGTGCATGTGTGAGTTCTAATATGTAAGGGTATTTGTGGGCTGCAGGAGCAGCAAAAAAATAAAAGGAAACAACAACAAAAGGTGCAAAAACGGGCACAAGAATTGCAAAAGGTGGGGCCAAGGTGCATTGGCAGTGGCAGGGCGTTGTGGCAAGGTGGCAGCTGGGTGCGGAGCTGACCGCACTGGCCAAAACAACAAGCAACAGAACACAGTACAGAACAAAGTGCAGAGCGGGTCGGGTCGGGTCGGGTAGGGTAGGGTCGTATCGGGTTGGGACGCGGCTGGTAAGAAATGGACAAAAAAAAAAAAAAAGAAAAAAGAAAAGGACACATGACACGAACAAACATCAGCAGCAGAGCAGGCACTGCACAGAGTGGAGCTCGTGACACGATATAATTGTCTGAAAATATAAAATTATAATTATAATAATAATTATATTATATTTATTTAATTATATATTAGGTATATTATATATTATTTATTATATTATAATTATAAATATAAAAACTCACTGTTGTGATATTTTCTGCTGCTAGAAGGAGCCTCCTGCTAATGGAAGATACGCTGAAGAGCTTCGCCTATTAAAAAGTGAATGTTCCCCCATGTACTTTCGTTCTTTAGAGCTCTCCCTCTTTATAACGAAGGGGATTTTGCTCATTTTTGTTCGCTTAATAAGAGGACATTCCAACGAACATTCACCTACTATTAAAAGTGTTCCATTTGAAGTGCTTTGGGCATTATTAAATATATTAAAATTAAGCTTTCTTTTCTTGGATAAATGGTGTTGGGTAGCCAAAACATGATCTTATTTTGATTTGAATTATGTAAAGTTATCTGCCTATCTGGTGACTGCTCACTTGACCATCTCTGTGCCATAAATGGATGATGAAAACGATGGAGGGTGTGAGGTGTGAGAAAACCTCGTACCTGGGCCTGGGTTTGGGCTTGGGTTTTGGGCATGGGCATGGGCATGGGCTTGGGTTTGGGCCTGTTCCTGGGTCAGTTCGCACGTTCATTTGCGCGCTCGTTTGCTCTTTAACAAATGTGCGCTCCTTTTCATTACGTATGACAGCAAATAGTACAATGGAATATGGAATATGACATGCAGGCGATAAAGTTATGCCGGAGACACACCAAAAAAGAGACAGAGAGGGAGACACACACACAGAATGAGAGGAGGGCAGGCTGAAAGGTGAGCAAATGGGTGTTAGTGTGCCACTTTGCCACAGCCGCACACACACACACACACACAAACAAAGCGAGAAAGGGGAGCAACACCTTAACTGGAGGAAAGCTGAAGGAAAGGCAAGGAAAGGCAAGGCAAGGAAAGAGCAGAGCAGAGCAGAGCTAGAGAAAGCTGTGATAGTGGGTGCGGACTGTTCTGTGTGGATAGAGAAGGGGAAACGGGGACGGGGACGGGAACGGAGACGGAGACCCACAAATGCTACTGCGGTAGTTGTGCTAATTTGTTTGTTTGTCGTTATCATTTTCATTTTCCCTCTCCAGAGCTTTCCTTTTTGGAAACTCTACGCCACACCAGCCAACATCGGGCCAACAGCCACAGCCAGCCACACACACCGCACACACCCTGCCGACCGACCGACCGACCCACCCAACCCACCGATTTCCTTTGTCCAAGACAAGCAGCCGCACAAAGGCACAAAAGCAACCAACGACAGCAAGTGCAAGAGGTCACCACCAGCGACACAGTGAGAAAGAGAGATAGAGACACAGATAGCGATAGAGATAGCGATAGAGATAGAGAGAAGTGCTCTCTCAAGCGCAATGAAAGCATGCCTGATGGGAGCGTAGCAACAGCAACTCCAGGAGAGATTTTTCGCTTAAGATAATGCTCTGAAAATTAATAAAAAGCGTTAAGAAATCTCAATGGATCGTACATATATAGTTTATGGGATTATCACTGTGGCTATCCTCTAATATATATTAGATATATGTTTATATATTATATATATGTGGCCTAAGAATTAGCCCACGAAGATTTATTCAAATAAAAAAAAATAAAAATAAAAACGAGAACCAATTCATTTTATAGCTACCTGTTCGAAATAAATATTGGAACACTCAATTTTATTCTTAAATAGAATCGTAAATGCATTTCCATTTGTTTTTATTTATTTATTTATTTTTTTTGTAAATAAAAAGAAAAAATGCATTTAAATAAGATTAAAATTTTTGTAAATTACTGATCCTTATGATTGCTCCCCTAGAAATAATTATTGGTATTATTTATTACTATTATTATTTTTCTCAAAATAAATATTATATCATGTCTGCAAAGGCCTAACAGAGCAGACATTACAGCTACAGCTACATATATTCGGTGCAGCATAAGACAATAAATATATCTAATAGAGAATTCCGTTCACAGCCGTGTGCCGCTATGCGTTATCCTTTGAGCGCTCTTTTGCTACAGTTAATGAATGTTTAACTGAATTATTAAATATTGAATGATGCCATGGCAGTCATCGATTAGCAGCATCCTGGTGACGAGGACACTTGTACATATATGACAATTTTTAATTCACTTTCACTGCTGGCACGCAGTCGGCACTTGCTCCGCGCTTCCTTCCGCCTTCCGCCTGCTGCCTGCCCAAACCCGATGCCGGAACGCATTCCACTCCACGCCACAGAGTGGAGTGCCAATGCCAGATATGCCCAGTGAGAGGCGAGCTCCATCATTGGCGTTGCCGCCAACTGGTCATCCGAGATCCAGTCAGTGTATGTGTGTGTGGGGGGTGGTGGGGGGGTGGGTTGTGGGGGTGTGCCAAAGGAACTGTGTGCTGTCTGTGGCTGTGTCTGGGAGTTGTATTTCCTCTTCTGCTTCTTCTTCGTTTTGGCTGCTGCGTGTCAAACGGTGAATTTTGTCCTCCTCCATCCTCCATTCTTCCTCCCTTTTCTGCCCTTCTTTCCCACCATTCCCTTGTCGCCTTTGCATTTATCGTGTATTTTGCTGTGTTTTGTCGCGCATATTAATCATAAAGCGGACACGCGTCGCTTTACGCACGTTTGCCGGATGCGGAAGACAACGAGACAGAGACAGAGACTCGACTTGGCTCGACTCGGCCAAAAGTAACCCAACACTACCCATAGCCCTCCATAGCCCTAGCCATCTCTCTCTCTCGTCACTACCCATCGCACTATCTCTCTTTCTCACGCAGTAAGTACGCGTACTGTCCGCGTATTAGATTTAAGCGCGTTATAAATGAGCACCCTCCCCCCCCCCCCCAATATACAAACATACATACATACATACCTACACACATAATTATCATACCCTTGCGGTATGAAAGGGTATCACAATTCTTTTATTACAAAATTTCCAACAAATGCTGCAGAGCAAGATTATCCTTTCGAGAAGGTACATCCCACGTATCTATATATTTATATTCCTGATCAGCATACAAATCAAGTCGTACCCATGAGCTCTGCCTGCTTGGCAGGCACTCTAAAAATATCTTTACAGCAACCAATAAGACTAAATCTTTATAGCATATGGCTCTGGCATGGCAAGAAAAGTCTGCTCAGATGAAAAATATACTCTAGAGTGGAAGTGTATCAAAAACTTCGTGGCAAACAAAAATATGGCCTTTCTTTAGTAGCTTCTTGCTTTTTTTTGGTTGCGCTTTCTTCAACATTTACTTCTTATGATTTTCCTTAGCTTTCAGTTGGCTGCTGCTGCTGCTGGTCTGCTGCTGCTTTCTCCATCTTCTTGTAGCTCATAAATCAAAATTTTCGGTTTTGGCATTTTTAAAGGCAAGAACTAACAGAACAGAGGGGTTGGAGGGTGTATGGTGGACATACATACATACAGTGGACAGCCCAGCCCTTTGCTGCTGCTGCTGCTGCTGTCCATGACGGATGATTGGATTTTATGTTGATTACGAAAATGTCTCTGACTCTATGTGTGTGTGTGTGTGTCTCTCTCTCTCTCACACCCTCTCACCCTCTCTCTCCCTGTGTGTGTTTGCACGAGTCGAATTTTTTGGCTTTGGCTTTCACAGATTTCCTTTATTTGCCCCCCATCCACAACCAAAAAAAAAAATAAAAATAAACAGAAAAAATTGAGCAGAAAAAAAATTGAGAAAGAGTATTCTAGAGGGTAGCAAGTGGCGCGGGGTGGCATGTGAGGCTAATAAAGGAATCAGAAATAATCATAGACATCAATGCATTAATTTATTTGACATGTAATTTTACTGTAAAAAATGTGTGCTGCGTAGCCCTGCGCTCGGCTAGCCCCAACAGACCCATAATTGTCATACGTAGTTCTGCATAGTTTATAGCAAGCAGATTTAATATATTTTAAAAATATATAACAAACATTGGAATGTTTTTTTCTTCATTTATTTTTTTCGTGGCATTTCTTTGATTTTTTCTTGAATATTAAGTCAAATATGTCCCTGTAATTTCCACTGGGTATCCCCCAATCGACTTCCCGCAAGTTCATCCTTCCCCCCACTTAGCTCTCTCTCTCTCTCTCTCACTATGCCCAACTGTTCCCGTACTCCCCCTGACTTTCAACTCCAACTCCTGATCATTTCGTCTCGTATTACCCATTTCTATCAAGCGAAAGCCAAAGCCAAAGCAGGCGGGGGGACTGTTTCGTGGCGTGGGGTTGCAGCAGTTCTTTAGGGGTAGGCCCATAGGGTGGGGTGTGGTGGTGTGGGTATGGGATCTATCACATCGAAATATGCCGTTATTATTGGCCATATTTTAATGCTCTTCGCTGTCCGTATTTGTCTGTCCGTCCGTCCGACCGTCTGCTATGTCTACGGCTTCTTCTGTGCTGGCCAACCGAGATTTGTCGTAGTCCATTTTTGATTTATTTATGTGTGTTATTTGCCTTGTTTTTGGCTTTGCGTCTGTGATTACTCATGGGGTCCCCCTCCCACCACCCACGTACCACCAACCCACATGCCATCCATACTCAATGGAAGGAATGGATATGGGGGCGTGCAGCCAGAGGAGTGGTGAAATTCGATTTGCATATTATTTTATTTGCATTTTACATAATAATTTAATTTTATTAGTTTTGCTGCATCATCATCATCATCATCATTGGCCTCGTCATCGGCTCAAGTTGCCAAATCCTAATGGCTCTAATGGCACCTTGGTGGGGTCTGCCTCCCTCCCTCCTCACCTACTCCCCCTCCATTGAATGTGTATTTTGAGGTCATCGTACCGGCATTCGTCGTCATCTCTGGATGGGCGCTTTTTTGGTCAGGTTTGGTCTCTCTCTCTCTCTCCCCCTCTCCCTCTCTTCTTTGCTTCGCTTTGCTTTTCGGTTGCCCTAATGCATTGCATGCCCTATTGGGGACACTTAGTGCGGGCCACGCCCCCCACAACGCCCACTCCCTGCTGCCACTATACATGGGGCTACATAGTATATATTTTGTAGTTAAATTTGTGCGCTTCTTTTTTTTTTCGTATTTTTTTGGGCATTTATTTTCATGGTTTACTTGTAGCATATTTTGCTGGCCGACACATTCATTTAACTTTGTGGTGCATGGAGTGTGGCAGGGAGAGGTTGGGGGTGGCAGTGCAGCGGGTGTTGCAGGGATTGGCCGACAATTGCTGCAGTCTTTGGAGAGTCTTTCGCCCGGGCGCAACGATGGGCAGTCGTAAATTAGTTGCGAATAGCAGCGCAGTAACACCATCACACCAGCAAACACCCAAACATACCACCAAGCAGCAACAACAACAACAACAACACCAACAAAACTCCAATACCCACAACAGAGAGTTACAGAGCGAGAAAAGTTCACAAAGTCGACTCGTGGCGTGGCATGTGGCGTGGCAAGAGCAAAAAGAAAAGAAAATTTTAGTTGGAACTTAAACTACATACAAATCTAATCAGATATTGGCCATTAAATTAGGGACATTCTCCAATTGGTGTCGCATCTTTAAAGCTTTAAAATGGATTTCAAACCCATACCTAGAGCCATCCTACGCCGGCACCCATCCAACATAACTTCCTCGAGAGCCCCACCAGTAGACTACGAGTATAAACTAATTTGAAAGCCAACTAAAACTTCAACAACAACTCCAATTCAACTACCAAAGTCTCATCATCAACACCAACATATAAAAGATAATTTGCACAACCACAAAGAAAAAAGAAAAAAAAATAAAAGCACAAAAAAAATCATTAACAAACCGCGAAAAATGACACAAACACCCACACCACACCCACACCCACACCACAACCAATTCCAAGCATGAAGAACAGTCAAACTTCAACAACAACAACAACAAAACAACTCCAACTCGAAACACCAACAGTGGTGTGTGTGTGTGTGTGTGTGTGGGGCGGGTGTGTAAAAGAAAACTGCCAGAACCAAAACGAGGGCGGATTCGAATAAAAAAAAAAAGAAAAAAAAAGAAACGAAAAGGAAAAGTCAAGTAGAAGTAGCAGAGGTAAGGCATGAATCCAGCTTGAAATTATAAGCACAAACCCACACAAAACAATTTTTCACACATTCCACAGCCAAGTTAAGCCACCGCCACCGCCGCGCCGCGCCGCGCCGCTCCCCTGAGTCAGTCAGCTGCCAGTCCAAACTGAATGTGAACAGCCAACAAAGGCTCTAAGTATTTAAGCTAGTTTGAATTTGAAATGACTTGCAGTTGACCCACCGCCCCAAGCCAACGAGAATGCCATCGAGAACAGCCCAGAAAACCAGAGCAAAGCCCCAAACCCCCAACCCAAGCCCAAACCCAAACCAAAAGCCGAAACCAGAACAAACACCAGACCAAAATGGAACCCTAACGTTCAATGCAATTTGGTTTCCTTTTTGGTTGCTGTGCTGCCCAGCCCCACTGCTGCCTGCTGCCTGCCGTTACCAATTATTTGCGCTGTTATCGCGACCTTCTTGTGCTGACCTCAATTTGGCAAATAAGGTTCTCTGTCGGGTGCTGCCGGGTGCCGGCTCCTTCTGCGATTGCTTGCAAGAACCGGAGCCTCAAGCCTCAAACCTCGGAACAGGCGGAGGGAGCTTGTTGATTGCCTCCAAGTCTGATTGAAGTGCAAGGTGAGGCGGCACGATATGGCGCGGCAGCGACAGGGGCAGGGACAGAACGGGCTGCCTCTGCCTCTGACAATTTCTCACAGTGTTTGACGACACAGGCAGCAGGGGGACCAAGGGAGAATGATAGGTCCTTGGGCAGGCAGGTTTCTCTTTCACTTTTAATGGCAACTGGCATAATGAGCTGCAAATAGGAGTAAGAGTACGGGCACGGGCACGGACACGAGTAAATAGTATGTGTGCCCTATGCCACAATGTAGCTAGACTCGGGGCTCTGCATTTGTTTTGGCCACTTGGGACACGCTGCCCCCGTGCCCTGCCTCGTCTACCCTTCGCGGCCAGCATTGACACAATAAAACATTTGTTGTCGTTGCATTTATTGACGCATTTGCTCTTTTGCATATTTTGAATGTTTTCCATACACTAACTGAGGGTATTTCCAATTTATTCTCCATAAATACATACATTTATCCTGATTTAAAATGTTGCATTTATCTTAGTTAAATAAGGTTTGACTTTAATTTAAAATAAAAAAATTAACAAGGAATTTATTTCCAAGCATATTTAATAATTCGAATTAAGGGCAAGTTATTTTTGAAAAATAAATATATTACAAAGACACACAAGTTTTTTTTTTTTTTAACATAGTTCTGCAATGCTTTTAGTTTGCTTTTTCATAGTGCAACCATGGGAATATCTTTCTACTTCAAATCTTCTCAAGTTGCAGCCAAATAGTCCCTAAATCTTTCAATTTTCTCACATACTTTGATCTTCCATAAATTCTTCATCACGTTTGTAGCCTTCAGTGTATTAGAAGCTTCGTCCCATTAATTCTATAATTTCCCTTCAGTTCTTTTTGACATTTTTTTGTCGCGACAAAATAAAATGTAATTTTTCTTTTAGGCCCAGTTCCCAGTCCCCGCTAAGCCACACAGACCCAGTTCTACGCCCAGAACCAGTAACAAAACCCCAGTCGCGGGGCAAACATGCGACCATTCAATGCTGACAACGAAAACAACAAATTTCCACAACAAAATATGCAAATCGTAGTTTTTAGTTTGGCGAGGTCAGGCGACTGACGGTGAATAGGAGGGGGTTTCGGGGCTCAGGGGCTCAGGGTTCAGGGCCCAAAACCCAACTATGGGCGGCAGGCTATTGGCTGAATTGAAGTCAAGTGAAATTGCATTTCCCGCTCATCGTAAATAATTTAAAAGTGTGAAAAACAATTTTTTTGTTTTGTTTTGTATCGTTTCTATTTTTTAAATTTGGTTCAGTTTTCGATGTGTTTTCAATTTTTAAAATTGTATTTCAATGTAACATTAAATTACGGTTTTTATGTATATTTTTGAGAATTAGAATCTTCCTGAAAGATAAAGAAGGATATAGAAAATATGTACGACTCTCAGTTTACTACCATTATCATCATAAACTATGATATAATATTATTTATGTTTTATTCGGTATACTGATTATTTTCAGCGTTTAGGAACTATAATTAGTATAATATTTAAAAAGTCCTATGAAAGCTCGTATGAATTCCCCTTTCAACCCATACATTTTTGTGGGTAACCCATCCCGCGCTGCAGATGCCGACTGCAAGTTATGAAAGTTCGCCAAGTTGCCAAATATTTTTCGGTTTTATTGCTAACTCTAAGTATGAGGAAGTGATCTACAACATAATTTTTGTCTCCTGCTAAGTAAATTCAAAAGTTATTTAAATACATTTTTTTTAAATGATTTTATTTATAATTACCTGCAAGTTTGTTTTATTTTTTGATAACAAACGTTGCACTAGTCGACTTAAGTTTAGTCGCAGGTTTTAGTCTTCGTGGGAGGGTTCTTGAGGGTTCAGTACCCAGAGATGGAAAAGCAGAGCTATAAGATCCTTATGCACATACGTGAGATTATAACTTTCAAAAACAACAACAATTTTTGTCTATATAGTACAATGAAGTATATTTATAAGATTTTGTAACATTTTATGTTTTTTTTGTGTGTGTGTTATAATTAAAACAATTTTGTTTTTTGTCATGGCAGCTATGGCTGAAATTTCCCAATAGAAATCTTCTAAGACGCCTGGCTTCCAATGCCAGGGGATCAAATGCCGGGCACAGAACAGTACAGCTCAGTTCAGTAGTTCAGTGCTTGGCCTTTGATCCCCTGGTTCATCCGAGCCAGTCCGCATTTTTGTTGTAGTCCGCCCAGGCTTTCGTTTCCTGCTCGGTGCGGTGTTGGAGCAGCGACGTATTGGTGGACGAGATCTGTGGCGAGCCGATGAGACTCGATCGATTGTCCTGCTTGGAGCGCAGACGTTTGCTGGCCACCAGCTGCGACATCTTGCGCAGTGTGATGTAGTCCTTGTTGAGCATGCGACACAGCTCGATGAAGGTGCAGAGACGCGGATTCTTAAGATCCGCAGCCAGCTGATAGGCGGCATTAAGCACCTCCGTTTGGCGCTCATACTTGTGGAGAACGGCATGCGACTTGGCCATCAGCATCGTGCTGAGGAACTGCCAGATCTTGCTGTTGCAGAGCTTGGCCTCCTCGATGGCCTGCTGGGCATACGACAGGCACTGCACAAAATGATTATGCTGCACATGATGATCGGCCATCTCATGCAGCAGATAGGTGCGCTCGATGGGCAGTTTGGCAAAGAACAGACGCTGCTCCAGATGCTGTATGGATTGTCTACCCAAAACGAAACAAAAAGAGAGAATTCATTATCTGAATCACATCACCCCACTACACCCACTACACTTACGACTTCTGCCTTTCCTGCACTGGATAGCCGTACGATGAACGATCTCCGAACACATAGACGGCACGTTCGAGCGGCTTGATCGCCGGTATATTCAGCATCAGGCACATGGAATTCTTGTTATATGGCGTGACACGTGTGGGCGGCAGGCGATAGCCCTCGCACAGGCTCAGGGCCAAGTGGTTGTACACCTCGTTGGTGAATTCCGTCTTCCAAGGCATTATGCGGCTCGTTTTGACGCTCACATAGTTGCCCATCACGTCCTCCACGAATTTGCGCAGACGCTGTGACAAAGGACAGAGAAATGGAACAGAGTGGATGGGATGGGATGGCTCGAAGAGAGGGATCTCACTTACCCCCGGATCATCGTGCCGCCTTAGAACGCGTATCGTGCGCAGAATGCTGTGCATGTTCCGGCGCGTCTGGTACTGGATGCGGAACAGGCTCGCCTCGCGGAAGCGTTGCGACATCTTGAAATTGTGCTGCCCCTGCGGTATGTTATTGTACATGGGACTGCGGGCGTGGAGCATCCGTGTAAAGGTCTTGATGCGCTGGAACGAGTTGTCCAGATACTCTCCCCGCTCCTTCGATGAGCCAAAGTACTGGTCGAGCAGTAGATTGGGATTCTGGCGTAGCGTCTTGAGGAAGAGGAAGTCCGTCCAGGCGCGGTTCAGGTAATTCTGATAAAATATCTTGGTTTTGCGTCGACGCCGTGCCTGCTCCAGAGGTGAGAGTGTTTCCCGTTCCTCCTCCTGAACGCTCTGGACATCGCACTGCTCCAGTTCCCTGATGATCTTCCAGTGCGGACGCCTGTCCCTTGGCTCCAGCTCGCGCCGCTTCTGCTCATAGAACGATTTGAGGCTGCTCGATTTCCTCATGAAGAAACTGGCCAGACTGTCGCCCAGGCTGTCCTTAAAGTTCTCGTTAACCACCATCAGACGCTTCTCGAACGGCTCCATGGAGGTGCCGACATGACGGCGCACATTGTCGCTCAGCAGCAACTTGTTCGACTCGAAGCGACTCAGGTCGTACAGCGCATCGGCCAACTCCAGTTGGGTGTGCACATCGCCCGGCCCCAGCGCCTGGCACGCCCGCGAGCTGTCCAGCAGTGCCGCCTCCGCCCGTGCCACCGCCCGATTGAATTTGCTCCTCAGCTGCAGCGTCCTGAAGTCATCCCCATGATGGTCGTCGATGCACTTATCAAAATACTTCTGCGCCGCCGTATCCATCCGGGCATTGGCAAACACACTGCCCCAGCTCCGATGGATGTTCCGTCGCTGCTCCTCCGGCCAGTCGAACGACTCCCAGGGATTCTGCTGTGCCAAAAGCTTACCCGTGGGCGCCACCACGGCTGCTTCCATTTTAATGGTCTTCGGATTTTGCATTACAATGGTCACAAAAGTAAAAACTAACTAAGAAAAAACTATAAAAAAACAAAGTGTAAAAAACCTAAAAAGTTAAAAAACAAAAAATTAATGATTTTGTTTAACGTCAAGAGCTTAAAAGGAAACGAATGAAAATTCGGTGCAGGCGCAGCAAGAGTTGATCGGCAGCAATGGAAATCGTTGGTTGTGGTACAGTCCATGGTACAGTCCGAATGGTCGATTGGTAATGCTTGACTCCACTCCTCTTAACACTCTTTGCAGGTGGACGGACATTGAGCAGCTGCCTTTAGCTGGGCAGCATTTGTGCTCCGTTGGGGGAAAGCATTGCCAGACCAGTCCCTCATCCTTATTATATTTGTACTTATCTCTGACCATTGTTCTTTCTTTTCTAATAATTATACTTATTGTTGGTCTCCCCGCACGAAAACCTCAATAACCGCAAACAAATTTTTGCATGGAAAATATCAACATGTTTATCCGCGATTATAAGCAGATTTTCAGATAAAAAAAAAACAATATCAAATCTTATGTACAAATGCTGCAAATGTGAGAGAGCAGGCATCAATCACTTTGGCTGGAAGGGATCCTTGGCAATGTACTTGTCCAGCCGCTGCTCACCATCGGGCTCCACCTGGGAGAGCTGACTGAAACCTTCCTCGTCCACAAAGCAGATCTCGTGACCATCGGGATCGGCCAGGATTAGCACAGATACGGTGGCCTTGCCGGGCGTATCCAGGGTGATAAGCGGCTTCAGAACAGTGCCGCCGGCTGCTTTGACTGCTTCGTGCAGCGGAGGTTGCGTGGCCGAGGGTACGGCGAAGGCAATCCGTCCGTAGGCCTTGGCCCGATTAATGGGATCCGAGATCTGGGTGAGCTGAAGCGCCGCCTGAAGGCCACCATAGCTCAGCCACAGGGTCTGCTTGGTCTCTGCCACCGGTTGCATCTGGAGCAGCTGCTGCCAGTACTGGCGCGAAGTCGCCAGATCGCTCACATGCAGCTCCACCGACTGCACAGGATCGGAATTGGCTGCCTGTTCGATCACATAGAACTTGTAGCCGTCGGGCGAGGTGAGCAGACTGCCATTTCCGTCCGCCTTCTCGATGGGATACGAGTGCTGGGCTGCGCGCGACAATATCTCGGTGGAGTGGATGGTGACGCCGCCGAAATCGTTGCCTGTGGGAGTTGAGATTGTCGATTACAGATTGCTGGCAACACAATGACGGTACAAGCATTGCTACTGATTGCTGGCCCCTTACCCATCTCGTAGCTGGTCACGCCGTAGTTGTATGTCAGCTCGATGACAAAATGGGAGCTCTCCGGTCCGTAGCCGACCATGGTCTTGCTCCACCGATTGTCATAGGGTCTGCAATGGATTGGGAGACTAGTTTTTCGCTCTCATTCTAGTTGCCTCACGCCAGCGACTTACCCATTGCATTCGGCATCGCAACCTTCTTTGAATTCCTCGTGACGCAAAACCTGTTTCACCCAGACAGACAGAGACAGCATTAGTTAGTGGTTGTTGCAAAATTACAGAGTCATTATGGCTATCTGGCATCTGGGCTTTTAATTAGTCAGTCAGCAGCCACCAATTGCCAATTGCGTTGTTCAGATAAAACACAAAAAAAAAACCCACACTCGTATCGCATGTCGCAGCGATAAGGTAGCTTCCAACCAGAACAACACCACTCGTAAATTCAAATCAAATTATAGAAAGTGTACCCACCTTCATGCCCAGGATCTGGCGGAAGAAATGGGCGTTCTTTGCTCGATCTCCGATCTTGAATACATAGTGCAAGGCACGTCCTGGCACTGCGGCTGCCATTATTGAGTGTAATTTGGAATTTAAGCAATGATTTATTCGGTAGCGGTTTGTTGTTATACAGCAGTAGGAATGTGTTTACTTCGATAAATAAATTTATCGATACATGTATCGCTTTGAAGATATCTTTGCCATGTGATAAATATTTTGGCTATCACAAATATGTAAATGGGATAGTCTTGTAGAATATAACTATTCGCGGAACTACTTTCCTGACACTATTCCTTCACGACGTTAGAATTTTGATTTTATTTGCTTGTTTCATCCACGCTGCTAAAATATCGATACTGGGTATCGATTCTTTTATGCGATAAGTGGAATGACTTCGGCGCAGTATTTTGAAAATAAATATGCGAGCCGAGAGTAAAAGTAAATTTGCCTTTTAAGGAATTATTACAGGTTAATCTAATCCTTAACTTAGTTTCTAACGAACAAAAAAGAACTTAGTCACTGCTTTGAACGAACCTAATCAGCTCACCTTAGCCCACTAAACCCACCATTATAAAAGCTCTATGTTTTCAGTTGAAAACTTTGAGATAAACCGTTGAAAATATAACTGTAAATTCCCTTTTAGAACCTAGTTTTTCGTTACTTCCAAACAAATAAATAAACACGACAAGTTTTACCTGAACTGCCACACAATTCTTCCATTTTCATAATTTTCGTGGGTTTTTTACCCACTGGTCGACAATGGGTTAATCATAATTTGTTGTCCATGGTTGGAAACCTCGACTTTGATATTCGGTTTAGTGTTACTAGCTAGCTAGAAGCCTCAGCTCTGAAAATATAATTTTATACGAATAATTAATACATTTTCTGCAATATTGTCTGCATTGCAGTTATCCAATTTATTTGGCGTGCGTATAAAATATAAAACAAATAACGGACAAAAACTACATTGCAATTAAACAGGTTAATCCATAGTTTCCGGCATCGTTCCACAGCGTCGCTGCTTTACCTTCTTGCAACGCTTGCCGTCTTTACCTCCTTCGTTACGATCCTGTACTTGCTCATGACTGCCCTTGACGCTGACAACGTCTTCATTGTCCTGCTCGAACTGCTCCATTGGGATGTGCTCGCCGTCTCCAGCTCCTTCATAACGAGCCCGTCTCTTCTTATGACCGCCCTTGGCCTTGGCCTGGACCATGACTACTTCCTCATTGTCCTGCTCAACTTGCTCCATGGAGTTGAGATGCTCGCCGCCGTCTCCAGCTCCTTCGTAACGAGCCCGTCCTTTTTTATGACCGCCCTTGGGCTTGAACGTGCCAGGCTCCAAAATCTCGTGCTCAAACTGCTCCATCGGGATGGTTTCGACGTCTCCAGCTCCTTCGTAACGAGCCCGTCCTTTCTTATGACCGCCCTTGGGCTTGAACGTGCCAGGTTCCAAAATCTCGTGCTCGAACTGCTCCATCGGGATGGTTTCGACGTCTCCAGCTCCTTCGTTACGAGCCCGTCTCTTCTTATGACCGACCTTGGCCTTGGCCTGGACCATGACTACTTCTATATTGTCCTGCTCGAACTGTTCCATGGAGTTGAGCTGCTCGCCTTCGTCTCCAGCTCCCGCATAACGAGCCCGACCTTTCTTATGACTGCCCTTGGCCTTGACCATGAGAGGTTCCCCAATCTCCTGCACCAGCGAGTTAAGCTCACCGTCTCCAGCTCCTGCGTAACGAGCCCGACCTTTCTTATGACTGCCCTTGGACTTGACCATGCTCTCAATCTCATGCTCCAATTGCACCGACGGGTTGAGCTCGTCGTCTTCAGCTTCTTCGTAATGAGATGGTCCTTTCTTATGACCACCCTTGCCCTTGGCCTGGACCATGATTACTTCCTCATTTTCCTGGTCGAACTGTTCCATGGAGTTGAGATGCTCGCCGCCGTCTCCAGCTCCTTCGTAACGAGACCGTTCTTTCTTATGACCGCCCTTGACCGTGATAGGTTCCAAAATCTCCTGCTCGAACTGCATCGTCGGTATGGGAGCCCCGTCTCCAGCTCCTCCGTAACGAGGCGGTCCTTTCTTAGGACCACCCTTGGCCTCGACTATGAGAGGTTCCCCAATCTCCTGCTCCAAGTGCACCGACGCGTTGAGCTCGTCGTCTTCAGTTTCTTCGTAAGGATAACGCTCTTGCTGATTCCCGTACACCCTGGCACTGTCTCCAATGTCCTGCTCGAATTGCACATTCGATTTGAGGTTGAACTGTGATAACGAAATGAAGGGAGCTAATAGTTGTGACTGTGCACGAGAGGAATAAATCACTTACGCGGCGCTCGTTGGCGAATTCGTAATCCGACTTCGACTCGTGACTTTTTCGTGATTTCACGTTGGGCTCTACGTATTTCATTTCGCTGCGCACCTTGCGGACACCCAACAGCTGGCGTGTGGACGTCTGCTGTTCCTCGAAATGGCTGATATCCATTGGCTCCACCTCGGATTGAGCATAGTTCTCCTCAGTTTGTTTCTGTCCTGTCCTCTCCTGTCCTGTTTCTGTCATGTCGCTGCGCGGAGTTACTTCCGGTGTGTTGACTGAGCTGTCGATCAGCCCGTCAAACTGCGTCTGGCGATATGTCCGCGAGCTGTTAAATACACCAATGAGGATGGATACAAAATAAATGGATAAAGCAAAACGAGAAACATACTCTTTGAGGTCTTCTTCCTCCACCATTTCCACATTTTCGTTGGTCTTGTGCCCCTTACGATACGTCAGCGACCTGTAAAATACACCCATGAAGGATACACAAAGCACCGAGGGAAAAAACATACTTCTTATGGTCTTCTTCCTTCATTTCCATTTGCAAATCTTCGTTGGTCATTTGCATCTGGCGATATGTCGGCGAGCTGTGAAATATTCCAATGAGGAGGGACACACAGAGGGATAAATCAGAAAAAAAAACCCACCCTTCGATGTCTTCTTTCTTCATCTCCAGATCTACGTTATGTATGTCATAGGTCACGGAAATCACCTTGTCGGAGGCCTTTTTGCTATCAATGCACATTAGTTGACTGCTGAGCTTTACATTGAGGTCCTCGGCCTTCTTGCGTAGAGTCTGCTCGAAGGACAGCTGCTCCTCGAGTATCCTTGTATGCGATAGCATCTGTATGAGTGGGAACCTCTTGCTTTGGGGAATATGCTCCAGCCCGCTGAACCAATTGAGATCGCACTCCGGCTCCTGATGCTCTTCGGTCTCTGCGGTTTTCAAGTGGTTGCGAATGCTGCGATGCAACAACGGGCTGATCCCCTCGTTGTTGCGAACATTGAACTCCTTGATGACGTTGTTCAGCTCCAGTAGGCCGAGTATGGTATTGGCTCCAATGTCAGTCAAGCCACAGCACTCCATGTCGACGACTGCCGGCGACAGGAAATCTTAGAGCGGAATTGCCCATGGCGGCATTTCGCCTACCTACCCCTTATCCAGGCATCCTCCTTCAGCACCTCGGTAATCGAATTGAGTCCTTTGTCGCCAATCTCTGGATTGTTGGCAATTATGATCGTGCGTAGCCCCAACAATGAATTGATATCTGGCGTCTGGTAGCGCAACGACTTCTGCCACCCCTCCGTGTAACGTGCTATCTTTTGGATCTGTGGGGGATGGATTCCGATTGAAGTATGCGAAGTACCTTTACATCAGACATACAATTAACTTACCTTGATCATTTCGGCCAGGTGACAGGCCCCCTTTGCGGTGATGTGGCAGCCGGAGAGATCGACTGATGCTATCTGGTTGAGGTACTTGACCGTATTGCATAAAAGTTCGCACCCCTTGTCGCCAAGCATGCAGCGGCGAAAGCTCAATGTCTCCAAGCGATCGTTGCCGTCCAGCGACTAGAGGCAAGAGAAGCGCAATGATTGCATGAAGCAATTAGAATTAGAATGGATGTTGCGTGCTCGTCCTACCTTGGAAATGGACTCAATGTAGACGTCATAAAGGGGCAGACCCTCCAGCTTGAGCACTGTCAGATTCTTGTTGCTCATCACACAATTGGCAATGGCCTGGACGAGGCCACGGAATATGAAGCGCGTGAATACCACCGGACGCTGTGTATAGAGTCGGGCCCGATTCTCCGAGTCGATGGGATCGATTGTATCTGCATGGAAAAGCTGTCACTTAGTTGCGCCGCCCCACCCGCTGCGACTGTGGCTCTACTCACTCTGTTCATAGGTGCGGCGCAGACGCAGCACCAAGCATTTCAGGGCCAAATCATGGTGAAGTGCCTCAATAATCAGCAGCCAGTCGCTGACGCCCAGCTTGTCGGCATTGAGCTCTAGAATTGTGGTCTCATTTGATTTCTTGCGAATTTCAGGCAGCGGCGTGAGATTCTTGTTGCGGCATAACTCCAAATAGCGGTAATGGAACGAGCGGCTTTTGCTTGATTTCTTTACAAGCGACGGCACCGTTACTTTCTTCGCCAACTCACGCAACATTCCGTTGCGTACGCCAGATACGCGGCCGAGCGACATTTTCTGTTTGTTGTACGACGAGATCAGGACTATTTTTTATACAATGCGAGCACAAGGGTGTAACGAACAGTAGAGTGAATGCTCTAAGGCAGCAATGTTTATCATTGTTCATGTTTATATGTGCACGGCGTTGTGCTAAGCCTACTCAGGATCAAAAATGATCAAAAATGTTCAAAAATTATCACAAATTTTATTAGCGGTTCACCAGCGGGACCGTGACGATAACGATAAAAAATACCATCCGAGCAAAAAATAAATACCATTTCAGTTTCGAAAAATACCATTTAAATACCATACCATAAAAAGACCAGGGCAATCAAACGAGACTTAACCCACTTAACACCCCTCTATTTAAAAAGTTGAGCACCCTTTGTTAAATTGCGGAAAATAATACTGTTTGTAACGGCTCCTTGTAGCTCCATCCTCCTCTTTACTTACAAAACAAAAATGACCACCGATATCTTTCACCTGTAATGCGTAAAACGTGTAAAAGTTGCATAAATTTCGTGGAAATATTAAATACCCCCCTGGTCGACAATGGGATAACGTTCTATTTTAATGATTGAAATCGTATTCCATGATTTTGATATTCAGTTCAATATTACTAGCTAGTTAGGACTCTCAGCACTAAACATAGCATTTCAACATATAGATGAATCTATTTTCTACAATCTAGCTTATTTTAAAGAGTCATATTTATTGGATTGTTGTTGAAATAAGATTTAATAAAAAAAGTTCAACAAGAATGATAATTATTGTACCTGGTGGAGTATGGAACTTTGCATACCCCCCAAATTATTTCGTATTGACATGATTTTAACCTATTCGTGCATTTGATTAGAATACCCTATATAAAAATATTTCGATCCCGATTCGTACTCTTGGTAATTACATGATATTTAGTTTTGAAACAGACACTTAATTGCGATTTGGGACCACCCTGAAAAATTTAAACCAACCAAACTCGGTTCTTGACGATGATTCACTGATCCATTTTGTTGTTTACGCTTCACGCTAAAGCCTATATATAGAACAGTCACCCACTTATTGGGGAAGCGATTTGGAGAAGGGCTTGCCTATAAATACCGTGGGATGCATGGGACTTCCCATTCATATGTGAATGCCCCATGCCCGTGATGAGACACCGTCAATCGTGTGCCCGGCTGTTTCCGGCTCTCCTGCTGGCCGTCCTGTACCCTTTGGCTGCTGGCCAGAACTACTGTGACCCGGAGCTGTGCCCCAGCGGCAGGCATGTGGCCTGCCAGAACAGCGGTGTAAGTTGGTGTACCCATGCCCACGGGTCCAATCCCATTATGATATCCTAAATGTGCTCCTCTGATAACCGAACTGGGGTGGGGCGGGTGTCAGCGCTTTGCCAGCGGCTGCAGCGGTGAATTCGTGCCAATAGACAGCTACATTCCGCTCATCCTGCAGTTGCACAATGAGCGCCGCAACCAGATCGCCGGCGGCGGACTGAGCGGCTTCCCCAGCGCCGGTCACATGGCCACCATGAGCTGGGACCCGGCACTGGCCCAGCTAGCCGCCTACAATACCCTGCAATGCCGCATGGCCCACGACGAGTGCCGCAACACGAACACCTACCGCTACGCCGGACAGAATCTCAGCATCCTCTTCACACGCAACGTGGATGTGGCCGACTTTCTGCGCCAGCGCATAGCCTCCTGGTTCGATGAGAACCGCTATGCCACCGCCGGCGACATGGAGAACTATCAAATGCGTGGCGGACCGTGCGTATCGTACCCTGTGCTACCCTGTGACTTTGACTCCTAATCCGCTTGCGGTATTTCTCCCCAATAACAGCGCCATCGGGCACTTCACGACGATGGTGAATGAGCGGAACAGCCGCGTGGGTTGTGCCATTGCCAGGTTCACGGACGCCAACAATGTACAGGCCACACTGCTGGCCTGCGACTATGCCGTGACGAATGTCCTCAACAACCCCGTATACCGCGCCGGCCCACCAGCCTCCGAGTGCACCTCGGGCCGGAATCCCACCTATCCCAATCTCTGTGCCGTCAATGAGAACTACAATTTCAATCAATGGTCGGGCTGATGCTGATGTCATGGGCTTCCACAGATGGGGAACCGAACAGCTTGAACCAGTGCAACAGTATAACAATACTTAAACGAGGTTAAAAGTTACAGAAACATTAAACAGAAAGTCTGGCACACAACTGCAACCAACCCACTATGGGAAATTTGACCCCTTTTTCTGGCCAAAACCCATTTTCCGAAAGTCGGAATATTAAAACAAATTTTAGTGCAACGCATTCAAAATACTTCAATCTTTAGTGTTGCATCACAGAAATCTTGATAGAGGGCGCCACATCGAAGGAATCAGCTGATAAAAGGGGGCGACCACAGCTGTTTCAGTTGCAAAGCACATGGTTCTGTAATATAAGGTTTTTTTTTGCTAACTTTAAGTGGCCAAAAAGCAAAAACTAAACAATATTACTCAAATTTTTGAAATGAATTCCAATCAGTGTGGTTTTTATTATGTGTTTGTGAACTTCTCTTGTAGAAAAAACTCGTGTTGTCCCCTTAATAGAGCCAAAATGTAAGTAGCCTTGTAAATGCATATTTTTGATAAAGTCTCATCTTACAAAAGGGATTTAAAGTGAGTCCAGCAGAGTCCATCGACAAGATATATTGTATGTTGTAGAGTAAGAAGTTCTTGTTCAAATCAATGTAATTAAAAATAACACTTTTTATGATTTAGCGAGAAATTTGTCAAACTCAGATTTTTTTTGGCAAGTGTTACGGGGAAGGGGAAAAGTCGCAAAGGAGGATGCTGTGTTGATAAGAAAGAGGTTTTTTAGCGAAAAAAAGAAGTCCAATGCCTATTTTGGTAACACCTTTCGTTTAAAGTCGATCAACCGAAAGTTGGAGGATTTGGCAGTACCAACGATAGTAACACTGCTCGGCGAGCATTTTCCGATCCTCATGCTTTTTCCAACATCACTGATATCGATGAGCAGCTAATTGCAAATTTACATACGATTTTGATATGCCTTTCATGACAGCTGCCAATTTCTGTTCCAAAATTTCAAGCTAACAGAAACCTAACAGACGTGTTTCTGCGAGCTATAGATCCTTCTGATCCGATAATATCTTCAGTGAATTTGGATAGACGTATTCAGCGAGAGAGGAGAATGTGTCTTCCATTAGAGGTATTAAACCTATTAGAATGCTAATCAAATCCGGATGACACAGATCGTGAGGATGAAAGCCCTTTTAATGAATTAGACTTAGAACATCAATACAATATTAAATTGGAAAACGAAGAGCAGGTCTTTTTCTAAGAGGTGTGTAGGGATTACATTACATTACAGGGCTACAAGCTGAATGCGCTTTATATTACTTTCTTCCTTAAAACTGTTTCCCCTTGTTAAAGGTGCGCCACGCCCACTATTGTCCAATGAATATAACCTAATACTGTCCCAAAAGTGGTTGTTACTTGTTAAAGTATTACTCTAAGAAAATGAGAAAATTTAAATGAGTTAAAAAAAACGGGGCGGTGCCACGCCCTCTATTTTTCTATCTCTAATGGATGTTGGTTCATTTAACCCGATGCAAAAAAACAGAAGCGAAATATCTTGCTCCGTTCTTGAGTTATTAATTTTGGCCAGAAAAAGTGGTCAAATTTCCCATAGTGCAACCCAGACGGCATCTACATACATACATACTCTAGGCACACGCGCGGGCAATAAATCGAATCAGAACTTTGACTCAAGCTACGTTATAGAATTGAGTAGAAGCAGACAACTCAATATATAAGCCTCGAGCCAGCTTTGACTAGACAACACGAACTTTTCTCGCCCCATTAGCGACACTGGAGTTCACAAAACCAATTCGCATTTAGGTTACATTTTACTCGTCTCACAGGTGGCAGCAGCTCGGATAAAATGATATTTCTGCTATACTTTTTAGAACACTTCGTACTAAGATATTTTAGGTCGGATAAGTAATGCAAAAAAAGGGCATTTATTAGTGTTAGCCACCACTGAATATCGTAAAGAAATATTTATTTCTCCACCCTCTGGTTATTGCATCGACTAAATGTCCATTCTATGTTGGGACTTTATGGCGGGGTTGCCATAAATATGTATAGCGGACGAATAACGTAACGTATTTTGTCATTTGTATTAAACGGTAAAGCGTTGCCATAACATATCTAGTGCAAGCACCTTTAGTACATGTTGTCATTCAGGGTAAAGAAAAGGAGCATAAATCGGAAATAAAAATGACCACTTACCTTGAAATCAATCGAACTCCAGACCGTCGCAGTTGATTGATCAGAGGGAAGGGAAGGGAAGGTATTTCTGCTGCCCTTATTTATGCGAGTATATCTCCTGATTTTGTCTCTATTTCATCCGTGCCATATATGTACATGTATATGCGTTCAGTTCTTATCCGCGCCTCCCCACGTTCCGCGTTTCACTGCGCGCTGGTGTACGAGCTTAATTTCCGTAGGGCGTAACGGAATCACTGGCAGAATGTTTTTTGTCCCGTATTATTTTTAAGCACGAAGTATTCAAGCTAGAAATGTAACTAACTCGAAGCTGAAAGTATTTCTCAACGACTCCTTCAACTCCAATATTTTGGGGTATACATTTTCAAATCTGCCGCCCAAATAGAAGCCCTTCCTTCTCTTTGTTCTGCTTTGGTACCCAGCCATGCACAGATATTTATTTAGCAACAAATGATTTCAAAAGGTTCTTAATGTTGTGCAACAAATTGTACGCGTCAGTGTGCGCGTACAAGATATACATACGAGTAGTATGTATGTATGCGTGTATGGAAAACCTGTGGGAAATGTGGTAAAAGTCAGGAGTCCTCGGTGGTTTCCATAATGCGACCGATGATGGGCACATCCTCGGGCTTTGTCCAATTGGCGGTGCTGTTCTTGCTCAATATGCTCTGAACATAATTGTGGCGAAACTTTTGCCATTTGCGCGTCTTGAGGAAGTCGTTGAACAGATCCTCCCTGGTGGGCAGATTCGATTCGACGTAGAAGCGCTGTCGCTGCCAGATGTTGCCCGGATTCTGGGCGGGCTCGAACAGCCAGAAGCGCGGAATGATCAAACACTGGACGGTGGTGCGGGCCATTATGTTGCGATGGTGCATCTTCTCGCCCAGCCCGAAAATGGCGCCGAATGTCAGCGATCCCACATCAATGAAGTGCGTCTCGTATTTGTCCTTTGCCTCGCTATCCGCTGCATCTTTGGCCGAGCTCTGCGACTCCTCCGAGGAGGCGGTGAATACCTCCGAGCCCTCGGACTCGCTCTCCGCCTCCGCCTCATCGCTGCTTGGCACGTGGGAGCTCTCATCGGAGGACGACTCCGCACTGGAGACCACTGGCGACGGCAGCTCCTCGTCCTCCCCATAGTCCTCGCCCATCACATAGTACTCGTAGTCGTCGATGGGTCCCTTGTAGAGTGTGTATCGTGTCTTCCGCAGCACTTTCCGCTCACTCATCACCGAGGCGGGAAACGGCCTGCGCCGCATGTCGTTGCACGCTTGCTCGATTTCCTTTAGACCCATTTTCCGCATCTATCAAGCAAAAGGGTAGCCATCGTAAGTTCGTATGCTCTTCCCACCCCCACCCCCACACCCACCACCCACCACCCACTTACTGCTTTCTTTTTGTCCTTTTTTTCTTGATCCGACGAGGAAGTGGAAATTAAATATTCGGTGACATCAAAGTGCTTGGACTTTTTATGCGTCAGAAGTGCATCAAAGGTATTCCTGCCCACACTGTCCAGCTCGAACATCTTTTCGTTGCCCACGTAGTTCACCTGATGGGAACGAAAGGGAGATAAGGATCGATATGGATATGGTATGGATATGTCATGTACCTTCATGTGGAGGCACTGCAGCACCACACACTCGCCGCTGAGCACAAAGTAGACAACGCTGAGTGAGCCCAGATCCTCCTCGTAGATGGTGTCCAGTGGATCGAACTGCTGAATGGTCGCAAACTTGCAGGCACTCACAATCTGTAAATAAATACAAAACATCAATCATCAATCATTGATCATTGATCATTCAACATTATGGGTATTCTCGTTGTACACTTGCCTGCTCTGGGCTGAAAAACTTAAAGTATTCCATGGCGCGTATGCCCTCCTTCTTCTCCTCCCACATCTTTTTCATGTAGGGCTGCAGCAGGGTGGAGTACTCGGTGTCGTAGAGTGCCAGCAGTTCGCAATTAGCTGGTATAGAAAATATACATATAAGCAATAACCTCCCGCTCCCTCTGCTCCCTCTGCTCACTTGTCGCTATGTATGTATTCGTCCTGGCCGCATCCTCCATCACATCGATGTCGCCAATGCAGTCGCCGGGTCCGAAAATAGCCTCCGATATGGATTCGTATGATTTGGTAGCCTGTGCTCAAAAGGATCAATGTGTGGAGATTACTAATGAGTACTAATGTTCCTGCGCCGACTGTACCTTGTTGTGCACCATCTTGGACATTTCCACCTCGCCGGTGATTATGAAATAGATTGTGATGGGAAAATCGCCCTGCTTCATGATATGCCGGCCGGGAGTGAGCGCCATAAACTTCAGGTGTGGCACCAAGCGAGCGCGTAATTTCTACAACCAAAGGACAATGAGAGGGCGCTGAATGGAGGTAGGAGCTGGGCTGGGAGCTGGGAGCTGGGACAGCAGCAGCACTCACCGGATTGAATCTGGAGAAGCAGGCTAGATTTGCCACAATTGTGCAGAGTTTCTTTCGCTCCTCGACGGTGCGCACCATGTGTGGCATGCGTAGCAGCGATTTCTCCTGCGAATCGAATCGAATCGAAAGAAAGGACATCTCATTGGGGACACCCCCGCAGGGGCACACTGCCACTACTCACCGCCATGGTCATCATGCCGATCTTGCGCTTCTGTCGCACCAGCATGGCGACATTTTTCTTGACATTGAGCGAGAGGCCCGTCTCCTCGGTGGCATCGCTCAGCCACTGCATGTTGAGGATGACATTGCGAACGAGCTGCTTGAACCGCAGCTTGGCCGCCTTCCTGCTCGAAACATCGGGATTCTCGCGCTGACGCTTGGACATTTTGTTTGAGCTATTTGAATAGTGTTTGGACTCTAACCGAACCAATTATCTTTGGCTAGAATATCGTATATCGTATTTGGTCGATGATCTGCTGGGATCTGTTCGTTTTTTGGCTAATGTTATATACTGGCTCTGTATTCGTTTCATCTACTTATGTGTGTAACAGATTTCAGTTCGAGTCTATACATCTCTTTCACACAGTGATAGATTTCAGAAAGAATATATGATTTACTTTGGATATTCTGCACTTTTTCCGGACTGGCATGGAACCCCGACCCCCAATTATCAGCTCGGCAGGCAATTAATTTTTTTTATATGTATTTGTATTTATTTCAGCAAACACAAAGACAGTATCGGAATCAGCTCAATTCCCTTTGTAAGATCCTTATTTCAATGATATCTTACCTTACCTTACCTTATTTGCAGATTTGCTGGAACTTAAGGCTCGGGGCTGGCCTTGTATGACCGAAAGAGTGGCGGCAAGGTGGGAAATTGTGTGACTCAATAACTTCTGTCGTTTGTTTTTGTTTTGTTGATTATTTAATTCTTTTATTGGCTTGGTTGGTTTGCTTACAAATTAAGAACCTCCTTGTCTTGCTACTTGTGTTGCGGGCTGGTGGACTCAGAGCCATGGTCCGTTACAAGTGGTAAAAAAATGTATGTGTAATCGTAGTAAATTACGAGTATATATGTATATTATAAGTAAAAATAAGTTTTGCTTTAATGTTTAATTGTTTTCTTGATTTTTATAGATTTTTGTTTAATTTTTCTAGATTTTTCTCAAATTTTTCTAGATTGTAATGTTAAATGAACACTAACATTATAAAAGAAAGCTCTAACATTGAGCCAAAGCTCAATAATTTCCCTGCTTCTGCACAAAACTTCGCTGTGCTTTGGGACACGCGAACTGGGGAAGTGTGGGCAAGTGTGGGCAAGTGTGGACAAGTGTGGTGAGCAGCGCACATTGAGTGGAATGCTCGATGGAGTGTGAGTGTGAGTCGAATTTTGAATTCGAGTGAGTGTGCAGACGGAGTGAGTGTGTTCGGTCGGATGCTTGGCGATGACTCTGTAATTTTTGCGAACGGTATAACTGTTTTCAAGGATAAGCGATGCCCACGTGCTGGCTGGGGAGCACGGACGAATAAAACGCACAAAACGCAATTTCTCGTCTTCGACAATCGTCGTCAATCGTCATAGCATAGGCGGCACGGCACTCTTCGTCCACTCCACTCGTCGCGGCTGGTTCTCGTGGTCGTCGCCTGTCACACTTAGAGAGGCAAGCAGGAGGAGGCAGCTGTGTGGCAGCTTCAGAAATCAGAGGTACGATGCTCACTGGGGAATTATTGCCTAAAATGCAGAAGTCAACAAAATGAATCAACAAATGCCGACACCCGACACCCGACAACCGACACCCAATTGATGCTGCTGCCTGAGACAAAAGGCCACGGTGCAAAGTTATTTGAATAATTCTTTTTTTTTTGTTGTTGGTTTCCACTGTATGTTTTTTTTGTTGTTGTGTGGTGAAGACTTAATGACAAGTGCAAGTGCTGTGACTACGAGAGAGAGAGAGAGAGAGATCCCAGGAGCATCAGGAGCAGCAAAGGATAAACCAAAGAACGCGTTTTTCTAATCGCATTAGCCCTGGGCCCTGGGCCCCGAGCCTGAGCCCAGTCATACATTCCCAATGCCATGGAATATAAACGTACGAGTGTCTAAGTACTTGTAAAAGTTGCCTTCGCACGGGGTAAGTGAGTGTCTCGCTCGTACTCGCAATATCCGTCATAAATTTAAGACCCTTCCCTTCATATGCACGATGCATGGCATCGCCCTGGGAGCTGCTCTTAGGAAGCCCTCGGGACGCGCTTCAAAGTTGCCTTTTTCTAGCAGAGCAGGAAGTGCCAATGATTAATTTGTGTGTCGTTACGGCTTTTGGAAACTTTTGGGGAATAATGCCAAAGGAAAATCAATCCGATACGAGTACTTTCCAGTTTGGCAGGCACACAGATCTGATTTGTATCCATTCTCCTGAGTCCCCAAAATGATTTGCACAAATGTTTTTTTTTCGATTAGGGGGAAACTTTTTCCATTTTCCATTTTTCGATTTTGTCCATTTTGCCATTTTCTGCTTAGCATAAAGAAGGCATTGAGAAAGTTTATTTGCTAAATAATCTATTTTGACCACACACAAACGAAACGAAAGGTGTCACAGACACCTGAGGATATTTGGAATGGTTTTCGCACTTAATAAATTCAGCATTTGCTTTTGCCCCAGTACCAGCAGCACGCTCTGTGTGGTGGAGCATGAAAAGGAACGCAAATGTAAAACAAATGCATATGGAATGAGCCCAATGGGTTTTCGGTTGCAACTTGCAACAGATTTTTGTTGATCAAGTTAGACAAATTAGCCAGCAGCCAGGCTGCAGGTTGCTTTCGGCACAGCCTCCACCTTACAGTTATTTGATCTATGAATGCAAATTGCTTCATTCAATTTGAAATAAATATTTAATTGCTTGCCAAATAAATTTCGTTGCTTGTTGGGTACCAAGCAGATGGTAAACCTTTTCCAAAGTATTCTGAATATCATATTACAATTCCTATGACTGGTTCTTGCAATGCAAAAAGCTGGTTAGTTCGTCATAAAATTCATAGTGCTAGGCAGTAAAATGGGTCAAGTCAATGTGAAGTAGTTCAAGGAAATCATGGGATATGGAATACTCAGGCATAGGAATAGGCAACTGATTCGATAAAATTTACCAACGCCAAAAAAAAAAATGTATAACAATAAATACAGTTTTTCAATCAATGTTTATTTGGAGAAATTTGCAAAGCATAAGAAATAAAATATACAAAAATGTATAATTTAATAATATATGCACATAATTTAATGTAGCTGTCAATTAATGCTAAACGAACTGCATAAGAAATACTTTAAGGACATAAATTATATCCCATTAGATATTTAACGGAAACTTCTTTTTTTGTTACGGAAAAAAACAATACATAAACTATCACAGCTATCGATCTTTTTTTGCTGTAATCTATGGGGTTTCTTGGTCCATAGAGACCCAGAGATTACACCATATGATGCCCACTCCTGTAAACCATTTTTATTCGTACAATTTTATCACGCTGCTTCCACTTCCAACCCCCCGCAAGACGATGCTACCTGAATAGCATCCACAATTCAAGCGAGACAGATAGAGACCACAGGTGTGCAAAATAATTGGAAATATCTATTAAATTGCAAAAAAGAAAAAGAAAAAAAACCAAAAGCAGGAAAAAAGAAAAAGTAAAATAATGATTATTTGCATTTTAATTTTAATTAATATACAATTTGCATGCATGTGCAAAGAAGCTTTCGAATGATATCAAATAACAAAAAAAAAACCAGCATTTTGGAGTTAATGTATGTATCCTGTGTGTGGTGTGTGTATGGACACGGCTGAAGCCTTCAAAATAAAACGAATGCAAACGAATTCTCGGCTAGATAATGCATTTTTTGCCCCAGCCCTTTATGTACATGAAATATCCATCAATATATAAAAACGACCTAAGGGGTTTTGATGGACATGTGTGGGTCCGACCCTTTCTTTTGCCGTGGTTTTGCCAGGGCATAATTGAATCAATCCCAGGAGTGAAACGTTGGAAAAAGGAGCCATCGATGGATGCCTTACAAATGGACAAGAGACCTCTTATGGCTTCCATGCAGCAGTCTGTGTTTGGTTAGGTGGGGGAGGGGGGTGGCATGTAGTAGCCTGAAGTTTAAAGTTCTTCAAGAGAGTTGATTGCGTATGAATGTGGGATACATACATACATACATGCATACTCGTACAGTGAGTCTAAAATGTACTCAGGCCGGCCCTGTTCTGTCCTGTGCTCCTTCGCGAATAAATGGAACATGGAACATTATTACACCCGAGGACACAGCTTACTTTATGGAAGGAGTACACTTAGGCATCTGTCTCCGGGGGCGGCACAGCGTCCCAAGAATTTATTAAAAACGTTTCACACTTTTGTGGCCCCAAAAAAAACTTTCTGCAGCCCATCCTTTGACTTTTCCTGCTCCCTCAAACTTATCCCAATAAAGGAAATACATTTTGGCTTTTTGTTGTTGTTGAATTATTTGTTTTAATGTTTTAATCCAGGCAGGACAGCACAGGACAGGACAAAGGCGACAATTGACAATTTCTGTTGTGTGCTGATCTCTCTTCCTCTCTCTCTCTCATTTTGTTGCTGTGCAAAACTTATCCATTAAACTTTTGATATAGCCTTGTGCCAATACTTTTTGCAAGCCACTGTGTGGGCTTTGTGGGGTGTTTAGAGTGTGTGGGGTGTGTGGGGTGTGTGGGGTGTGGGTATACGTGCCCGCCCATTCGTTTGAATTGAGAAACGTCGCGCAGATATTCAAATCTGACAAATTAACATATTGCCGGATGGGTAGCAGCGTTCAGAAATACTTGCGAATGCGAATACGAATGCGAATGCGAAATACTCGTAAGTGAGTAAGTCAACAGAAAATGCTCGGTAATTGCGAAATGTCAGAGCCCCCGGCGGGCCCCACACACACACACACACACACACACACAGGCAGGCAGGCCCATGTCCTGGCCCCTGGCCCCTGTCCGTGTCCTGTGGCCCCTGAAGAACTTTCTAATCTGAATATAAGGCGCATGAAGTACGGAGAGCAAAAAAATGAAATGGAATGGAGAGCTGAGCTGAGCTGAGCTGAGCAGAGCAGAGCAAAAGGAATTTTCGGGTGTAATGAACACAGCGGGATAGCAAAATATGTACAAGAGTTAATGCTCGGGAAAACAAAACATAACCCAAAGCACGTTTCGCACTTAGGCAGAACGCCCCAGAAGGTGCAGGCCGAAGCTTCTCTGCCCCTTGCTCTCTCCCTCGCTATGCTACGGGATGGTATACGATGTCGTATGGGTAGGAGCAGGGCAGCAGGAGCAGGGCCATCATCATCTACCATCTCCCGCTGGTTTAGTAGGGGACTAAAGCGTTAAGAGCTAGTTAGCAAGGCCAGGTGAGAAGGGAAGCAAATGACGACGACGACGACGACGACGGGGACTAGGACGACCGACTACGCTGAGTGACGTGGGACAAACAAAACAACACTAGAAACAACAACAAAAACACACACACACACATACACATACGCACAAAAAAAAAAAACAGAAAACAGTTATAGTAAGAGTAACAGTAAGAGTAAGCGTAAGAGAAACGGCAGCGGGAAACAACAAATTCAGGCGGCGGCACAAAGACGTGACAGACATGCCAGTTCCCGTTCCTTATTACTGTTACGTTACTCACAGCAGCTACACTGTGAGAGAAAAATAGTTGCTAAATCACAAAAATAGAATAAATGATCTGACGCAAATATTTTGCACTTTTAAGCTACTAAAAGAATAAATTTTATTATTAATTAATTAGAAAAGAAACAAAAATGTTAGATTCGTGCTCTAAAAGTTGCCCATCTGCATCTTATAAAATATACTAATTTACATTAAGTCACTTTTTTTGTTGGAAAGTAATGGGACCAAAGAAATGCAGACAAGAAAATATTAAAGCAAAATGCCAAAATTGAAGTAACATTCAAATGATGGAAAACTTAAAATTTGGGTTTCTATATCTTAAAGTATATCATCAATTCCATACTCTTTTAAATTCATACATTTTTGTTTCGTTATAACGCGCTGCAAATGCTGCATAAAAATAATAAAACTTCGTAATAGCCAAATTGGAGGTTTTTTATTTTTGTTTTTAGTATTTTGCGGCTATATGGCCAATTCCAAGTGAAGTATATCTCATAACAACTCCAACCTGGCCCACAAAACAAAACTATTTCGACAGGCAGATTTGCTGCCCAACTTGAACCGAAGATTATTTAATTTAAATCTTTCGTGGAGCACAAAGGCTTTCCATCGCATCTTAAGATCTCTTTGTCCACACCAAACACTTGTTTTTCCCCAGTGTATGGAACTTCTGTTGCCAGTTTCTGAAAGGGATTGTGGTTTATGGATGGCAAGGGGGGGACGACTGGGCGACACATACCAAAACCTTCCGGCCACGATAGGCACGGGGTAGGGGGAGGGGGAGGGGGAGGGGAAAAGTGTGGTAAATTTTTTCCTCAACAAAACGCCATAGACATAATTCAACTTTTATTGCCATTGTGAAGGAATCTGGGCGTCGCCTTTTTTTGATTCAAAGCGCTTGACTTGGGTGGGGGGAGGGAGGGGTGACTTTAAGCGCTTACCCCCGTGGATTTTGACAGTTTACCCTTTGGCACTTCACAGCACCAAAGAAAGAAACAAACAAACAGAGATGGGACTGGGGCAAAGGAGAGTCAGAGTCAGAGACAGAACAGGACAGGAATGAGAGCATTTAATTATTTTAAATGAAATGAACAAAGACTGCAGAGATATCAGCAAGGCAAACCGACTTAAACAAAGGCAAACACTCACTTAGAACAGACTGTGAGAAGAGCAACTAAAAAGGACCAGCCGGAGCTGAGCCCCGAATGCCGGCAAGAGGACTAATATAATATTTATTACGGTGATTATGTCAGGGCAGCAACGCCCTCCGGCCTGGGGACCAGCAGCGCCAAGAGCAGGGAGCAGCAGGGAGCAGCAGGGAGCAGCAGCAGCAGAAGCACGGATCCATGGCGAAGGCAAATGATGAGTTTTTGGTGTATGGCAGGGCATCAACATCAACCACAAAAGCACATAAACTATGATGACGATGCCGAAGTTGAGATTGTCAGGCCGCAAGTTAAGCCGGAGAGACGGCTTTAATTCATATTAATACAGGAAAAATTCCAACTAAAAGACACACAAAACTAACTGTAAATTAATTTATTTATTAAGCATTTTACACCACTTCGAAATAAGTTACTTGATAATCTACAGCTGATGGGAAAGAAGTCATCCCATATTCTGTTGGGGAACTCGAGTCACATTCCTCCGGAACACTACGAATTATTAAGGTGCACCATTTCCATGTCCCAAAACGAGCACTCTCAGTTCTCTAATTCTCTATTCTCTAATGAAATTCAATGCCGGGGTATGCTGCATTCATCCATCAATTTTTAAACGTTCCATATAACAATTGCAGTCATGCAAATAGCGACAGAACAGCGCAGATCCATGTCCAAATCCATTTAAAAAATGGTAACAAAAACGAAAAAAGAAACAAGCGAAAAATCACAGCAGTTTACAACAAAAATTCGTTACTTTTTATCAAGTGACCTTTTTGGGGCATAGAAAATCTTGTTCAGCGACAGCGACAGCGACAGCCAGACCCCCACAGACAGCTGCACGGAGTGCAGCGAAAGCAGTGAAGTTCATCAAGTGGGAGCGCTTACTGTACAGAGACAAAAAGAGCCCATAAATCCTGACATGCGACAAGAAGCCTTGGGTGGCGTTCCAGCCAGCCCCATGCGTATCCTCCAGGGTGGAATCGAAAGCGTATCAAAACTGTTATTTGTTTTTTGAACACACAAATATATGTATTTTATCACTTAACTTAATTGCCGAAACAAAGTTACACTACGCGTATACCTACAAGCATACATACATACATACATACATATATACGAGCATGAATATACATATGTATGTACATATGTACATATTTGGTTTGTGACAAGGTCAGTCGCTGGCTGCCAAAGCGAAAGATGATAAATGTTTGCATGAATAATTATTTGCCGGAAAGACCTAAAAAATTACATTGTTGCCGACAACTGTCAGGCGACTGGGAAAAGGACTGTGAAGGACATGGACGTGGACGAGAACGAGAACGAGGACTGGCGTCCAGTGAGCAGCATCGAGTTGACCGCAAATAAAGCGACCGTGAAGGATGCACCGCTGGGACACACACCCCACACAGGTGGAAGGAGCACAGGCAGGCAGGCAGGCAGGCAGGAAGGCAGAGAGGCACTCAGGGAGGGAGTGAAGAAGTGATGAAGGAGACTTAAGGCTTAGCGACATGGTGAAAGACAGAGGAGGAAGCGCACAGGAGATGGCAAACAGAATTGGGGCAGTCGTCTAAAAGTGAAATCAAAAAGGGAATAAAACTGACGGAAAAGTCACAAACACACACACACACACACACACACACAGAGAGAGAAAACAAAAAAAAAATAGTTAAAGAATGTCATCACCTGACCTAGTTATCATCATCGTTGTCAGTGCTTATGGCTCCTTCTGAGTATATAATGGATATAACCCCAACCACCCCACCCCAACCCACCACAGAGTGCAGCTATATACAGACATACTCGTATGTACATGTATGTCAGCGGAATGCAAGGCAATCAGTATGGGAACTGAAAAGAAATGAAATTAATAAATAAAAGTAACATTAGACAGAATGACTGATTGCCTTCATGTACGTTTCACGAGCACAAAAATGCCTTCAAAAATGCATTGAAAAGACAAAGCAGTTTTTCTGACAGCGCTCAACCGTCTGGCCCTTGGGGAAGCACACAACAATATTTAATATTAAAATTACAAAGTATTAGCAACCGCAATTTTAGCAGGTGATTAGGTAGCAGAGAAAGGGGAAGCTATGAAATAAATTGCTGGCAGAAAAGGATCGTTCACAAGGCAAAACTTTGTGAGCCAAAAAGCAAGCAAGTTCTGAAGATAATAATAATTATAATATAAATATTATTAATTATCATAGCCCAAAGAAAAATACTCTTTGTTTTAATTGTGCTATAAAGTACAGCAATAAAATGTCAGTTTACTGCTGCTTTAGCACCATTTTCGTTGCAATTTTTAAAAACAAAATAATTTTACACAAAAAAAAATAAAACAATTTTCCTTAAGATTGGCTACAAGCGTTATTTTATTATTTAATTTGATTTATCCAACATTTCTATAAGCATTTTCCGAAAATAACAAAACATATTTTTGTACTTAAATTTAAACTAAGAAAGAAAATCACCAGAGGGTAACTGCATCCAACCGCAAAACACTTTCAGCACACAAACTGCATATTAATGTACGAACATTAATGTGTATGTATGTTTGTATGTTTGTGCTTTAATGCTGATGATGTCCTTGGCGGTGGTTTAGCGAAGACATTTCACGCTACATAAATCAAAGCTCAAAACTATCCATACCCGTGCCAGAGGCCCGAAAGGGTAAGAGACTTGTCTGTCTGTCTGTCTGTCTGTCTGTCCAAGACTCACTTAACGTAATCGTATTTTATGGCATTTTACGAGTATAAATGAGCAAACTTAAGCGAGCGAGCCAACTATATATATATACTATGCCATGTACGAGTATAATATATATATCTATAATTTTTGTGTGCGTGTGTTTTTGTTGCCCTTGCAGTAATTTGAATGATACCAGTTGCCACGAAAGGGGAGCATCCTTGGGTGAACAGCATCAGCATCAGCATCAGCATTGAGTGCCACAACAGCATCAGCGTTAGGAACAACTGCAACATCAACAGCATCAAGTGCTGGATAAACTTTTCGCTTTCGCCAGCCAACAACCGAGAACGAACGCCGCCGCCGCCGCCTCCGCCGTCGACACGCAGCTGCGTTTCCTTTTTTTTTTCGGGGTTGAAATAAAATGAAGGTTTCGGATTTCTATCGAACACATTCTGTAAGTCACGTCAGCCCGTGCAAAGGATGAGGCGTCCAAGTGTATATAGGGCATCATCATCAGCATCTAACGCGGCGGCCCAGACCCACAAACGGGCGTCGCCGCCGCCACAATACTCCCAGTACCCCCCCTATAGTACTCGTCCGCAGACGACGACGACGACGACGACGACGACGACGACGAGCCTCATCCGGCTGCTCGCCGTTGTCTCGGTAATTGGATCGCAGTTTCATTCTGCTCTGGGTAAGTGCTCCAAGAAAATTGTTTTAAATATTATTACAGCGAAAAGCACAAGTAATCCCACTGCACAATCAACTGACAAGCGAGAGAGAGAGAGACGAGACGAGACGGCGGCCTGGCTTGCTTGGCTTTTATTTACTTAGGCAATACACAAAGCTGCGCGCTTCCATTTCAAATTAAAATCTCATAAAACACACAGCTTTCCCACTTTGATTAAGAGCGCAATTTATGGGCTGATCAAACATTTATTTGCTCCAAATAGTTACAGTGCTAATTCAATAGTCAATTAGTGCTTAAAGTTTTGCTGATAATTCATTTCTAGCTCTTATCAGGCAGTAGTTAGTTATGCCTAGCTATGATATTCCCATATATTCATCCTCGTGTTGGGAGTGACATTAAGTAGCATAGATATGTATGTATGTATTGGCCGGAGGGAGGGGAGGGTCGTGTATCATCCATACATAGCCATCAGGCAGCCCCCCCCCCTCCACCCATCCCATTGATTGGACCGCACAGATAATGTGATTAATAGGCTGCTGTCCCTCCTCCTGTCCTCCACATCCCGGCGCAGATTGCGCATTTGTTGCTGTCCAAAGAGGTGCCGAATTAAAGCTCATTTCTTATTCAAGAGTTTAGCCTATTTGTAAATTAAATATTAACAATCGATGTAATTAAATTTCGCGCATTTTCAATTACATATGCAAGGTACATGGATAGGGGCAGATGTATGGATACATACATATATATATGTATGGGCATACGAGTAAATGCTTTTTGTACCCTCTAAATTTTAAAGGCATTTTTTTTTGTTTATATCTATTCACTCCGAAGTGCTGGCCCTAAAGGGTATACAGCCGACGAGTGCTGCCGCATGCTTGGCATGCCAACCATTGTTTATTCGCACTGTTTTTTATGCCTTGGCTTTGTTGCGTTTCGAAATAATTTTTAATATTTAATCAACTCATCGAAAGGTAATTAAATGCGGCATGTGGTAGTGGTAGCCATGGCCCTGATGGTATGTGCTCCACAAGCTCTCTTTTCAATGGACTCGTATGTGCCTGCTGTACCTGAATAAATCCTTTTAATACGCCCAAAAATATGCATTATGATGCTCTGTATACATTCTGTTTATTCACATGAAACTCCAAAAACTCAATTACTGATCATTGGCTGCGGTACACCACACATGACCATTATTTAAGGCTTAGAAGATACAAACGAATTTGTATTCATATTTTTATTCATTTGCCAAGGGATTTTAAAATTCATTAACTACTTAAACGGGCTTAATGTATGCCAATAAAGCAATCATAAATTAAGTTTAGTTATCAAATGTAGATGGGTTTATCAGCAACCTTTTCGTGCCCAATCACACAAATTTCACAGGCTACTGCTGCTAATAAGTATGTGGTTATTGACCAGGTTTTTTCCATTAACCCACATCCACATCCACTGGCACTGGCACAGCAGCACAGACTGTCGAGCCGCCGGCAGGCTCAACCACAGCGAGCACACAGAACAGCAGCAGCATCAGCAGCAGCAGCCGTCGAGCCGAGAATAATAATTTATTTTTTGATGACCATAATACAACTAAGGCAATATCATCAACCGCTGTTAACCCGACAGCAAGCAGCACAACCCTTTACCAGATCCACTCCCAGTCCCAGCACCAGTCCCAGCACCAGCTCCAGCTCCAGTCCCTGAGCCAGCCCCAGTCGCAGTCCCAAATGCCAACGAAAACGTCGGACACGCCGCACCCAGCAGCACACTTTGCCGTACCCACAGGACTGAAGCCGAGGCCAGGCATAGCAGTGGCAGCAGCAGCAGCAGCAGCAGCAGCAGCAGTGAAAACACCACCAGACAGCAGCAATGAGATTAGCCATAGCGCGCCAATCAAAAATTTAATTACCAGCCTTGAGCGCACTGGGACAACAGACCTGCTGCTACCGACAACAGTCGCTGTGGCTGTGGCCGTGGCAGTGGCAACACCAAAAAGCGCTAGGAGCACCGTTAAGCAACCCATCGACTCCACACGCTCCCGGAACCATTGGACAGTGGGGGGTATGGCCAAAAGTTCCCTGGACACACAGCAGAACCGTAACTTTATACTCTATTTTTTTTTTTTGGGATTTTGTTTGGTTTTGCCGTAGGTTCCGCTGCCCATGAGACGGAGAGGCCACGAACCTTTCGCAGCAAGCACCATCATGAGCACCATTGGGGGCCCTTCTTTGAGGAACCAATCAGTTCGGTTGCCGCCGGCGAAAGCCTCGTGTCCGCCGTGCATCTGTTCACCGAGGCGGTGCTCAATTGTCGCGTAGGCATGCTCAAGGACAAGACAGTAAGTTGACACAAAGCACAGGGCAGCAGGGGCAGAAGAATTGCACAGTTTATGGCGTGTACTACTTCCAGGTGATGTGGGTTAGACGCACCACCGAAAAGGTGTCCCTGCTCACGGTGGGCAATGTCACATACAGTGGAGATCCGCGCATACGCGTCAAGTTTCAATATCCCAACAACTGGCGATTGCTGATAAATCCCACACAGCGCGAGGACGCCGGTATCTACATGTGTCAGGTTTCCACCCATCCACCGCGGGTATTCACAACCAATCTAACCGTACTGGGTAGGTAGCATAGATGGCCGTTTATATTTGAGAATTTCGTAATCAATTTGTGTGTTTTTGGCAGAGCCCCCATTGAGGATAATTGATGAGCATGAACGAGATGTGGGTGATCGCTACTACAAGTCGGGCAGCACCGTGGACCTACAGTGCCAAATATCGCGCAACTTTTTCCAAAAGGAACGCTACAACATACTCAAGACGAGCGATCCAACAACAGCCAAAGCACTTTCAAACGAGACGGAGAATGAACTAAATCTGATCGGTGACACAAATCAAACTCAACTGAAACTAACCAGCCAGGAGCTGGAGAAATACTTTACCAAGTTTATTACATGGGCCAAGGACGAAGAAGCACTCCAACCACTGACCAATAAACGCTCAAGGTGGGCTCCTTACACTATTATCTAAAATTAATTTTAAATTTCATTTGAAACTGCAGCGTATCTGAAAAATGGCTAACTAGTCGCATCACCATTGAGGATGCAAAACTCTCCGATAGTGGAAATTATTCCTGTTCCCTTGGCCGACTATTTACTGTAATTGTCCAGGTACAAGTACTCACAGGTATGAAGATCTCCTTCTAGATATTTTAATTTATTCAATTTGATTGAATTGAATTGTATGCCATGCCCATGTCTTCTTTTAGGGGAATTACCCGCTGCTGTCCAACATAACTTGGCGACCAGAACCGAAGGATTTTGGTGTCTCCTTTTTATGCCTATTGCTTTCCACTTTGTACTTCGTAGACGACATCTTGGACATTAGTATGACGAATGCCTAAGATGAGGGAAATAAGAATGGAAATTTGAATGGAAATTGGAATGGAAATTTGATTGGATTTCCACACGCACACACACACCACACCACACCACAGTTTACTTAGTAAATAATGTATGTATGTAATACTTTCAGATAACTTTCACGTGTGTGTGTGTGTGTGTGTATGTGTGTGTGTGTGTATAACAGAACGACAACTTGTCCAAATCAATATTCATATAAACAATAGGATTTTATATATCAATTTACATGACATTATCACCTACATATGTGAGAATCTCTCTCTCTTATATGGCCTTCACGTTCTGCGCTATCCCCCCTCCGTAGAGGAAAAAGAACACAAAACAGAACTTAAGAGAAGAACCTAATGTGAAGAGTCTGTATAACAGTTGGTTTTTTTTTTTTCATACCTCCCAAAAATGTGTGTACGCCCAAACCTTACCACAACTATCATGTACTCGAATGTATTAGCTTTATTTAAAGAAAATCAAATACAACCTTTGGGTATGAAATTTTGTACAAATTCCGTGAGCTTAAATAATAATTCTTTTGATTTTTGTTTGGTGTTGTTGTTTTTGTTTCCTTGTGATGTTTTTCAATTAGTTATAAATCATACAAACAAACAAACAAACTTAAACGATGTGATTTTCGTTCAGTAATTATGTAAATATTGTAAAATTGGTAAGGTAAATGCATGATTTACAAAATGGTTATATTAATACGATTTTGATTATTGTTCTCTCCTTTCACAAATCATGTTGATTATGTATAGTTAAAACCTTGTAATTAATCGGGAGGCAATCTACTAGGATCAATGCGTACCATGCCAGTCCCCCCAAAAAAACCAAAAAAAAAAAACAAAAAACAACCAAACAAATATAGTTAAACTGACGTCATTGTGTAATTATTATTGAATGAGTAAATCAAAATACTTTCAAATATACGAACCATTAATATAAATTATCGTATGCCGAAACACTGTTGTTGTTGTATTCTCTTCAATCCAACTGAATTACTGGAATTTTTAGGGGTGCGTAATTACGGTGGTCTTTACAGCTTAAAATACATATAAATACAATTAACTATTAATTAATAATGAACAGTTTACAAAAAAAACGAGGAACTAAGGAATGCAGGAGGCGCGCAGTTTGGCGGCGCTGCACGGTTGAATTTCGATTTTACAGAATGCTGCAATCGTAATAGCTGAAACCGTTATTTTCATTCCATACACACAAACGTTGTATGCCTTTGGTCGTTTTTGATTAAACCCTATTTTAGAAATAGTCCAATTAAAAGGAGTCCTCAAAGTTATCCAATATTGTAGAAAACTAATTTATCTATCGGATAAAATTATATGTTAAGTGCTGAAAGTCCCAACTAGCTGGTAAAATTTAACCGAATATTAAAACCGGGGAATAGGGACAGAGACCGCTTAGCCCATTGTTGACCAGTGGGTTTTTTCAATTTCCGCACGAATTTTATAAAATTGAAATTTTTTATTGTGGAAACATCTTTTTGTAAGTAAAGAGCTGAAAGGAGCTGCAATGAGCATTTAAAAACAGTTTTATTTTCCGAAATTTAACTTACGGTGTTCAATTATTTAATTAGATGGGGATTAAGTGGGTTAAGTTTTTTTTTTCCTCGGTATATTTACGGTATATTTAAAAAATTAGTAGGAATATTTCGGTACATTTCTGAGGGCCGGACAGTATATTCTATCGATATATCCGCGGTCACACTGATCGTACCAGTTCCAAAACACCGTATTAGCCCACAATTTTTTTATTTTCTTTTAAAGTTAACTTTTCCTTTAGATAATAGTTTGATTTACGAAAAATACCGCAACAACACAACAAGTGGGTTTCGCTAGTGTGCAACAGTTTGCTTCTGCGCTGCCTCCCAGCGACCTTGGGCCACCCACCACTCGATAGACCACAAAATAGCAAGCACATTGACTATGGGAATAATAAATTCCACCGGACATACACGGGGACAGGGACAAGAGGACAAGCCACAGCAAGATCTCGTATTATCGATGGGAAAAATGGCAATTGCTGTCGCGCCCTTGTTAGCGCTCGGTCTGTCTGACTCTGACTTCACCTTGACTAAAGTACACACGACGCGGCAGGGAGGCAGTGCAAAAAATGAACACACACACATTGTAATGATAACAGTAGCAGCACAAATAATATGCAACTGATTTCCCACAGTTTTCAACGCCTGCATCGCTGCATAATTCGGCCAAATCAAATCGAAAATGTTGAAGCTACGTAACATTCTGAGTGTCGGCAATAACAATGGCCTGTCCGCTGTCCGGTAAGATATATAATAATAATCATAATACAAAAAAAAAATACAATAATTAAATATGTATGTATATTCCAAACATACGAAGCTGTATGGGCATATGTACATACATAGGTACATATTTATTCTACAGTGGAATATCAAATTGCATGCTTTTGCCTGGACTCTAAGACGTAAATTGTCCGATATGTACATATATACACAGACGCATAGATGCAAAACTTTTGTGGGCGGACACTCACAAAGATGTCCGCCCAAGGTGATGCATATATGTATGTATAAATATATGTACATATGCGTGTATTCAGGTTCTTTTCTTCAGACAATCAACAAAATTAATTGGTATCCCCCTAGTTTATATCTAAGCAAGAATTCCGCTCACGGGGAAAAGTCTTTCAGATGAGCGGAAGGAAAATATCGACCTACCTAAGCTCTGAAATTAATTAAAATACAATCTCTCGCGGCAAAGAGAGATACAGAAGCCATCCCTATACGGACATGAAATGTAGATAAGATTGGGCGTACAAAAAAGTCGTTTTCATTTCGAATATCTGGTCAAGAACCCTTTCTATAAGCCAACCCATTCATTTCATTCCAATAAATAAATCACAGTTGTCTTGCTGATTGAGTTTTTGGCTTGGCTAATCTGGTTAAAAGGTAGAGTCTTATAAATACGAAAACATAGATTTTAGTATCGAACTGTTTGGTTATTTGATTTATGGCTAATTGTTTACTTCCAGATGGATTTCGACCACTGCAAACTGCAGGGAATTGGATTCATGGTTCTCAAAGCTACTTGTACGAAAAATCGAACCAACTAAGGAGGCGCACAGTCGCATGCTGAGCGACAAGGAAATCATATATGCATTGCATACGCATAACGTACGACCCGACTCGATGAGCGCCTATCTGAATAACTAGTGAGTAGTAGTGGCATTGCCTGATAACAACAATTGACCCAGTGACAACAGTACGTTTCCATTGGACTAATCCAAAGGTTACACCAAAAATCTTGTCTCTTGTTGGGTGTTGTTGATTGGCTGGCACCAGATTTCATTGAATACTTTCTTGCAGCAAAACAACCGTGTCTTTGATCAACGAAAAAAAGGCAAATCTTTCGTGCAATTTGGTGGCATCATGGAGCGTACAGGTGGGCGACATGGATCAGTGCTTGCATTTATGGAAATACACGGGTGGCTTCGAGAAAATCGATCAGGCCAAAGAGGATCTGTGGAACGATCCAGAGTACCTGAGTCTAATGCAGGAGCGTTCCAAATTTCTGCGCTCACGCCACTTGCAATACCTGTTGGCCTTTAGCTACTGGCCGCAGATTGCCAGCCGTAGCGGCAAGAATATCTACGAAATGCGGTACCAAACACACACACACACACACACACTAAATCATCAAATGAATCGAAGTATTAAATTCTATATGCCATTTATTGTGTTGCAGCTCATATCGCCTGACGCCTGGCACCATGATTGAATGGGGCAACAACTGGGCACGCGCCATCAACTATCGCAAGCACAACAATGAAGCATTTGCTGGATTCTTCTCACAGATTGGCAGACTTTACAATGTGCATCACATCTGGTGTAAGTGGGAATAACTACATATACATATATCTAGAAGGAAGAATTCCTAACAACCCATTTTTGTACCATTCTTTTCCAACAGGCTATAAATCGCTGCAGGACCGCAAGGAGACCAGAGAGGCCGCTTGGCGTTCCCCTGGCTGGGACGAGTGTGTCGCCTACACTGTGCCATTGATACGAGAAATGCATTGCCGCGTACTCGCTCCCACTGAGTTCTCGCCCTCGCAATAAATATATGGGCTCTACAAATCGAAACCGTATCTTTCAACACATCTAATCTGATCTGATCCGAAATGCTGTGAAACATGCACTGAGAATGTAATGTTGCCGCTTCCGCTCGTTTTTAGTTGTTGTACATAATGCCATCATACATATACATATGTATGTATGTATGTATATATGCATTAAGTTTAGTTTTCTCTAGTATCAAATAAGGTCAAAAAGTGTGCATTTTACCCAAAAAAAAAAAAACAAAAAACAAAAAAACTATCCCGTATGTGTGCCTACCCCTGCCACATGCGAATCTTGAATTTAACCAAAAAGTTGAAAAACAAAAAAAAAACAAATTTCGTTTGTAAAACTTAAAAAACAATAAAAGTGTTATAAGCGTGTATATTGTGAAACAAGCAAAGCGCAAAATAATTTGCATTTATTTAAAAACTTTTTTTTTTTTGTTTGCCTTATCCGTAAATTAAAATGTATCTGCAGCTTAGTGAGCATTTTCTCCATGACAAACCTAAATAAATTGCAACCGATACACTGCACAGCTATAGGATTGATCTGTGGCACTACACTTGTAGATCCTTAAGTTTCAGGCCGTCTATTTTCAATCAGTTTCCTTTAAAGATATCCCTAGGTATCTCATCCGGAGATAAAACACGTATTTTTACAGCATAATGCATACAGACAATTTTTACAAGATTTATTTGATAGTGTTTTGTCCTTCCCCTGTTTTGGTTGATCGAAAAAAAAAGAATAACAAATGTTTTTTCGCTAAACTAAATGCTGTTTGACATGGGTAGGTAATACTGTGTACTGCAACACAGACTGGAATGCAATCTATGCAAAAAAAAGGTTAACATCTTCAGGGAAAAGGGGCAATGGAGCTTGCAACTTTGCCATCATCCAGATGCTACTTGGATTTTCGTTGGCATACAAATGTCCAAGTAGTACAACTTTGTTGCTTAAAATAATGTAATATTTTGTTAATGAGATCATTAATTATTGACTAGACTGTTCTGCCAGCAGACGCACAGTCCTCAAGTGCCTTTTGCCACAAAGATGCTGTTGCAGCGTCGTCGCATGGTTCATGAGCTTCTTGCAGGGCTCGCAGTAGTAGCCGCCGGTTGGTGTGCGGTACATGGATTGATCCGCAGCCGACAACTCCTCGACCAGACTGGCCGCAATCGATCCTTCGGAGACTTCGGGGGCCGAGTCCATTTCTATGTCCGGCTCCATGCTCATTTTGCGTAGATTCTTTTGATGCTTCGCTCCCCTAACGTGCATTTCCATTTGCCCTGAAGATGTAACCTTAATTTGGCAAAGACTGCACTCCACTCTGCTGCTAGCCTCAGCGTTCTCTGCGACTATGGCCGGACGATTGGCTAGATTAAGGGGCTCCTCTGCGGGCAGCTCTGAACGCGATGCGTCGTTCAGGAAGGACAAGTCCTTTAGTTTCGCATCTGTGCGCACCCAATTGCCACCGGCGGTCTCCGATATCCGCGAGAACTTGGACTCTACCAATTTGTGCTTGCGGCCCCCATAGTGCTGACGGGCGTGGGACGCCGAGCTCAAGGACAGATCGCAGACTTTGCAGTGGTAGGCAGTTGTGCCAATGCGACCGGGTGTCATCTGAAAGCCACGCTCCGGATAGGTCTTGGTTATCCATGCGGCCACTTGGCGATCGTGTCCCCTGGAGTAGTAGTGGTCCTCAGCGCTCTTGCACGATGTCATCGTCGCCTTGCACAGCTCACAGCGCATTGGCTTGATGAGAACGTTCAGCTCGTCGGGGTAGCCGGCATGGCGACCCAGAAAGTAATTCATTTCGGTTCCATCTACATCCATGGCATTTTCATTGACAGTCGGCTCGCCGGCAGAATGTTTGCGCTTCCTTGGACGCGCTGTGCCGGTGGTGGCGGCGGCTGCAGGACAAGGGACCAGAACACCTGCAAGGGCCATTTCCTGGTCCCCGAGCGCAACAACTTGATTATTGCCGCCAAACGCCATCAGTGGAGTGTCAAACAATTGTCCACGGTCTCTACTTGCGGTGCGCTTGTCGCCAGTTGTGGTGTTTCTGCATTGAAACTCGAATATTCGGCTGCATTTCGGACACAAAAATCAAAACAAAAATAGACAATTAGAGATGTCAATGATATATATCGCATCTGCATGTATCGACAATCGTGTGCGCTGATTGTTAAAGCAGTGGAACGAAAAAATGCAGATAATGGATTTTGATGGCTTATTTTTATCAAGTTTTCCCAATCAAAATGTATATAGCAAATAAACACCAAGATTATGTGACGTCACAACCATGTACAAGCATATATACACACACACACAGAGGTACTTCAAATTACGCAAGCTGCATGCTGCTGCTTCACAGAACCTCCCTGCCATAAAACATACATATTTATGCACATGAAAAACAGAATATTATTTCTTCTTTAACCCATCATTTATTAGCATTTATTGTACGAGTACATATACAATTCTAGCCATTTAGGTTTCGGTCAATGAGCGGATGATGTCCGAATCTCCAGGATCGGTAATGGACAGGGTGCACACGCGGAAGTATTTACCGCAGGCGGTGCCCAGCTCAATGTTGGTGCCGCTGTAGTGCTGAACCTCAGTCTTGGCCAACATGGCGTAGTACTCAATCTCGGATTTCCTGCAAAGGCACAAACCATAATCTATTAGTCATCAATGCCACAATACCAGACAGAATCGCAATCTGAGTGTCAATACAATCAGAAAGAGTCTCTAGTAATAAAAAGATTCGTCAGGGCAGTCGGAATTACGGAATCATCACAGTGTTTTGGTGTGTGTGTTTGAATATTAAATATGTTCAGTCTTACCCCAAGCAGGCGCAACATGTGCGTGTCGTTAATGAAACCACGTGGAGGTGCAGTAGCAAGGCAGAGTCCGAAAACAGTTGCTTGCCCTGCCGCTTGCACTGGCTGAGATGATATTATACTACTCCATAGTTTCCATCAATTTCTTTTGATTGAAATCATATTTCTCAGTCAGCATTAAGCAAGACTCCATATGGTTCCAACAACAGCAACGCATAGCTGTTCATACATACTTGGGTGCAATGGAAATCTACTTCTCGGTAGCATTCTCACCTCAGGGCGGGCGTGTTGCTGGCAATGAGGACCAGCTTGGCCTTGCCTTGACGCAGAGTCTTCAGCGTCTGCTTGTAGCCCAGGCAGTATTTGCCAGATTTCATCACCAGCGCCAGACGCGCATTGGTGCTCTCCAGCGCCTTTTTCTACAAAAACAAATGCAGCGATCAGCACAGATGCACAAAACCATGTTCACCATTTCTCATAATTACCTGTTTCTTAGGGGCAACCATTTTCAATATTTGAATCAAAGAAGCAACTGAGGAAAAACCAACTTTTAGATATTTTCAGACCAGCAAATTTCAGAGCACACCTACCTTCGTCGACTGACAGTGGCAAAAGAAAGAGGCGGCTGCCGGAAACGCGCTCCTGTCATCCGTGCGGGCACTTCAGAGTTGCTTAGTACTCATCGATAGTTGGCAGAGATGTGTTTGTCTTGCGATCGATGTTTTACTCCCTTCGCCTATTCGATATTTTAATAAGAGCCTGCAGAAACCATCGATGACATCGTTGCTACCATCGATATGTTTCTCCAGCTGTAGAGCGAGCACATTGAATTTCTTTGTAAACACAATAATAAATCTAATCTGAAAGAAATGCATCGCAGGAAGACCGCAAAGTCAATAAATAAACCGCCGCCAATTCAGGGACCAGCAAAGAAGGTGGCGGTGGCGGCGCCGGATGCAACGGCACCGGCATTTGACGGTGAGAGCGCCATTCAATTCGAGCTGGAGCTCTGCTGGTGTGTTCAACAGCTGCAGACAGCCCTTGACGGCGGCAAGCTCAGCCAAAAAGTTGGTAGGTTTATCTAGCTCAAGCACAAACATAGATGTGGTCTATAGTTCTCTAAAAACAACCAATTGTAGCCGAAGATACTGCCAAGAACCTTAAAATTCTGACAAGCCAAACGGCGCCACTCATCAAGAAGCGGCAGGTGATGAAGCTCTCCATGGGGGATTACCGGTCCAAAATGCAACAGGAGGAAAGAAAACTGATGCTAGGTGAGAAACTTAAAGATAGAAAATTATTTCAATGTATATATTAAGCCTGATAATGACTGAAATCCCTGTAAGTTTCTTGCCATCCACAACCTATTTGCCTCTCTTTCTGTTCTGTGCTACCGCTCATATTGATGGAAACAATATAACGCTTCATAATAAATTCTATATTGCAGCTTCCAAGCAAATAAAATTCACACCCTCCGCTGACACAAATAAAAAGTCCAGCTTTGTGAAGAAGTCGGCGCTTTTGACATCTGGAAAGGATTTTCGCTTTGAATTTGCTCTGCCCACCGCCACCGATACTAATGAGACTACACAAGAGCCCGCCCAGGAGACGGCATCCCATCCACAGTCAGACTTGTCAACGCTTCGCAGCAGCCTGCAGCAGGAGAGCACGGGGAGCCAGTTTAAATTCAACTTTACCATCGAGGAAGAGCATGCGAACGACATCAACTTTAGCGGCCTAAGACTGAACAGCTGATTGAAATTTGAATAAACTAAATATCAACCAATATGCCTTAGAGTACAGATTGACTGTGCGAATAAAACGCAAGTCTTTGATTCATAAATATCCGTTATACATGCGGGAGTGCGTTTCCATCATATTTTGTATAAGAACCGTTGTATACGACCTGCCGGAATATTCCCGCAATGTGCTCTCTTTTCTGTTTGCAGAAAACTGCAAACTTCGTTGTGTGTGTGATGAGTAAGACCCGATAGAGAGCGAATACACCCACCTTATTTCGTTTCATCATGGATGGCGTATTCCCGCAATGCGCGCTCTTTTCGGGACCTATTTTGCTCAGTGTTCAGTGCTGTGCGAACGTTCGGTAAAATGCCGCAATTGTGCAAAATTTGTCGCTCAAATTCGAGTCGTTTGATTTGCGTACCCAAAGACGGCAAAAAAAGACAACTATGGATAACTGCAACTCAAGTTCAATTAAAAGAGAGCCATAAAATATGTGAAAATCATTTCAATGAAGGTGATTTTCATTATGCATCTGACAGCATGGCAAAGCGCAGGCGTTTGCTACCAAACGCCGTTCCTCGAAGAGAGGAATACTTATATACAGAGGCAATACCCTCTGCTGTCGGTGCGAGTTTCTGTGATTTTAGTTCGCAAACTGAGTGAGTACCATGCACCATGATCGCTATTATTTGTATGATAATTTAGAAACTTTACCAAAATTACAGAAAGGAAGTAATTGAATGCGGAATAGCCCTAGACAATGTGCGACTCAAACTAAAAATCAAAGAATTACAAATGGAAAATGATCGGCTTGTCAGAAAACTACAGAGCCTGGAAAAGTTGGCAAACTCCCTGAAAAATATATTCACCGAGAAGCAAATAAGTAAGCTGGAGAATGGAGGCACACGAATATGTTGGAGCTCCGAAGACATTTCGGCAGGAATTTGTCTGCATGCTGCTGGACCCAGGGCCTATAGGCATCTACTCAAAAAGGGATTTCCATTGCCCTGTATATCCACACTGCACAGATGGTCGCAAACGGTGGAGATAAACCCTGGCCCGTTGCATTTCATATTTGAACTTATGGAGGCAGCTGTTGACCGGGAGAATGAAGACAAACTGTGCGTTTTATGTTTCGATGAAATGAAAATCCGTGTAGCCTGCTCCGCCACAAAGCCGCGCAACTACGTGCAAGTGGCAATGGCTCAGGGACTATGCAAATCTTGGAAGCAGCCCATCTATTACGATTTTGACAAGCCCATGACAATGGACACGCTACACATGCTGATCAAAAGACTGTACACTGCACAATATCATGTGGTGGCAATGGTGTCCGATATGGGCAGCGCAAATTCGAAATTATGGACACAGCTGGGAATATCCACAGGTACGAAGTGACGAAAAGAAATCTCTGGTGTAACCGATGTGCATATGTATTTTTTTTGTTTTAGAAAAAACATGGTTTGAGCATCCCGCTAATGCAGAGATGAAAATTTATGTATTCGCCGATGTGCCTCAACTGGTTAAGCAAATAAGGAATCACTTTCTGGACACTGGACTTGTGGTAAACGGCAATATAATATCCGCTGGGACTGTTAAGCAAGCGATGAACCTTGCCTCTGCTTCCGATTTGTCAGTTTCATGGAAAATAACGGATGAACACTTGAACGTGAATTTCACCGAAAGGCAAAAGATCAAATTTGCCACTCAATTGCTCTCCAGCAACACAGCAAGTGCCATTCGACGTTGCCAGCAACTGGGATTGCAGGTTGATAATGCCAGTGAAACTGCCGATTTCATTACGCTGGCCAACGATTGGTTCGACATGTTTAATGTTAAATTGTCCACAGCCAACTCAATTGCGACCAAGCAACCGTTTGGTAAATCCCTAAATGAGCAGCGTAAGCTGATTGGTGAGATGACTGCAGTCATGTCTGCCTTGAAAGTGCCCAGCTCCAAGCAGAAGCATCCCTTTCAGAAGGGCGTGATTGTCAGCAATACGTCGTTGGATCAATTATTTCAATATGTGGGCACACAATATGGCATGGAGCACTTGATAACTAACAGAATATCGCTGCAGCCTTTGGAGCATTTTTTCGACGCTCTACGGCCAAAGGCTGAGTCAAACGACCATCCAAATCCAATGGAATTCAAATATCGACTTCGGAAATATTTATTATCTAATGGTTTGGGTAAAATTACTTAAATTTAATTACATGTTAACATCAGCTAACGTTTCTATATTATTGTTATACATTTTTCATATGTACATAAATATGTGCATATGTTTGTTAGCTGTTCAAAAATGTATGAAATTTCCTTAGATTTTTTATTTGTGTCCATACAATGGCTATACCTGAAGATAACATATCAAGCCAAAGCGATCGAAACGCCTCATTTATAAATAGATTTAAATGATAATACTAGAAAGTCTCAAAACAGAATGCTTATGAAATTAATAGTTGAACTAAATACGAAAATTTTAATTAAAAAAGAATTTTTAAAATTTTATATTTAAGTACTTACCTTGGTTTTGAGGCCAGAAACTGAAAATGGAAATTAGTCGGTAAAGTGTTGTAGTTGTAAATGAAACAGCAGATAATATGTATTCGAATAATACGATAATCTTTATTCTATTAAAGGTAATATGAAAAATACTCAATATGGAAGTTATATTTTTACTATACATAATACATATACATATATATATATTACATTAATTACCTCTATGCTTATGTACACACGTAAAGGGTTTCTGTTCTTCTGTTGAATTGATTGAATACTCGTATTTGTGTACTGGGTATAGGATATACAAACATACACATTTATAGCACTTTAAATTCAATATATTGTTTTTTTGTTTGTTTTGTTTTTGTCTGTCTGTCTGTTTGTCTGTACATCGTTATTGTATTGTGTTCACTGATATGCATTTTATTTAATTCGAATTTACATTCTTTCTTCTTTTTTTTTTGTTGCTGTTAAACGAACGATACGATATAGCAATCATATGCGAGCGATATGGCAATCAGTACGACGTAGCACACGATAGCTTATTGGAGTCAGAGTTTAGAACATAATTATAGTCGTACATATGTATGTATTGTGTGTATATTTAATTTAAATTTAAATTTAAATTTATTGCACTCTGCTACATACTTCTACTTCTACTTCGTTCGTTCATTCCTTCCTTCCATCCTCTATGTATGTAAGACTCAACGAAAGATGACCAATTGCCAAACTTAAATCACATTATTTTCCATGTCCATTGCTGATTTCACTTAGGCATAAAATATAGTAGATATATATTCCTATATGTATGTAGCATATGCACTCTCGCATAGACACTCATTCAAAAATACATCTGGTACATTTTTCGCAGTATCCCCACGGAGTACGTACAGCTACGAGTATTTGGATTTTATTATGCCGAAACATATAGCACGCATATGGTACATATTGAGCTTAATTTGTGGCGATGATTGTTTTCCCGCCAATGTTTCAGGAATTCATACGATCGATCCCCTATCTTAGAGTCTGGGATCAGTTTTGTGTGTGTGTGTGTGTGTGTGTGTGTGTGTGTGGGTAGGTAGGTAAGATAATGCACATTTAGATTTTTGTTTGGGAAAAAAAGCGCATCAATTGAACAATTTACCTAAAAATATACAAAAGTTACATTCAACATTCATAAATGAATTTTTGTGTTCTAACTACTTATCCAGTTAACGATACCTAAACACACCTTATAAGACGACCAGTGGGTGTAATATAATTTCATTTCATTTCAATTCAATTAATTTAATTTAGTTTGCTTTGCTTTGCTTTGTGTTTGTGTTTTTGGGGTTTTTGCATTTGGATAGGTTTGGGTGTTGGGAGCTTTTGTTGCTCCTCTATGTATATAGAATATGGTACAATATAGTAAACATATGCACACACATACGCGTACGTATATACTCATATATAGAAACATATCTATCTGAGGTATAAAAAGCAGTTTATTATTACAATTATTATTATGTATGTATGTATGTATGTATTTTGTTTGCTGTTTTGTTTGTTTGTTTGTTTGTGGTTCATCTCTCTTAGCTAAATATTGATTAACACCCAATGTTGCTTTTGTTTTAGTTTAGTTAGTGAGTTGCTTCGTACTACAATCTTGACAGATCCGAACTCTAGATTCCTATGAGTGTGTGTGTCTGTGTGTGTGTGTGTGTGTGTGTGTGTGTGTGTGTTTCCATATTGTAAAATATAGTGTATATTTTGTAGTATCTACCATGATGATTCCCGTTCCTATTCCTATTCCTACTCCAGCTGCTATTCTGCTAGGTCTGCTAGGTTTAGGCGTCTTTCCGATACAACTTTTGATCTGTTCCGATCTGATGCTGACTTAGCTTAAGGTTCTCTCAAGTTGGTATGTTTCGCTAGGGTATGGATCTCAGTATCTGTATAGCTGTATCTGTGCCTTACATTGGTATCACAATCACAATAGAAAAGTGCCTAAGCAAGCAATCAGTATTCCTCTTACACATATATGTAAGTACTATTTTTGGTTGTATTCTATACAAGTGAGAGAGAGGGTTGGGGCCATATCCCCACTTACATATGTAGGTATGTATACAGCTTATGGCATGTGGGACATTTGTTAACATTATGTATTATTTTCACACTATTTACTTTACGAGTATGTATGTATGTACATACGTACATTTCTCTGTATAATATTGTACATCAAACACATTCAGAATGGAGACATCATGCATATGTATATACCATATGCACACTAATGCATATATGTATATTGTATATATACCAATACCATACATATATATCTTTATATATATATAAAAGTAAAAAATTTTGTATTTTTTTTTTTTTTTAGTTTTTAGTTTTTTGTTTTTGATAGTTTTTGGATAGCCTCTAATATATCTAGAGAAAAAAAAATGTCCCGTGTCCATACGCTCTTTCGTGTTGCGTGTTGTATCAAATGGGGCGATGTACGTGTGTGATGTATGTATGTACGTATGTCTGTAGGTACTTAAGCACTACTATGATCAGAATACAAAAGCAAGAAATCATTATCACAATTCATTGACGCCTGCCATCCATGGCGGTGGCTCCCAGTGAACGAACAGATGTTAAGTTCCTGGTCCGCACGGATTTCAGGTATGAGCGAATTGCAATTGAAGGCTTATCATTAATTCTGACTTTGATTTTTGACTCTTGATCGTGATCACAGTAGCTGTAGTTAGAAGCTTCTTTAAGGTACTTTAAATGTTTCATTAAATTTCCGTTTTGTCAGTGGTAAGTTTTGAGATACGCACATCTGTGGGATGTGTAGGTACATATTATTCGAATACATTTTTACAAAATGTTTAAAATCTTCCTGCTGTCCTTCCATTTTGTTTGCTCTGTTCTCTTGCATCACTGCACTCTGTTCATTGTTCATTGTATTTTTTTTTTTTCATTCTCAGTTGTAACAAAATGTAAAAAATATTTGCATTAATTACAAATACTACTTAACAAGAAGATCTTTTCTTTTTATATTGTAATCTATATGTATGTATATATGTGTAGATGCACTGGCATTAACTCTAAGGTTTCTGTCTGCATGTGGGAGAGAGTACTTTTTCTTATACACACACATTGTACATATGTTTGTCTGTCTGTCTGTCTATCTGTTTTGTTAGTTGGTTTGTTTGTTTTTTTGCTTGTTGGTTTGCTTGTTTGTTGGTTGATATCTTGTTGCCCCTACACATTAATCTATATATTCGATCTATATATATATATATATATATATATATATATTTTCCATTAAACTATTATACAATTATACATCAAGATGTGTCAGCCATTAAATTCGGGAGAAAGAAATTTATACACCTATTACAAACATACACATATGCATGCATGCATGCATCCGATATATCCGATGAGATATTTACATCAATAATTTCTATGTGTATTCTGTGTGTGTGTGTGTGTGTGTTTTCGTTTGGGGGATTTCATTCATATGGATATTAAATAAAAATGCTCATTTGGTTTTGGTTTGATTTTCTTGGTTTTTTTTTGTTTGTTTCTTTCTTTCTTTTGCAACATTTTTCGTTCCGTTTCGCATTGTTTTGGTTTTGTTTTGGTTTTGTTTAGTTTTGTTTTGAAAATTAAAGTAAACATTCATACTATATAGCACAAGGTATTTTTCACGTAAGCCCATATAAAAAGTATAAAATTTTTTGTTTGTTTTTACTTTACTTGATTTATCAAAAATTACAAATGTTCATATAAAAATAGATATACATACAATATAAAAAAAATATGAAGTCAAATAGTAATACATACAATATAACACACAAATGAAAAAGAGTTGTTTATAGTACTCATATATTTTGTTTTTGTTTTTGTTTTTGTTTTTCTTTTGGTTTTCCTTTTAGAACCTCTTCCACGTCTCTGGTGGTGTGCTTTCCATTTGCTTGCTGGATATAATGGTTTATGGTTAGAGTCAACGATCATCCGCATTATCCGCATTGGGGTGGACTTTAGTTGGCTTGGATAACTCGAATGGTTGGGGTCCAATATTCTAGTGATCACTTGTATCGTATCATTCAACTCGCTAGAATATCCCAACCACTTACAGTCGGTAGGTTACAGTCGCGGGAGGAAGGCAGGGGCGCGGCACAAAACATTTGTTGAGCATCTGGGCAGGGTACTGATCTTCGGGCTCATTCGAAATTGATCGCTTCCCAGACGCCCAACGCTTGTATGGCTTCTATAGGGTATGGGCATGGGGGGGTCTGCAAGTTTCCATTTCCATTTCCAATTCATTTCTCTTCTCTCACACCTTTTGCTTGTTGATATCAAAAATGAGCTTATCTCTTAATTTTAGAACTAATTAAAAACTTAATGTCATAAGTTGATCCAGTTGATGGATATTTAAATATATGCATGTATATATGTATATATATATGTATGTATAACAATTAAAAACAATTAGTTTGAGAAATTCTATTTGATTTCCTTTTAAACATATATTGTTTTTGTTTTGTTTTGCTTTTGTTGTCTTGTGTGTCTTTGTTTTGTTTTGTTTTATACCACCTGTGTGGTTGTGTCTGTCAGTGTCTGTTGTGTCTGTGCAGTTCCTGTACATATATGCAGCTATATATGTATTTAGTATATCTATACTCTAGGCTTTTTAGAAGAAAGAAACTTCACTTCGAATTGAATAACAAAATATAAATATTTGGTATATATATGTATACCTGTCCGTAGGGGTGCTAACTAATGAACTCTCTCTTTATCGCTCTCTCTCTACTCCCATCCCATAAATAGCCCATAGCCCATGCACAAGATGTGGCTCCGGTCTGTCTATCTATGGGTATGTCTTTCGCTATATAGTACCTACATTTGTAGCCATCCTAGAATTGACTGGCTGGCTACGAATGAGCATCGTAAAAAATATGAATTTATACATTTTCCTATAAATACGGGGGAGGGGGGAAGTGGGAAGGGGTTGGTGGCCATTCTACACAGTCTGATTGAACGGGTGTCTAAGGGTTCTATTGGGTAGGTTCGTCATCTAATATACCATAGCATTTCATAATCATATTTACAACACAAAAACGAGAGGTGTACACAATCCAAAATGTATATATAGCTAAACGGATCCTATTTTTGGTTTGAATTTATGGGTCTTCTTCATCTATTTTGTTTTTGTTTTGTTTTGTGACTCAAAATGTTTTAACAATTGGATCGGTTGGTGCCTGGCTCTCTGGGGGAACCCCCCAGTTAGACCCAATAATTAACACTATTATATAACTATGTGGCGGAGTTTTCGTTTAAATCTAGATTCTATTGTTCTGCCTCTTTAGCTGTCGGTCGGTCGGTTCTACGGTCTCGGTGTTGCCTCTCGGCCTTGGGGTTGGTATGTCTCTTGCTGCTGCTGTTGGTTATTGTGGCTGGGGCTGAAGGCAGGCCTAGTTGGCCACCAGCAGCTGCTGGTAAGATGATCCAGTGCCGTAGAACGAGTTGATCCCATCAATCAGATTGCTGGCCGTTGAGGATTCTGTCTGTTGCTGCTGCTGCTGTTGCTGCTGCTGATTGACCCCCGGGCTGGCGGGACCGGCTGTGGCTGATGTGTCTGCAACACCAGCAGCAGTTTGGTTGGCCATCGCAGCCACTGGTGGCGTGGCAATGGGACTGTTGTCTGGCGAAGAGTCCCCAGCACCTGCACCAGCTCCAGCTCCAACTGCGACTGTTGCTGCTACCCCCTCATCGATGATACACTGATCGGCCTCCAGGCCATATGGACAGCTGTCGTTGTCCATTTGCCCGCCTAGCGGCTGCTGCTGCTGCTGCTGCTGCTGGGACAGATGCTGGCCGTTGGGAAAGTAGCAAGCCTCCATGTAAGTACTGTACTTGGCTGCACCACCCACGGGATTGACGTGTGGATGACCGGCAAACATGGCCATGTTGGCATCGCCATTGAAATGTGGCTCGTAGAGATTCCGCTGGCCATTGAATGGCGGATATAGGCCCATGACCACGCCGGGATAGTAGAAGTGGTCACCGGCTACACCCCCGTTGGCCATTTGGCCGCCCAGTGCCAATGGATTGGGCGAGATCGAGCGTGCTGGCGACACAGGGTCCAGGGCGGCATAGCCCTGGGACGAGACGACCCCATGGCCGTGATGCATCTGCTGCTGTATGGCCCGCTGCTTGATGTAGTTTGAGAACTCTGTGGGCGACATGCGGTACGCGCTGCTGCAAATGAACAAATGGATAAATGTGGCATGACATCAGTGGCATCAGTGGCATCAGTGGCATCAGTGGCACAATGGCCAGTGCCTTACCTGTTGGCCCGCTTCGAGCTGGTCTTTAGCTTGGTGCTGCCGAATTTCGTCTGGGCAAAGGTGGCGGTCGTGAAGGTCAGTGGCGCCTGTGGTGCACGCTGCAAGTACGCCGATGCTGTGCCGCCCCCAGCTGACGTATTGCCGTGAGCCGGCGCCTGAGTTGTGGCCTGTGGCTGCCCCTGACCCTGAGCCGGTGCCGAGCCACTGGACGAACCGGAGGCGGAGCCACAGCTGCCCTGGCTGGCATTGCTGGCATTGCTGGCATTGCTGGCATTGGGATTGGGGCTGCCCTTATAGGTGGGCGACCCAGAGGCGGCCGAGTGTGGCGATGAGCCCGACTGTGGCATGGGCACCGGCAATGACTTGGGGCTTAAGCTCAGATTGGTCAGGGTCGTGTTGACCACATCGATGGGTCGAAAGCATTGGGCCTCCGGATTGAACGTCTTGGTGACCTCACGATCTGCCGATCGGCTATCCTCGTGATTCTCATTGTTCTCCGTGTAAAGAATCTGCAGCATAAAAATCAGATTAATGGCAGATTATTCTGTGTCTGGCGGGGCATAACACTTTGTTTTTTTTTTTTGGTACCTTTACGGCTCCCTTCTCGCCAACGCGAAAGGACACCTCGCCGGGATCCATCCACACGGACAGCTCGTGGGGCAAATTCTCTAATACATCGCTGATGGGCACACCGCTCTCCCGTGCCGCACGCTCCAGAACCGAATCGATGGCATCACCGGTCTTCAGGCAACGATAAGCGGAACCCTGCAACAACAACAACAACAACAACAACAACAAAATAATAATAATCATTCCATTGCTGAGGAGAGATATTTTTTGCATACCTTGAATGGCTTCTCCGGGTACCAGTGTCCCTGGAATTTGTCGCGCAACGCCTTCTCCAGCTCCTCGCCGAATATGTTCACCCGTCGGCGAGGCAGTTTATTGTACAGATAGGAGATGACAAAATTCAGGGCCACCTGGATTTCAATATGCATCTTGGCAGTCGCAAAATTGTACCCTGCTCCGCCGTACCCCGTTTCCTTTCGACGACCTCTTCCCCCCGTTCACTGTGCACTGTGCCACTGTACACTGCTTACTGGCTTATTCGATTCTCTTGAGTCGTGTACGAGTATATGTATCTATATATGTATATATATATATATATTTATGTATATGCATATATCTAGCTGATTGATCAAACGCACATTTATGAAAATCCCAACTCAATTTTGGCTCTGAAGTTTCAGGCGATATAAGAAGTGTTTTTTTGTTTTGTTTTTTTTTGGGAGTCTGAGTCTATGTTTCGTTTTTCCGTTTGTGTATTTATCTCAGAGAATTGAGTGTGTGTTGTGGAGTCCTTAGATCCTAAGTGTATTATGTCTTATGTATTTACAGAGCATCGCCCATTAAAAGGGTCGATTATGTGTGCATATGTTTGTGTATGTGTGGTGTGTGTGTAGTGTGTGTGGTGTGTGTGGTGTGTGTGGTGTGTGTGGTGTGTGTGTGTGGGCGTGTAAAGTAATTGCTAATGGCTTTGTCTGAGTCGGTTGCTAGTTAGTTATTTCTCTGTCTTTAGCTGTCTTTGATTTATGGCAAACGTTGATCCGTTTCCCTCTGTCTCCCACCTAGTTCGCCTCCATGGGTGGTGTCTCCTCAGAGTGCTGCAATTCTATGACAAGTCGTGTGTCTGTGTCCGTAGCTGGGAAAAATAGAAATAAGCAAACAATTAGAGACTTAGTCAGTGGATCAGCTATCGGCTTTGCATCTGCTTCCAATTTTATTTTAGTAAATTAATTCTACGCATTACAGCGCAGAAAATGCGTATTTTTCGGTACTAAAAATATAACAACACAAATCCAGGACTCAGTCCTTGACAGCACTGACATATATCTCCCACGAAAGAGGCATCAAAAATTTTAATTTGATTTCTACTTGAAAAAGCTTTCTTTTTCTTTTATTTGATGCCAAGAAAAAAAGACTGTTCCTAGCGTTATTTCTTTATGTATGGCTGCCTCCGCACAGATCTGGAAACCTTCTTGAAGACTATCCGTTCGCTTAGGGAACATTTGTACAGGGTGCTTGGGGCAAACCCTGGGGCATCGTAACAGCACTGCTTGCTTGATTCACATTTGACACACAGACACAGCAACCACATGAATATACTTATATATTCAAATAAAATAAAAACATTAAAAAAAAACCCCCACATATACACACACACACAGTGAAACACGTAACACAGAGTTGCGTTCCATTAAAAAGAGTTCCGAATCCGATTTGGCAGTAGAGAGCGAGGGGAGCAGCGATGAAGCGAGCACGCAATGACACGGACGTGAACATGAAGAAGAAGTCGATACGTTCCCGGTTCAAAAAACTGGTGCGTGCGGTGATTATGAACCAGCATTGGCTGATCGATGCCGAGGATCAGGGCATCTCGATGAACGTCAAGAAGAACGTGGCTTTGCTGGTGCGGCAGAAGAAGAAGCGGGGCATGATCACCGTAGCGGTAAGTAAGCGCACACCGAACACCGAACATCAACTCACGCGCTCGGGCAATCGATTAATCGATTAATCGATGACTGCAGGAGAAGGCGCTGTTGCGCACACTCCCTTGGGCGCGTACCATCGAGGATCGAAAAAAACTGTGCATGGTCTTAGCCGGACTAGCATGCTTCGCCAAGATCCCTCCGGTAAGCACTCCAAACGAATTTCATCCAAGTTTTAACGCAATTCTGCGCTCTGTTATCTCTAATGCAGAAAATCAGGGCTCGCATGGTGCCGGTAATTAAGTTATTGTCCATTAATGAGTCACGAGTTCTAATCAAAGAGGGGGACTCGCCCATTACCGTGTATTTCATACTGAACGGCGAGGTCGAAATGAAAAAATCCGAATACAATAAGGTAGCTTCCCCCCCCCCACAAAATCCTTAACATGGCATTTAGTTTGTGTCTCACATAAATCTCTTTCTAAAGGTCACAAAAGAAATCACTGAAGTATCCATTGCCATATTCGGTCCGGGCGACTGTATCGGAGAGGTGGAAATGGTTGAGGATTGCCCCAGAATGAACACATTCACGACACTGTGTAAGCTCTGCCCTGAGATAAACATTGCAAGTAGATTGAACTTATTGGCTCTTTTTTGTTCAAGCAAATTGTGAGATATTGGCCATATACGATAACGATTACAATCGAATTCTGAAGCCGTTCATGGAGAAGCAATGGAACGAAAAGAGGCTAGCATTGCGAGCCTTTGACTACTTTAATTTTCTGGATGAGGATCAGATACGACGTGCCTGTATGTTCGGCTCTGTGGTGCAGTATGATCCTCTGGAGACGATCTATGTCGAGGACAAGGGCTCCTTGAGTATGGTGCATTTTATTTTGAGCGGCGAATGCGTCATCCTACAATGCCTAAACATCAGGGTGGATATATATCTTATATATAACTTATATATATTTATCATAAATCCTTGATTTGATTGCAGATCGGTAACCGCAAGGGCAAGACTGTTATTGATCTGACCGATATCGAAAAGGATAACGAGTCTAAGTCAATGTTTCACGAATCAAAGAACTCGTCCTACGCTCCGGAATACTCGTATTTGGATATTCAGAATTTGTTGGCCTCAACCTCGTCGGAGGAGGCCGAGTCGAAGGGCCTAAAGAAACAAGCGGTATGCCATCCATTGCTAGGCGTTTCGTGTGACTTATTCTCTTTCGCTACGTACTCTGTAGATGCGCAAAATGGGCCTGAAAGAAATCGAAGCATATTGTGGCATGGGTCAGGCCAGTTTCCTTCAGAAGCACTCACATCGAAAGAAAACCATAATGCAGGCGAAAAGATTAACACATAAAACACCAAGGCACACCAGGAATACCAGGAAAACCGGTACTACCGAGGAGGAGATTGAGGATGACGAAGAGGAGGAGGAACTGTTTGATTATGAGGATTTTTTTGAATATTTCAGCGAGGAGGTATCCGCTGAAACAGACTCCGATGCCATTGAGTCCTCGAGCTCGGGCTCGAAGCGAAAAACACTCGTCTCCCAAACGTCATCGAAGCGCGCAACGATCTCACAATCGTCAATCAAGCGTCGAACACTTCAATCCGCAACTCAATCCTCGAAACGTTTAGGCACAATCTCATCCGAAATATTTACGGCCAGCCCCTCCGCCCGAACCATATTGAGCGAACTTGGTTCGGATGCGACACTTCTCTCTACGTTGCACGTAAGTCCCAAAGACACACACACACACACACACACACACACACGCACTGTTCTCACTCACTTTCACTGCCCTGGGGGTGGGGGCCATCCGCACAGGATCCGATTAAGACCCATTTTATAGACGTGGGCTCGCTCACATTCGGCAGCATCTTTGGCCTGGGCGAAAAGATGGAGCACCGTGTGATAATGGCCCGTACTGTGGTCCAGTGCCTGGTCCTGCCGCGCTTCTGGCTGCTGGAGGATGAACAGAATCCGGGCAATATCTGGCAGCGTCGCCGCTTCTACTTTGAGTGCAGTGTGCCCTCGCGGCAGGCCCTGTTCGAGGACTACCTGAAGACACGGCGCTGGGACAAGTTCCGACGTGCCTACATCCAGAGCACTCTGGACCCCAACTCGAAAAGCAATATGACACAGGAGGAGGACATACCCATTATATGTCGCATTGTGGAGACCAGCGATGATACATAAGTGCTCGGCTCGGCTCTGCTCTGCTCTGCTCGGCATCCTCCCACGCAGGCAAGGCAATGAATGCATTTACCATTCTCTCCATTCTCCAAATTCTCCGTTTTATACCCATGTAAAATAATGTAATACTCATATAAAGCAGCCTCGTATATGTATTGTTTCTTTCTGTGTGTGTGTGTGTGTGGTGTATGTACATCGCCAGCCTTATGTATTATTGCAACTTCCTGCAACAGTTTTGGAGCTACACATACTATATTTGGTGCTGGAGCTCTTCCTACGTCATTCGGATCAACACTTCCCCTGCACTACACTGCACACGCCCACGCGCCATGCAAATGCGTGTCTATGTAGGTTAACTAAAGAGCGAGAGAGAGAGAGAGAGTGCTTTCCCCTTTAAAAGTGGTACAGCAAGCCGAAGTGCATTCGTAACTATAACTGGAGCAACGAGCGAGCTTCCCACGCAAAGCTTACACCCTTCCACCCTCTCTCTCTCTCTCATGCTCTCTCAAGGCTCGTCGGTGCGTGCGGATAAAAATAAACTTAAAGCCGAAGAGACAGAGAGAGAGAGAGAGAGGGGGGGACAGAGCTTGAGCTTGCTCTCTTGCTCTTCTACTACTACTGCGTCGAGCAGCGGGTGCGCAATGACATATAAACGACCCCGAGAGTAGCACATTTCACACACCCACACTTGATTTATGCTGCTGCAAGCTGCTGCTGCTGCTGCTGCTGCTGCTGCTGCTACTGCTACTGCAGCAGCTGTGTAGGTGCACCAGGGCACACAGCTCGTTTATGTGCTGCTTAGATATACATACTCGTAGTATATACAACTAGCTGTGTGTCTTTTTTAAACCATCTGAAGGCCACACACATTGAAATCCTCAAGCTTCAAGCCCGCGCAACTGAAAGCTTATGTTTTCCTTTCACGAGAGTGTTTCAAGTACTACATACATGTACACATATATCGTACATATGTACATACATATATAAATGGGAAATGCCAAAAATAGCCAGCTAGCTAGCCAATGCAATACATCATCCCCACAAGGGGAAAAGGCCATTTGCCCAAACGGTATTTCAATGCAGTGGAGAGCTTGAGCTTGAGAGCTGGCGAACAACATAGCGCATTGGGTAAAAGGTCAAAGGTGATGCTTGCAACAATATTTGTTGAATCCGGCAGTGCGTCAAGTGTTTCATAAGAGTTTGTACAGATCTGCTGGAAAAACTGTACTACTGTATGGATATGATATAATCTCAAACAAGTTTTTTCACTGTTTGCATAAAGATTTGGGGATGTCCTGAGCAATCGCATACTGTTTTTTGCGATTTTTTTTCCATATTCTTGGGAATCAAACAAGTGTTTATTTGACTATCCCAAGCATAGGATATCCTTCATTCTTTTTATTTTCAGATAAAACTGTTATATTGGCGAGTTTTAAGACCTTAATTAGGTATTTGTAATAATGTTCACTACATTTTAAAACTTTATCTTAAATCTTTTTTTTTATGGCGAGTCTGAACTTTGAATTTAGTAGGAGCTTTAAAATCGCACAAATCTTTGGGGATTTCATTGCAGAATTTTCGTTAATTCTTTAATTTTTAAAAATGTTCTTACAAATTCTGCAAAATTACAAAAAGTATACATTAATACATATACTTGTGTATGTACAACTATGCTTTCGTATGAAGCACTTTAAGTAAAGCTAATGTTGTACGATACACATCTTAGCGTAAGCCGGATAAGTGTCTATGATTGTGTGTGGGAGGCTGTAGCTCTGCCTTTGGGGGGAAACTTTCGAGTTAATTGAATTTCTTCATAAACTAACAAGGTTAACTAGTTTGGCATTGCAGACTAGTTGCGGGATTGACGCAAATTAGCTGGATTTTGGACGATAACCTTGACATTAGACTAAGGAGTGAGTGGGTAGCGGGCCTGGGGGCCGGCGGTTAACCCAGTTCGGAGCTAAGATCATTCCATGGGGAAGCACGACTCGACTCTTGATGACGTTAAAGGTGCACAAATGTTGCACATTATGTATGGCACTCACATACCCCCTACAAACATATGTATATATTATATTCCATCCACTGCATGTGCATGTCCATGTTCATATGCATGCGATTGTGTACGCGTGTGTGTGTGTGCTTGGAAAGTGAACTTGAAAAAGCTCTAGTTTCACTTTTATGCTTGGTACATAGGACGCGCACGCTGGCAGAGCGACGACGACACACATCTTTATCTTTAATGGCAGTGTGACAACAGCAACAGCCCTGAAGGGGAAACCTATGGGATAGTCCTCAGGTGGGGAGAGGCGCGTAGGACTCTTCTTTTGGACTCTTCAATGTTTATTTATATTCAAGCACACCCACACAAACACACAACATACATACACACACAGCGATATAAAGGAGCTGCGACAGCGTCATACCGTTTAAATCAACCTTTAAAAACTGTTGGCCCAGATTTTATTGATTTTGCATTGCAAAGAGCGACCCGAGCCCCCCCCCCCCCCCCCCACCCCCTCATTCACGAGTGCAACAGCGCACGCGACATACAATATACGGGGGAGAGTGGGGAGAACACACAGGCAGAGATACAGACAGAGTGAGAGAGAGCTTGGAGCCAGAACCAGAGAGCACGCATCAGACAGCTGCTATTATAAAGAGAGAGAGAGAGAGAGCGAGGAGGAGGAGAGAGTGCCAAATGACCGTTGTTATTGTTATTCCCGTGTTTACGTTCCCCATCGTGTGAAATCTAGAAATGTTAAACAGTCAGACTGCCGCCTCTGTTATAAGGGATTGGAATTATTACCCATCTGTGCACAGGACATGCTCCTCAAGTATGTACATTACATATGAAGTAGGACTCTTAGGTAGGGGGCTTTAATGGAATCACAGACTTTAATGGGGGAACTGTGTGGGAAAAGTACAGCTGTAATACCCCCACTTAAACCCCCGTCTAACTGCTATCCACTGTGTACCCATTGAAGTCTTTGAAGCATGCATAAGTAACGAGTATAATTATATTTTATCGTAATTAGCTCTGTATGGAAGAATCTTAATTGAATGAAAAGAAAACCTTTAGATGTTTACAGGACATTTCTGTGTTTAATATTTCCATATATTTACCACGTATGTACCTGAGAGATATGTATTTGAAATACTAAAACAGAAACTTAAAAAAAAAAAAAACTATGGGGTAGCACTGCCACGGTGGAAAGTAAACGATAAGAAATATGCATGTACCATCCGTTCTTATCAAAGCTCGTTATTGTTATTTGATAAAAAAAAAAAATAATTAAATAGAGCTATGTACGGTACGTATACGGTACCGTAAAAGGTCTGGCTTTTATTTATAAACGAGCCATCGAATTGCCATATATTTCGGGTGTATAAACGTATCCAATGTTCTGTTTAAAAATTTGACCTTTGAAAAGCGCGTGGGAGTTGTGCGGAAATTCTAGTTAAATATTATTAATAGCGCTTTGCTACCGAATTTGGTTTTACTTATGGAAACATTGACTGATGAAAGGTTCAAGCTGGAGCAACTTTCAATTGAAGGGTGTCTATCCATATTTAAATTTGAATGTAGGTTAATTTGAAACATATTTTAAAGGCATGTGAGCCGAAAAATTTAATTGTGCTGATGTGCTTGCACATAATGCCTCAATTTGCTTGAATAATACAAGATTTCTACTCTTTGGTCGCAAATTTCTTTCCATTTGTATTTATAGCATATTTTTTGGAGCATTTAGTGTCCATATCAGATCTATTAATTGCTTGCTCTTATCGATTGAAAGATCAGGCTCAAAGCAAGCAAAGCATTTATCGCTGCATTTAGTGCGGTAAATGCCAATTGGCCGGGGCGGGGCCCATGGTTGTTGTTTTGCCATTAGGCAAATTTAATTCAATTACGTTCAGCCGTCGATTTCGAATGCTACGACGATAATCAGCAGTTAAGGGCATTCGCGATACGGCCAGACGCAGCCTTCAAATTGCTTGTTTGCACATAATTAGACCCCTCTCTCTCTCTCTCTCTCTCTCTCTCGCTCGCTCTTCCTCGCACGCTTTCCCACTCAGCTGACACAAATATATATTCGTACGTAATAGGTATGCATTATGTAGGGGAGAGGAGAGGAAGCGAGCACAGAGCACAGCACAGTGTGTCAATTTATTGCGGTTGTTTGTTTGCGTTTCTCATTTGTGTTGCTTCTATTTTTGTGTTACCCTTTGAAGGAGGGTATTACGATTGCAGCAGATGCTTGACATCGCAGAGCAGGAAGCATTTCTGACCATAGAACGAATGAAGCTCTTATTTTTTAAGCCGGCTGTGTAACCACTTTAACAAAACTGCATGCAATGTTTGGTGCATAATCTTAAAAGGAAACCAAACCACGCTACCAAAAGATGGGTAGAAGAAAGCAATCTTTGTGTGAAGAACACAAATTTATCAAGCTAATAATTTCATAGGTCAATACAATTTGATGAAATCGGACGACTTTATCGTGGTACTTCTGGGTGTGCAAGGGTATCAAAAGCATCGGCATTCGACTCTGGCCTTCCCCCTCTTGTTTTCACATGTCGCTGTGTAATCCAGTTCACATGTCGCAGAAAACAAAAAACAATACAAAATTGCTGTTACATCACTGACACTGGGAGGGAGGGGAGCCAGAGAGAGAGGGAGATCAAAAGTGCTGACTGCACTCTTAACCGTTTCAAAGCTGGAGCCAGAGCCATGAGCAATGAAGGGGTAATAATGGCAAATCAAACGGGTTGCCTGATTACATAAAGTTCTATGCTCTCACTCTGTGTTTTTGTCTCTTCTTTTACTGTCATCTTTTGCTTCCTTCCGTTTTGCTTCTACACACACACACACACACACACACCACTAATACTATATTCTCACACACAAACACACACTCTCAAAGAAATAACAAAATTACAAACAATGAATGCTTGCATAATGATTTTAGGTTATTATAATCCCAAACTAATCAAACGCACCGCCATGCCACGCACACACTCACGCACTTTGAAACTTTGGGGCATACATACGTTCACGGATGCAGTAATTCATATTACAAGATCACGAGAAAAAAAAGACACTAAATAATTTGTACTTAATGTCAGCAACATTTTCCACCGACTAGCCCGAGCGCCAAGGCAGTTTAGCTCTCAATTTCCCATGCCGCTGCTACTGCTATCCAAAGTATATTGAATGGAAGGTATGGCAGTTCAACCAACACTGGGGTTGCCCAGTGTTTTGGTCACTCACAGAAAAGTGTGGAATGTAATTTACACTGCAATTGAATCATTTGCGACCAGCAATAAAAACTTTATGGGGAGAAAACAAGCATGAATACTCTCGCTTAAGTAATAATTTGCGGCACATAAAACAGCTAAAAAAAATATACCGTTGACTTTGTGATTCATTAAGCTGCGCTCAGGGACGACCCTACCCCATCTTTTAATATAACTTTTTTATATCAGAGCGCGAATGACATACAGAGAGAGAACTCACGCGAGAGCAACACCCACGCATACCAAAGACAAAGCACGCACACATACACACTTTCTACCACCAAACACCCTCCCCCTGCTTAACCCCATCTACCGTTCGACATGGCAAAACTTTTGGCTCAAGAAATTTTTGCCTGTGTCAAAACAACACAAAACAGCTGATCGAATGGGTTTGTGTCTGTGTGTGTGTATACATACGCGTGTGTGGCTGTTGAGCGACTTATTGAAATTCCTTTTTGTCTTCCTTCTTTCTCTACTTTTACCCGTTTTTGAGAAATTTGTGGGAGAAATTTCTTTTTGTCATTGAGATATTGTACAATTTCTTAATTTTAATGCACATTTCAGCACAGTTTGAAAACACCATCAGCTGTTCATACGGTAGGAACGCAACTCTTTACGTCACGGAAAAAAAAGCACACAAAAATAATGAAAGCACATGATTTTCTCGTACGTTAAGTTTATCTTTGAATGCCCGAAAACACAAACACAGACTGGCACACTCGTAAATGGAAACGACAAATAGATTCCCAAACGGAATATCTATTAGATATACATACATACATACGTATATATGTACATATGTATGTACTTGCACATACAGCACATACAGTTGGTAAATATTTATATCTATTTTGTTGTATGCTGAAATGTCAAATGACGATGGGGCTTTTGCTAGCTGGGCTTCTGGGCACACTCTGCTCTGCCTACAGCTGCAGTCAATGGGGTTTTTTCTGGTCTCTAGCCACGAAATTCCCCCTCAAAAACGAATTGTAGATTCTATGTACATGATGTATGCAACGGTAAATGCTTTCCCCTACTCCTCGTTTCTTTTTTTTTGGTTTTGCATCCATCAGCTGTCAGCCAAGAGAGAGGGAGGGAGAGAGCGAGATACTGCTGCTCCCCCTGTAGCTGCTACGCACCCAATTGCGTGAGAGAGAGAAACAGCTGTGTTGTGCTCGCTCTTGGGAGCACAAACTGGAGCAGGAGCAGTTCCACACTGCCCTACTGAGCTGAAGGGGCGATAACGAAAACGAAATGAAAACTCACAACACCGAACACTGATGTGATGTGTACTTTCCCCGCACTGACAATATATTTATATGTAGGTATGTATATGTATATATCCATGTACCCCTACTTTTGGCATTTCCATCTCAATTATTGTTATTGCCTTTGTGTGTGCGTGTATGATAGTTATCCAGCCGTCGTATATACTTACATAGCACATATGTATGTATGTACAATGTACATATCTTTGCATCTTTTTGATGATTTAAAAGTCTTATTTAAACATTGCAGTTTTATGTACCGAATTCTATTTGGTGATTGATTGATTGGGATGATGCTGCTGCTGCCTGATGACGATGATGATGAAGCGTAGCACGGGTTGTATAATCCTCGATTTATTCCAATTGCAGCTGCAATTGTTCTTCTGTTTAGTTCCGTTCCGTTCCGTTGTTGTTTTTTTTTTTCGTTTTTGAATGTTTCTATTTATTTTGTAATTTTTGTGTGGTGGTGCCCGTTACTTAATGGGTATCGCGCGCGCCAACAGCAAAACGCCGTGTGAACCGTCCGTGGTTCTTGAAAATCCCGTTGTAGTAAGGTTTGGGGCCCGAGAATACGAAGGCAGCATACACACGAACACACATACACATAGTTACGTTCAAATGTACATACATACATACGAAAGCGCTGGGCATAATTGCATTCGACACACGACACGACGCACCACGAAGCAGGATGCATCTGCGCAAGGTAAGGCATGACCAGAAAGCGCTCTAATGATAGTTGCTTTTGTTAGAATTGATTTAGAAACGTGTATTAAATGAGAAAGTTCTTCACACAGCTGATCGCTATAAGTACCGATTCAATTCATTTCTTATCGTTTTGCAAAGTAGTAGATTTAGAGTGCTACAAAGCCTCACCTTGCTTAAATATACCTTGGCACGAAGCGCTTTCATCGTTGATTTGTTTTTTTTTTCGAATCGTGGTAGTCTCTCACTCTCCCCCCCCGCCCACTCTTGTTAGGGTCGGCCGTCGTGCTCTCTGTCACTCACTCGTACACTTGCACTGAGGAGTGTGGGCGGCGGTGGATGGTGTAAAGCTTTCTCTCCAATGTGCGCCTGTGTGTGTGTGTGTATTCGTAGTAAAAATAAAAGAGCTAGGACAACGCGAAAGCCCGGTAAAAGGTTTGTGCGGGTCGTCCTCGGTAGAGGTGGGCATGGTCCACGTTGTGACACGACGGGCGTCCGCGTGTGCGTGAATTTTGAGCCTAGAAAGAACGGAGCAAGTGTTGGCCACAGTCAAAGCGAGCTTGACTTGTACTCAGTCATTTTCAGAAAATAAAGACTCCTCCGATGAAAGCTGTCCATGTTGTTGCCCATTTCCGTGCTGTAAATTTTTATTTTCGTGCCGTGTTTGGTCGTGTCGAGAAATTGCAGTCCATGGCCATCTCTAGTCCTCGGGCACACAGACAATTTCAAACAGCCCAAAAACCGCCCCCACTTGGCCGCATGCCCTAGAATAACGAAAAGGAAAATGCATGCATAGTAGCATAAATATTACATGCCCTTATGTACATAGCTACATGCATATGTACATACATATGGATGTCGTTATTCATGCGTATTTCCATAGGTATGTATTATAGAGGGGAAATGCAACACACGCACATACTTACCTAAGGATCTATGGATCTATATACATGGATACGTCATAGCCTGCTATACCAAAATGGTAGAGGAGTCCAGAAATAATCTGTTAGCCATCTAACATCTACATATGTACCCCTTAAGCGTTTGACTCTTAACATTTAGCATTTCGTCCTTCAAACTAGTTGTATGTACATACATACGTATACATGTATGTACATATGTATGTATGTACATATTCCATAGTCAAGGCAAGCGATCAGCAGTTGCTACACACATACTGGCTGCCATGAAACTTTGAACTTTAAAAGCTCTTTGAAACATGAACTTGAGATGAAAAAAGTGTTGGGAAAAGCAGATGAAGCGCTCCTTTAAGCTAACGAAAAGTAACTGAAACTTTTTTGTAAATTATAATAAATTTGTGCTTAAAGTTCGAACTCAATAGGATTTATTTACCACCATTTTCCATTTATTAATTCATTTATTTACATTTTATTTCGTTGAATTTCGGATGTGCTTCTGGCTCAGTTATTTTTCTTCCTTCTGGTTATAATAGTAAACAGCTTCCTTCTGGCTGTCTACATGAATCTAATATATGTACCCCTCGTACACTTTGATTACCAGTTATAAAAAGTTTGATCCCTATGGGTATTACCTACATACATACAGAAACTATTCTAAAGTTTGCCCTCACTAATATTCTTCAATACTTACCAAAAATCGTTGCATGGATTAGTTTAACGCCAGATTCGCATACATTCTCAGCGCCTCTTCGTCAGCGTCTGCACCATCAATTTATTCTCTTTATTCATACACGTAGCAAGGCTTAGCAAATTGTTATTCGATAATCAATAGCAAACACAATGTTATAAATATCTGATGCACAAAGCGTAGGAGCTGGATATGTAAGTGGAAGTGTTCAGCTCAAGGACTCAAGGACTTGACCGTGAATCATTTATTCCTTGGGTGTAACCAATGAAAATTCAAATTATCTTTTATTCGATAATCTGAAATATACCCTAAATACAATTTTAAGAAAAGACGATTGTATCAGGGTTTTTGGGATAGTTTATTTATTTATTTCTGCAATATAGTTGGGGGGGTACACCGACATGCACATAAATAGTTACATAGACGTAGTATACACACATGTACATCAATAAATTCTCAAATTTCGAAACGAACGAACATGCATACAAAAATATTTCGTTTTTCTTTTCAAATTGGCTTTCAAGGATTTTTCGTTTTTTTGTTTTGTTTTTGTTTTTATTATAATGATACAATATTTTGTAAATTATTCCTCTAGTCTAAACACAAAAAAAAAAAAACATGTAAGTATATGTATCACAAATATATATATATTTATATGGTAATATATAACTTTAGCGAAAGCTTTTAATGTTTCCAAACTAAAAAAAAAAAAGAAAGAAACAAAAATAAAAAATAAACAAAAATGATTCGTTATACTCGTTGAAAGGAAATTGATTTTGCTTTAATGACGGACCCACCACCCCCATGCTGGACTGCTGGGGTCTTAGGGTCCCTCTCTTAGGTTGAGCTGGAACTTAGGCAAGGAACCACACCAACAAGCGGATGGAACCGATTTATACATATAGGATATTCATACGTCATAATATGATATACATCAAAATACATTAAGATTATTTAACATGGTCGACTTCAACTGTACACATACAAAGCGATTGGTTTTTAAATATGTTGGGGGGATTTCTGGGAGAAGTATTTGCCTCTAGCTTCGTCAAAACCGAAGACCCTGGTAGTCGCTAACATTTATATATATATATTTTTTTTTTGTTGGTTTGTTTGTTTTAAGCACGTGCACGTCGCTTGACCTGTGAGTCAAGCTATCAAATTGTACAGTGCGTTTCCTTGCTAAAAAGACAGCACATCAAGATTAAGCTTTGTTTTTTTCTTTTTGTATCCTTTTGAAAATTAAAAACATATTTTTCTTTTGATTTACGAATTAAAAACAGTTTATAAAACCATCAAAAGCTATACAAAAAAACATAGAATATAATGCTTGCTATAAGTAAAACATATTTGACAATATGAAATCAATGGCCCTTTCATGATTTTCTTTTCCAAATAAAATATAACAATGAGAAACTATACAAAAAATAAAATAATAAATAAATATCCATCAGTTAAGAAACGTTTATACAGGTAAATCATAATGGAAAATCTATGAAAAAACATAGAAAATTAAACGGTTTCTCGAGCACAACATATTGAACAATAGATCCATTTTAGAACCATACGAAACTATAATAAAACTTACATATAGTACATACATACATACATATGTGTATAGGAAATAGTTTTAAAAAAACATTTTTTGTCATTTCCTTTGAGATACTTTCTACTTTCTATCCTATACTATCCTGACTGACTGTCTGTCTGTTTGTTTGTCTTATTGCCTCGAAACGCACTGTACTGGTAGCAGTTGCCGAAAAGGATATACATAAACTAGGTTCGAAACCAACACACACAATAGCCATATACGCATCGGCGCGTAGGTTGTCCTTAAGCTAACATTTGGGATTAAAATACATGCGTGCCAACGCCAACGCCAACGCGAACAATCTAAACATCAAATCTTCCACCAAGTGCCATTCAGCGTCCCGCCTCGCTGGAGCGCGCCTGTTCGCGGCCATCGCCGCGCTCAATATACCAGTTGCTGTTGTCCTTGCGCTTCTGGTCATGCTTGTGGCGACTCTGCTCGCGTTGCTGCATCCTCTTCTCATGCCACTCGCCGCTGCCATCGCTCTCGTCACGCTCGCCGCTGTTGGCATGGTGGCGCTGCTTCTTGCCGTTCTTGTTGAAGCGCTCACGCTTCATGGAGGCATCATCGTTGTAACGCCTCTTGTTGTTGTTGTTTTGCTCCTTTGAATGGTCGTCCTCCTTGCTCCTGCCGCGACTATTATCCCGCTTGGCCTCGTGCGAGTGATTCGGATTGTACTTGTCATTGTAGCGATCTTTGGAGGCATTCGGCGAGTACTTGTCATTGTACCGATCCACCTTGGGTTTGTTGGGTTGTTTATTGGGATTGCCATTGCCTGTTGTTTGTTGTCTACCATCTGGATGGAATGCCCTTGCTTCGTTTGTAGTACTGGCGTCGCCCTCATCGCCCTCGACGCCGCCAGTGCCTAGTGTGCCTAGTTTCTCGGTGACCTTTTCAAAATTGCGAAAGGTTTGAGACTGTTGCAGCACATCGTGGACAGCTTCACCGATCTCATCAGCCAGAGATTCGGGAGCCGACAGCGGGCTTTCCAAGCACATGGAGGCAACCTGCACATACTGCCCATCGCGGCATTTGTGCGGCTTTTTCAGATCCTCCTTTGTTATGTCCAACGGCTCCATGGAGTTGCCAAGTCCCGGCCAGGCTTTGAATTTCTTGTACTGTTTGCCCTGGCGCTTTCCCATGCCCCCCTGGTCTTGGTCCTGGGCAAAGGCATTGCTGTAGTACATGCCACCATCTGGGGCATAGGCCGGACCCTGACCGGAGCTTAGGTACTGCAGTTGCTTGGACATTATATCGATCTCGGCACGCATCAGGTTGTTCGACATCTCCAGCTCGCCCAGTCGGCGCTCCAGCTCGGCAATGGGTTTGTCGTTGCCCAGGCCCGGCCACTCGGGATGCTGCAGCCTGCCGATGAAGCCCAGTATGGCCAGGGTGGCGGCCACATAGAAGACGGCCGTCAGGCCGTTCTGCATCAACGGATACATACGATATAGGGCCTCAAGCTTCGTTTCTTGCTGCAATAAATTCAACTCTGGCTCCACATACGGCTCCGTTTCGGTATGCTTGTGGCGTCGCTGCCTGTGCGGTGGTGGCGGCGGTGGTGGCAACGGCGGCAGCATATCTCTGGGACTAAGCCTTAGGGGGGTGTTGAGCAGCTCGTTGAAGTTCAGGTCGGCCAGGGTGTCGCGCAGAAAGGGATGGGGTGAAATGCGATCGGTGCTCTCGCAGTCACTGATGATGGAAATGCCATCGGAAATATCATCCGCCTGGGAGTCATCTACCACGGCCAGGTTGCATCTGTTTCGAAAGGAAGTTTTTCTATTATTCTAAAATTATTCTTCACACTCTCTCTCTCTCTGCATACCTGTCGTTTTCATGCTTATCTTCGGGATCGCCGCTCTGGAACTCCCCTGGATCTTTGGGCTCCTCCTCCTCATTGCTGTTGAGCTTGTCCATCACCGCCTCGATCCTATCCGATGGCAGAATGGTCCATGTGGATGATGTTGTGCTGACGCCAAGCGAGTCCTCGGTGGATGTTGACTTCGAGTGGGTTTTGGGTTTGTCGCTACCGCTACCGCTGCTGCTGCTACAGCTGCTGTCCTCGTCCATGCTGCTGTTCTCTTTGCCTGGGAAATGCAAAGAAAACGTTAGGGAAAACGGTTGGCTGTTACTTTTAATATTTTTAATTCATTTTAAATACAATATTTTGCTGTCGAAATTGCATCCCTTTTTTGCGTTGCACACACCAGCTACCAGCTGACACTCCAAAATAAAACACCTGAAAAGGTGCGCAAGCAGTATAGAAAAGGACAGAGCTTCCTGTTGCAGGAAAACGAAGGAGATAACGAGAGTGTTTTCTGCAGGATAAAGCGGGATGGATGGGGGGAGGAGTGCGTTTTCTGCAGGCCGCGTGACCTTCGAGCGAGGCCTAAATTAAACACACACACACACACACACACGAACACGAGACAGAACAGCTGTCTATCTCGCTTGCGCATGAACTGTTGCATTTCGTTTGTGTTGCCCGGGGGGGGCGCTCTCGGGCCTCTCAGGGCTCTCGGTATACATGCACACGCAACTGCATACACCCTCACACACACAGTTGCACACAGTTTTGCAGATTTTTCATTTACATTTACATTTGCATGTGTTATATTTCACAATTTTAATTTGTACTTAAAAGCAAAACAAAACTAAAACTAAAAACAATGCATATATGTATGTGTGTATATGTACGTGCAATGTATGGGTGAGTGTGCCTGCACCACTGTCTTTATGTGTGTTTTGTGTGTTCTGTGTGTGTGTGCGCACTTTGTTTTCATTTGTTTTCTTTCTTTAAACTCAAGTTATTCACTGGACAAATAGCTCGTTCAGTTTACCTTGAATCACGGCCAGTTCTCTGCAGCTAGTGACACCTTTTCTTAGTTGTCGCAATTTGAGATAAAAACTGTTAGCGCTCTGCTCAAACCATAAATGTCGCAGCGAAACCGCAACAACGTCACAAATCACATATATGTATATCGATATATCGATACTTTTGCCTACGACGTCACAAATGTTGTCTCATTTCTAGTTGCGCTTGTTGCTCGCAAACCGTAAAGAGTGTTATGATTTTTGAGTATGGCAGCGTCTATACCCTGTTTTTTTTTTATTGTCCATTAGACAATAAATGGCAATACATTTGGCAGCATTTAAGTAAGGGTTTCACAGGCGACGTAGTGGCTAACAAGATCTGATGGGAGTACGTTCAGGGATTCAAACGCGCCCTTTCTTTGCTTTAACTGTACCCCATGGCATCACAGAGTTGTATCGGCTGCAAAAACATCGTTGACCGCCTATATCGATGTCTGGTCTATCGCGCAATTTTTGAAACGCTGAATAACCGACCAGCATGCAGCGAACGAGACTGGCGCTGAATCCCCCAACTTGCAAATCACATTTAAACTTTACATGAACTTTCTCTGACAATGGCCCATGGCATGGAATGGCACTGCCACTTGATGGATAGTGAAATGACTGAGCCGAAGAGTAAACACTTTTTTACACCGATTCCCGAAGCAGGAAAGCTGCAGTTCTGCAGTCTCCCTTCCCACCATTCGGTGAATTTGGTAAATGGCAAAATTGTAAAAGACTCACCTTATAAGTTCTTCTCCATGATGCGCCGCACTTCGCCAGCCTCCGAGCTCAGCTCCCAGTCGGATGAGGCGTGCCGCCCCTGTGGACTGGACCGCGACTGCACCCGGTGCAGTGTGAGGCTCCTCGGAGCGGGCACCAGGCCCTTTGCAGCCATGGGCATGCTGAGGCGTGGCGCTGGCACTGGATAGCCGCGCGGACTCATTGACAGAAGGCGCTGTTGCTGTTGCTGTTGCTGCTGCTGCTGCTGCTGCTGCTGCTGGAGGTGCTGTTGGATCATATGCTGCTGCTGTTGCTGTTGCAGCTGCAGCTGCTGGTGATGCTGTGGCGTCCAATAGATCTGGCTCTGGTGTCCGCTGGGCGCACGCTCGAGGATCAACGGCGTGGCACGGCCATCCTGCAGCACATAGGAGCTTTGGCCCTGCCCCTGGCCGGCAGCTGTACGCGCCACAAACTGCGGCTGCATGTAGAGGCTGTTGTGGTGGTAGTCCACCAGCTTGGCGGCCTGCAGGCCCTCGCCCGTCTCCACCAGCACGTACTCCGTGGGTGTGAGCCGCATCAGCTGTGGCAGCTGCTGGCTGGAGAGATACTGCTCCGAGTCGTTGGACAGCAGGCTGCTGCGCTTATTCACGTGCGCGTAAATGGGCGAGGCGGCGGCTGACACGGGCACAAAGCGCGACTGTGGCAGGCTCTGCACGCGAAGGGGCACCTGCGGCCGGGCGACGGCGCTCAGCTGTGAGGCGGAACGCTTGTGGCTGCCGGTCTCCACCGAGGCGTACGACACGGGCGAGGTGTCCGCAGCGGCGATGGAAGCGGTGGCGGGACTCCTCTGGCTCTGGTTCTGGCTCTGGCTGCGACTCTCATAGATGGGCTGCATCTTGGCCGCGGGCAGAGGCGTGCGGCTAATGGACTTGCGGCAAAACTCCTTGACCTTTTCGAGTATCTCCTCGCGTGTGAGCAGGCCGCCAATCCGGCGGCTCGAGGCACTGCTCGAGCGACGCATCACCACCGACGCCGTCGCCGCCGCCGCATCGCTGGGTGTCGCCTCGCTCTCGCTCTCATACCCACGACGTGTGTGCATCTGGTTGGGGCTCGCCTGCTGGATCATGTTGTCCAGCACACTCTGGCAGCGTGCGGGTGGCGCCTGCTGTTGCGGCTGTTGTTGCATCTGCAGCTGCTGCACCGGGATTATTGGTGTGCCGTCGAGTATCATCACCTGACGATTGCGACCGCTGATGCCCGAGAAGGTGTTGCGCTGCAAGGAGCCTCTGACAAACTGTTGCTGCTGTTGCTGCTGCTGTTGCTGCTGCTGTTGCTGTTGTTGCTGTTGCTGCTGCTGCTGCTGTTGCTGCTGCTGCTGCTGTTGCTGCTGCTGTTGCTGCTGGACCTGCTGCAGCTGATTCGGTTGCAGATGCTCGTATATGTTCTCTTGGCTCTGCTGCTGTCCTTGCTGCTGTCTCTGCTGCTGCTGCCCCTGTTGCTGCTGCTGCTGTAGCACCTTGTGGTACAGCTGACGATCGGTCACCTCCTTGATGGCCTTCAGCTTCTCCCAGTCATTCTGATGACCGTTGCTGGCCTGCTGCTGCTGCGGCTGCTGCTGATTGCTCTCCTGGACTGGCACCTTCCGCTGCGGCGTAGAGGTGGCCACTGGCCTCAGCTGCTCCTCGCTGGCTGGCGGCACATAGGCGGAGGCCAGGGATCGACGCTGGCCCACTGCCTCCAGTCGGCTGGGCTGAGTCCTTTGGCTCTGTGCCCGGATCTGGCTTCTGTCCATCGAGGCGGAGCGTTGGAAATGGCTGGCATTGTGGCTCTCCGGCGAGACGCGTCTGGGTATCAGGCTCTGCCGCTCGATGGTGCGCTGAAAGGGAGCACCCGCCGCAACTCCATTCTGCACGGAATGGCCATTGGTGTACTCGGAAGAGGGTCGCATGGCGGCAGTGGCCTGTCCATTCGGCAGACGACCGTTCTGATTCTGATGGCTCTGCCGCTCCAGCAGTATGCGCCGCATCTCCGTGGGCACATCTCCGCCACTGGCCTTGCGGTGCTCCTCCTGGCCCTGGCCATAGACGGATCTCGGCATGGGCATCATCGGCTTGGGCGTTGTCTTCCGCTTGGGCGCAAACAAACTGTTGGAGAGACGTTGCAGCACCGACAGCTTTTTGGTGTTGCTCTGCCGCAGGGCGGCCAGCGACTCGGCCACCTGCTGGCGTCGCTCCTCCGGTGTCCGCAGCAGCGAGGGCGACGGCGAGGCCATGGGCGATGCCGTCGGCGATGGTGTGGCCCCCAGCTCCCGCTTGGGCATCAAGGCCAGACCCTTGCGCTCCAGATAGGCCTGAAATTCCTCAGAGCTGATGGTGTTCGTAAATGTGGAGGGCGGTTCGTGATCCTTGGGGATCGTCGGCTGCTGCTGCTGCTGCTTCTGATTCTGGCTGCTGCTCATATCCTGAGGCGGAGAGGGGAGTTTCTCCTCCTGATTCCCGTTCGTATTTGGTTGTGAGAGATCGTCACTGGACTCGCTCTTGGTCAGCGGCCCATCGATCTCGTCCAGATCGTCGTCGGAGCTGATCTGCAGCTTCTTCACACGCTCGTCGAATTTCTTGGCGTTCTTGGTGACCTCAGCGGCATTGAATAAATCGCCCTCGGTGTCGGGAGTGCCCGTTCGTATCTTGATGTTGGCCAATTCCGGATAATTGGGCTTCGAGCACTTTTTAAATGTTTTTGGATTGTGATTCAACTTGGGCTGTTTGATTGCCTTCGGCTCTTTGTAGCGTTGGAGGCCCGTTTGCTTACGCTTGGGTATCTCCTTCTCCTTCTCCTTCTGCTCCTTCTGCTGCTGCTGCTGTTGTTGTTGTTGCTGCTGCTGCTGTTGCTGCTCCTCCTCGCACTTGAGGCGCGCGAGCACTGTGGGATCGTAGACGAAATAGGCGTCTGGATTCTTAATGTATGTCTTTACATATTTCGATTGCTTAAGTACTTCCTCGGTGGTTATGTATTCCTCAGCACCAGCACCAGCGCCAGCAGTTTGCCCTTTACCGTTCTTCTTGCGCGCATTCGTCTCGTTCTTCTGCTGCTCTCGTTCCCGCTCTCGCTCCCGTTCTCGTTCCTTTTCGCGTTCTCGTTCGCGTTCGCGCAGCTGTTGGGTCACCGTTTTGCGCACGCTCAATGTCGATCGCTTTGTGGGCACTGGCGGTGGTGTCTTCTTCGTCTCTCTGCCTGCTACTCCTCCCACACCCGCTATATGGCCATTCCGAAAGGGATTCTTTTGATCAACAATCGGCTCGCCGGTCGTAAATTTGCGTATCTTCTCGTCGTTTGGATTGAAGCTCACCGTTTTCTTTTTTGCCTTGACGCTCCCCTTTTCCAGTGTGGCATAGCACGACGCATCACTCTCAAAGGCCTCCACTATTTTCAGAGTTGCATCTATATAGTCGATCGTATCGCTCTCTATCTCTGATTCTCGCTGATTTGCTGTACCGTTTTCTACACTCTCTTCTTGCGGTTCGGCTTGTGGTTGTGGTTGTGGTTCGACTTCGACTTTGGCTTTGGCTTCGCTGATTACATTGCCATTTGGTTTGCAATTTCTCTCCTCGATAATCGCCTCAGACATGTTTCGTTATAGAAGCTTACCAGTGGCTGCTGACAACAGGGTGGTGTTGGCAATGAGGAGGGGTACAGCTTGGAGGGGGCTTGGAGTGGAAGAGTTGGAAGAGTGGAAGAGTTGGAATTGGATTTCGTATGTCCGCCCACCATTGATAATGCCTGGCCTGAATGTCCGTTAATGGAAATCTAAATAAAAAAATAACAAGGGAATTATTTTATTCATTCATTTGATCATTCATTGATCCATTCATTTATACGTACGTCTAAATATCTCTTCCTTTTTTGTGTGGGCTAAGAAGAGTTCCCACGCAGTCTCCATTCAACAGTTTCGTTTATAAATTAGCCACCAGAACCTGGAAAAATGCCAAAAAGTTTAGCGTAAATATTAAGTAGTATAGGGTAGGGGTAGGGGTTAGCGGTAGCGGTAGCGGTGGGGGAGCAGTGATGATGATAATTCGTGTACTCGTAATCCCTCAATTTGCCATCGCCCTCTCTTTCAGTCTCTTTCCATAAATTTCATGGGCCATTAATCAACAAATGGCTAAACAAAAACAAAAAACAACGAAATAAAAACGCAGAAACTGGTTTTTTTTTTTTTTTTGGCAACTTTTGTATCGATTCTGGTTATACAGAGCCAGGGCCCACAGCCACAGCAAGGTGCTTGATAAATAGTTGATAAATATCCCCCCCAATTGAAGGCCCAACACCTACAACACTCTACAGGTATAGTTTTCCGATTTATATCGGTTTACATTTTCATTGGCTTCTCCCTTTAAATAAAAACCTGGAAACCTCATAGACTACGGAGAAAGAGAAATGGAAATATTCGATTTTGTAGCGAGGGCATTTCCATTCTGGAGTTATAAACAGAACGAATATGAAAATTGTAATTTTTATAAAAATGATAAGAAATTTTATCGCAAAAAAAAAATTAAAATAAAGTTTCCCCATCAAAGTTCATCAGATTTAGAGAATATAAAATCGAAACCAAATGTTATGGTAATGTGTGTTCAATTGAAATTAAATGTTTTTTGGCATGCTTGAAATTCTTTCTTGATCTAAAATGAATATTTTTCAGAGTACTTAACAAGCTTTAAAATATGTATTTTTCATGGAAACTTTTGCGACAGTCCTGAAGTTCAAACAAGTGTAGTCCCCCCCTGGGTATTTTCTTTTGAAGTAACCTAAGATTCTGCTGAGTGTTGCCCCCATTGTGGTGGCTCTATTATGGGTCAGGCATCGCCTTATCTTTAAACACCAATCAGTGGCATGCCACCGGAGAATGGAGGAATTGTCAGTCAGAGAATGATGGAAGCAAGGAAGAAAAGATGAAATCAATATTTTACAATAATATCGCGGGGAGGGGAGGAAGGGGCCTCCAAAGGTGACACTCTGCATAGAATGTGGGTCAGAGAGCAGCCCCAGCCCCAGCCCCAGCTGACTGACAGGGTGGGGGGGTTGCTTGCAGGAGGGATGGGCAGCCAGCGAGGAGACGACTTAAACCGGTTTGCTGCATTTCTAAGTGCACAAACATCCAATTTGCATAACCGGGGGCCCCGTTTTGCGTTATTTTTTTTTAAATCCAAACAGTGGCGTCGCTGGATCGGATGGGGTAAATAAATGGGAACACTCGCTCCGAATCATGACTGAGATCTCTAAAAGATTTAAACCTTAAACCTTAGGTTATATTTATTGCTGCTTGGATATACGAATATGAATATATATATCAATAGATTTTCAGCGTTAGTGATCTATTGATATATTTGATCTAAATCTATTTTTAAATTTTAAATAAATAAATATAGAATGTAAATAAAATATATGACACATTTAAATTAAATATTTGTGTGCTCAAGATAAATACATTTTCATGTTTAAATGAAATATATTCATATTTACATTAAATATATTTCCCAAAAATTTAATATATTATATTTCTTTTAAAGATTAAATATGGTATAAAAAAGGTAATTTTATTTAAATTCACTATATTTTGAATTTAAAAACCGAATGTTTCATTTAAATATTAAATATTTAAATGCGATTCTTTTCATTTTACGTTGCCATTTTTCGCCCAGTCAATGCAGAATTCTGTGACGAGTCTGAGCCGCATTTTTTTGGGGGCTGCCCCTGCTTATGATGATGAGCTCATGGCCTACGCCACTGTTTCAGCTCGTAGTACAATATCTAGTGCACCTTGGATACACGGACAGTTGCGCATTTAGAGCTCGCCTCATGAAATCGACGCTAAATTGCAAATTGCTCAAAGACCCGAACCGACCCGACCCGCCTTGCCTCCTCCCACTCCCACTCCCAGTGCCATTGTGCCACATTTGTGCTCGTGTGTTAATCCATCGCTAATCTGGTCTCTCGCCTGCATGCGATTATTATTTTTTATAATTTTTACATAGATTCGAAACTCTTGGGAAACAAAAAATAGTACCTTTTGGGCCATGCTACGACGGGCAGGTGTGTCCAGTTGCAGAACAGAACCCCCTGCCCGGCACTACTAGTCGAAAACTGTCGACCGTGAACCGTGGCAATGGCCAGAAATCACATAAAATTATATGGCACCACCCTTCTGGTTCACTGTTCAGAATATACTATATAGAATATTTTTTTTTTTTGTTTCTCTGGGGGTAGCCATAGCCTGGCGGGGGTCATAATCGGCCACCCTTAGAACTAGCAACCACCCCAAACAGCTGAAGGCCAAACCATCCCCCGTAACCCCGAACCCCGAACACCGACAACAACAAAACAACAAAACAACTCTCTGGAGAAAGTTCTTGGATTATTGGAAAACATTTCATTGCGTTTCGGTTGCAGTGCAGAGAAACACACACACATTTTTCGTTGCATGGCCAAAATCCATTCGATATGCCATGTGCCACACACAAGGCGCACGAAATTCCAATCGAAAAACATTCCAAATGCCACTTAATTTTATTGCCAGGGGAAACCCCCTAACACAAAATATGTCCCACTAAATCCGCTAGCCTGCAATACAATAGCCTCTAGCATTGCTTATCCCCTGAAAGAAATGCTCCCTAAAATGATTACTTGTTTTATTTACCAATATCAAATATTGTTTAATTTGTAAAAGTATTTTTCCTTTTCTCATATAATTATTTTGATTGTTTTTTCACTCCTGTATTTATTTTTTATTCCTAAGATTTGATTGCACATTTAGCAGATAATTCTTAATTAATTTTATAAATATATTTGCAGATATTTTAGTTCTCCAAAGGCATCTAAGCAATTGGTTAGCCTTTTTACTTTCCTTTTCTGTTCTTTTTCTTTTTCTTTTTCTTTACAATAAAATCAAAATGTTTATAGAAAGTTCTTGGGCTAAGAATGTTTTTCTTTGTAACGAGAGTTCCACTTCACTCCACTTTCGCTCTCATTTAGAGTCTTAGTTTCTATATGTCTATATTTTTGGTTTGGTTTTTTTTTTTTTAATTTGAAAAGTTGTTTAGGTTACAGAAAGCTTTATTTTTGGGGGAAAATTACACTTTAAAACTGTTTCAGGTTCTTTGTGGGAAAAACATGTAGTATGCCTTTTTTTGTGGCCCCCCGCCCCTCGAGTGGGCGAAGTACCAAGAGATGATCTACAAGTATTAAGTGCTCGTATTTATTCATTTATTTTCCATACTTTGGAGGATTTCCTTTATATGTGTACAACGTCTTTGTGTTGCTGTGTTGATCGTCATCGATTAAAATGTTTGATTTATATTTCCGCAACATTTGTTAATCTTTTTGAAGCCGCTCCAAATCGATGGAGGAGCAGCCACGCAATTTTGTTGTGAATCATTTCTTTTTGGCCAGACTTTTATCAGATATACGATTGGATTGAATGTTATGGTCCTTTGTCCATCCATACACACACACACACACACACCACACACACTGGGGGATATTTGTTTAGTGGTATGTGGAGATTTTGGCGCATGACTCGAACGTCATAAAGTCAATGACCATCGGCCCAGACCAGACGTTGTTTATGTCCGCATCTTGCGGATGAGCTGCGACAAATGTCCAGACCACTCTGCCTCATGACTCATGCAGCTGGAGGATGCAGGCAACGAGGATAGTTTGGGCCAATCGATAGATGAAAACACATTTGCCAAAAAAAAAAAGAAATTAAAAAGACTCCCCAGCTGCCTGGGAATTGGGAAACTTCAGCCTGGGCCTGCTGCCCAGGCTATGCTGATGGGATGGGCTGTGTCTTGTAATGAACGCCTTAAACGCGTAAACAAAACGCGAGGGAATGTGTAAAAACAACAACAAAAAAACACGCAGCACGCAGCCCAACTGATGACTGACATTGACGATAAATGAACAATCGACCTCAATAAAGGCAGACAACAACAACAACAACAACAGCACACACTACAGAGAAGAGCAGCCAGCCGCCCGCCGCCCGCCGCCAGTCCGTGTACTTACTATTCCGCTCTATTCCCATATCTTACCCCAGTACGTATGTACCGTACATATGCCCGCCAGATATCTACGACTCGGGAAATTTTCACTCGGGGAATTGAGTTGATCAATTTTATTAAGGTGCTCTCTCTCTCTCCCCGACCCCCCTACGCGAGCGCAGCAGCAGCAGCAGCAGCGGCACTTGGATAAGTCAAGAGCAGAAACAAAAGGCGGTAACAATGGACTTTATGCCGACCAATAAATGGCTATAGGAAGTACAAATGATACGTAAAATCCATTGGGCCAATATCTATATTTATCGGAACAATTTTAAGATCTGCAAAAAACTACTGACGGCTCGAAGAAAATATATGTGGGAAATTAAATAAATGTAAAACAAATTACATATTTATTTTAAGATTTTTCCAGCCTTTAATCTTGGCTAAAATATATTTCATGCTCGTAAATATTTTTGTAAATATTAATGTGCATATATTAATGACAGCAAACCATCATTATGCTAGCTTGAGCTGATACTTGATACTAGTTGATCTATCCCTGCTATCCCTACCCTATTCCAGAGCTAAGACTGTCAAAAGTTCTATTGTATTGCCTTTATTCCATCTAGAAACCCCATAAATATCATATCTCTATTTGAGATCTTTTGGCATTGAACCACAGAGTTCCACTTAGCACTCAGCTTTATTTAATTTATAATTTAGTCATGCCGCCCGGGATATACGTATTAGTATTCACTCGACAGCCCAACAGCTTAACAGCTTAATGCTTAATAAACGTACATACAGTTGTGCACATTAAATGCAATTCCACTATTTAGGCTAAGTGGCAGTAAAATATTGTCCAAAATAAGACACGAATAATATCACATGATTGGGGCGACGGGACACCTGATGATGGAATATTTCGCTGACATTTAAAGGTCCTTCAAAACCATTTGAAATAATTGAGTTTCCAGCAAAGATCTAGCGAGTATCGTATCTCGTAGATTGCTCGTTCAAATTGCCATTAAATGTTCCCTAGGGAACGGGCACGCCATCGAAAGTCTCTCTCAAAGTCTTGGCCTTTCTTTTAACATGTTCTTTTTGGTGGAGTGGAGTGGCGTGGAGTCGAGTGGAGTGGAGGATGGAGTCGAAACATTTTTATGCTGCCCCAAGACCCATTTTATTTTGGTCAATTTCAATTCCGTTTTAGTGCTCGCGACTTGAACTTTAGAACCTGGCAAACAGGTTGGGTCAAGAGTGTGGCTGTGGCTGTGGCAGTGGCTTGTGGCTTGTGGGGGCTGTTGTGTGTTCTCAAGCAATGCCTCCTCGACTTGACTTGCCACAAAACGTAGAACGTTGAACGTTGAACGGACGTGAACGTGGAGTAAGCAGCGTGTACCAGTATGCGGATGCTTCAAACGATACCCAGACCAGACCACACCAGACCAGACTACTCGTACTTGTACTCGTAAAGTGCTGGCGCAATTTTCGGTGCTTCGTGACGCCACTCTTGACCAGTCCGAACCACGCGCAGAACGTGGCTCTGGCATTGGGTTCGTTTTTTTTTGTTGCTTTTTTTTATAATTTTTTTGGCTTTTTTTTTATGTGGCTCTGGTTTCAGATTGGAGCCCTCGACAATGCCCAATTGCTGGGACTGTTGGAGTTGTACGCACGCACGCACGCACAACGTAGTACCCGCTCCGCTCGGCTCCGCTCCGTTCCTCGCATAATTAATTGCGCAACACTTACGGCACAGAGAAGAGATCTCTCCATACAGATTTAAGTACGTACAAATGTATGTTGTATGTGTACATATTTGTGTGTTGTGTGTGTGTTGTGTGTGTGTTTGTTGTGTAATCAAATATCAGCTTGAATGAAGAGCTGAGCTGAAGAGCCTAGCCTCAGGCTCCGTGTCTCTGGCACTGTCTCTGACTTCTTTAGCTCTGGCTTTACGACTCTGAAGTATCTATGTACTCTATGTATTTCATACCCTTCCTCCGTAGTTCGTGGAGATCCCAAAAGGGCATATTGGACTACCTGGAATCTGGGAGCATTCATTCCACTGAGTTTGAATCAATCAATGGCTTTTGTATATTCACAAATATAAATATAATATAAATATTAATAGATTTAAATCAGAATAAATATTATATATTATATTCTATAGCCAGAATGAATTATTGTCTGTTGCTGGATATTTTCATGGAAATTGAATTCTCTCTTTAGTCATTTTTTTGTTTGGGTTGTGTTTTAAATGGAGTAACCCATAGTCGTGACGCTGTTCGTTTTGGGGCATTATATCGCTCTGTGTGTTGCCTTTGTATTTGCTCTTTTTATTTGATCTCGATGAGGAGTAGACGGAGGTGTAGGAAGCGGGGCAGAAGGAGGAGATGTGGCAAGAGGCGGCAGAGAAGTCTTGCGGCCAAGCGAGGAGATGAGATCAGGCGGATGGATGTTGGTTGGATGTTGTGGTCCGTTCGACCGTTCGTCCGTTCGTCCGTTCAGCCGGCTCAAGTGTTTGTTTTGATTTACGAGAAATGTGCGTACGAGAAATGCCAGAGATGATATTTACGAGTATACTCTCGTATTTATATTTATATAATGATATGCATGGGGGCCTGGGGGCCTGGGGCTTGCGGGCTTGGGGCTTGGGGCTGCTCCCGGGGCAATCTGTGCAATCTAATGAATCTTTAATTGTTCACTTAATACGTCACATGTGCGCGTGGCAGTGGCAGTGGCAGAGTCAGAGAATGGTTTTGGTTTTGTGGACCAATTGAGTGGCGGCCACTTCTCCACTCCACTCCTGCTTCTGCTGCTGCTGCTGCTGCTGCTGCTGCTGCTGCTCTTCCCACCCATCCACAACTGTGGATTGTGACCTTTGGCTAATCTGGGGGCCCACATTCCCCCCATTCCGATCATCAATTTGAAAATTTAAACATTCAGTTTTCAGTTTTGTAGTTTTGTAGTTTACGGTTTTCCATTCCACACAATTAATTGATGGAAGATGACGTCGCAACAATAGTTGCCCCCATTGACCCATCAAATTCCTATCGATGCCCAAGCTGGCTCGCTGCGGTGTAACTACAGTGGACACTGGCTATATTGTCAACCACAATTCTTGCTTTGGGAAACTGATCAACAACATTTGAATAAGCCATAATCCAGCGAAGGAAAACACTTAAAAAATTTCATTTTCATTTTTTTTTTTTTTGTTTTGTAAAATGTTCCTAGCAATAAGTTTAAATTTTTTTTTAATTTCCAAAAATCATAGAAAACACCCATTTAGAATGTAGAAAATCTTTAACTTAAAATTGTTTAATTTCATTTTTTTCTATAAAATTATTTCCTATCAAATATAAAAATAATTGCGTAAATATCTAAAGTTTCTCGATTTTTATTTTGACTTTCAGCTATAGCTAATGCTACCTTTTTAGTGAGTACTTTCCATAGGCATTGCTCAAACTTAAAAATTCCTTTGCGGTATCAGCCATTAAATCATGAAAACTCATTGAACTGAACTGAACACCCTTGGCCATTGCTGACGGATCCTTATCGAGCTTCACTGTTCACTGTTTATGTCTGCTGTCAAAGCCCATCACGGGTATGTCAAATAGCTTATATATATATATTTTTTTTTTTTGCACTATCTGGGTTAGGTTTTTACTAGACTATAAATCTGAGCAGCGGCTGAGCGGGGGATTGCCTTCATCAAATGCTAAATGTGGCGAGTCCCCGGGCCGTGCCGGGTCCCATGCGATGCGGCGATATTGATTGATTTTAACAATCGCCCCATAAATGGCCGTCCGGTACGGGTCCGGCGGCGGCACCGGCGTCGGCGTCGGTGGCGGCGGCACTGCCACTGATTACAACCTGCGGCTGTGCTGTGATGTGAGATGTGTGAGTGGTACACGTCATCGCGCGTCCACTGTATCCCCACCGTTCATTGTGCATCATATATATGTACATATGTATGTATGTACATATATATCGCATACACCACATGACGTCACTCGCTGTTGCCTCAGAAGGAAAAACGTTTGTTGTACGCCGCGCCGTACCATGGAGCCCCCCCCCCAAAGAAGAAGTTGGGTGTAGAAGTTGGGGAGTTGGGGCAGTCTTTCTTGTGTTTCATTTCGTGGATAGCTCACGAGTCGCACCGAGTGCACCAGTGGAGTATCTGCGCTGTTTTGTGGAGATTGTGCAATGGCTGGAAGCACCAGAAGTGTACACACAGACACACACACACACACACACGAGATACGAAGGTAGCTACAATGTTGCAAAAGCACCGTTAAAACGCCAGCGGATATCAATATATGTTTGTGCCACAATGGAGGTAAAAATAATAGTGGTGCCTGGCCTGCCTGCCCTCAGGGAAAGCTAACACCTTTTGATCCTATTTGGCTTTATCTATGGAATATTTTCACATTTATTCTCTTGCGAAAAATAGAGAGAGAGTCCTTCTCTGCAGAGAGTATTTTTCCACACAAAAGTCTGACGATATTACTGCTGTGCACATGCAAAAAAATATTAGCAGGATATACATCTAACCACAGGCTTCTACAGCGGTGGGCACTTCCTTGCCTGATTCTCGACTCGAGACGCACAAGCAAACGCCGCAAAAGAGAACCCCCAAGAATGTGAAAAAAATCAACATACATTGCGTGTGCATGACCGCTGCTATACAGAAATTATAGTACTTCTTTATCTGCAAATATGTATTTGTATCTACCATGGGAGATGAATCGGAGAAAGAAACAACTGTAATACATATTTCTAAAGATGTTTTAAATATTTTTACAGTTCAACTTTTAACAAAAATCAAATCAATCGTTAATTTAGTGTGCTACAGGAAAGACCGCTTTGAAAGCTTAAATATCGCGCACGATATTGTACATATGTATGTACATCTATATGTATATGCATTTGCAAAGGTCTTATTCATATTTAAACATGAAAAAAAAAACGTACACAGTGACTCTCCACTATTATAGTCACGCACATGAGATTGAGTAGAGAAAAAAAAGGTAATTTACAAATAGATAATGGTAGTCTTCTGTAGTCTGTGCATAAATTTGAATATTTTCTGTGTGATCTATTGTTTTGTTCATAGTCGTACATTAATTTGCCACAAATTTATCGCTCAAATGCTGATGTGTAAGTACATTTGTGGGTAGGTACTGCCACGGGTACGGGTACGGGTACGGGTTTATGTGTATCGAATTACATTAGCAGAGACCCGAGCTGCGGTCTGGAATCAACAGGTGAACTACTAACCTACCAACCAGCAGCAACCACTCGACCGTCCGAACTCAACCCTACTCCCTAGAGGGGGGGGGCAGGGGAGAGGGCAAACGGTGCCTCCAGTCTCGTGTCGAGTGTGTGGTTCGGTGGAGCCCTGCTGCTGCTGCTGCTGCTGCTGCCGCTGTTCAGTGGAGCAACTACTCGTACTCGTAGTCGTCTCGTACCGCTCGCTGGGGGGAAATTCAGTTGCAATTATTACACAGATGCTTGCACAAACAATTTTTATGACATCGGAGTCGAGACCGGTGGCTGTCTCCCTGTCTCCGATTGTCTGCCTCTGCCTCTGCCTTTTGCCTTTTGCCTCTGCGGTGGGGCGGGCTCTGCCGCTGACGATTGACATTTGATTTGATTGCGTTTACAGCAGCCGGCTGCCGGCTGTGCGACCTGTACCCCATCCCGCACTTCTCTCTATCTGTATCGCTCTATCTCCCTCTCGACTGGGCGGGGCCTTGGGGTTGATGTACCGCTTCGCCATAAAATGTTGCGCAAGTTTTCAGAAGTAACACGAAACGGGGCAAAAGGAAGAGAGACCCCCCATACCCCGTACCACATACCCCATACCACTTGCCAGCCAAAAATTAAACGTAATCGTATTCGCACAAAACAAAAACAAAAACCAAAAAGCAACGAAAAACGCTGTGTGTGACTTTTCCGGCAGTTAGTTAGACTTTGTTCATATTTGCACAAATACAGAAAAACAAACAGCAAAACAAAAAAATACAATATTTTGGTACAGTGAAGTCACTGCAGGGCACACAGCCAGGTCTTTGGCAATTGGTCAGATCGATCGTTGTATGGATGATTTTCCGGCCCCGCAGAGAGCGCAGAGCTTTTACTGTAGGCACTTAATGGGTAGAATTGCACACGTCAGTGGTGTGCTTTACGAGTACATAACGACATTCAATGGGGGAATGGTATGGTATGGTATGGTATGGAATGGAATGGAGATTACACTGGCATGTGAGGGTCTCTTTCACGTGTTGTGTGTGTGTGTGTGTGTGTGTGTGTGTGTGTGTGTGATTGGAGGTTGCTTGCTTGGCTTGGCGGGGGCTTTTTCGGTTTCAGTTCCCACTTCCAGTCATAAATCATGATATTTCGTTATGACATTTCGACTGTGACTGTATTAGCACATTACAAACAGCCATCACACCTACACAGCAGATTCACCTTGACAATGTGTGATAACGATCACGATCCCATTATGATGGATGTGTGCGTGTGTGTGCAAACAAACAGCTGTGTTTGAAAACTGAAAAACATTTGTATGTGTCAGTACAAACTTCTGGAAAGATATTCACTCATTCACAGCTGCGGTAGAGATGTTAGATGCTCTGACTATTATTCATGAAATCGAAGAAAATAATTACAGAATTATACAACTAAGGCCATAAGCATTTAACTTTAAAAATGTGAATACAAAAAAACATTTCTGATATTAAACTGGGAAATCTATGAACAAGTTTTAAGACACTTTCCCATTCCATACCCAAGGGAACATTTTATTGTGTAAATATGCCTAACCAGCCCCAGGGTAGGGTAGGACCACTATTATGTTGCCCTCATCTGTATGTTTGTATGTCTGTATCGTATGCCTGTATGCCTTTCCAGACATAAGACGTTTTGAGACGACTCACGGCAAACAAATACATGGGAAGTACACAAGCTTTTTTCTTTTTATTTTGGCACACCCTTTGCCAATGTCTGTATGTATGTATGTATGTATGTGTTTATGTGGAAGAATCCTTAAACCGGTATGGGCTATGGGTTAAGGGGGTATCGGGTGTCAGGCCGGGCAACGTCATCGTTATGCCACGCCGAAAAACGCGCCTTGAAGACAGCTAATATACGAGTACATGATTGTATACAATAAGGCCCCTGTCTGACTAAGCACCAGTGCATATGCATAAACATACATATGTACATACATACATTCAGGTATCTATAGTATATTTTATCCATATTTGTTTAATATATTTAAAAAAATGGCACTTAGTTAGTTGGTTAAACAGGCAGCTGTTGGGGCCTGGTGGCATAGCTGTTTTTCGCTTGCCAACAACAGCAACAGATTGCAAAAAGATTAAACCCCTCTGATAAGATAGCAACAATTATCTTAGAGCGAGCGCACACAACAACAACAACAACAAACACACACACATACATACAGATTGGATCCGCTCCGCTCCAATTCTAATTTGAATTCCAAGCAATGACACACTACAGAGAGAGTAAGAGCGAGAGAGAGGCTGGAAAAACCCAAGCCAAGCAAACACACACACATATACAAATAGTGGTGCACATGTATGCACTTGGAAAGCAGCGGAAGATGCATTTGGAGAACAACAACAAGAATTAGAGAGAGAGAACGCTATTGATCTGCTGCGAGTACAGGCAAAAAAATACCCTTTACACTCAATAGAAGCCATAGCGGACGTATGGATTTTATGTTTCAAACCGCAGATGCCACAGTTTTAGTTTTCTTCTTTGGGAAATTAATATTCATTCGCCAATCATTTTGGGTGCATGGGTAGAAAAACACCAATCGAAATTCGATTCATGCTGCCTGCTGCATATACCCTTGTATTTTACGAGTACCAGGGTGTCAAAAGCAACTGTGAAAGACATTAAATTGCAGCCGGCGTTGCTGCCACAGCGCTGCTCTACTCTCTTCCGCTCTTCTCCCTGTATGGCTTTGATTTTGTTGTTTGTTGCTGTTGTAGCGCAGCCTAATCTCTTCCGCTCCACTCCATGCATGGCTTTGCTTATGATGCTGTTGCTGCTGCGGCTGCGGCTGCATCGCTGCTCAGCTCTGTACCGCTTTGCTTTGGCTGCGCTGCTGTCTTCTCTTCTCCCCCTTTGCATGTCATTGCTTTTTCCGCTCTGCCTCTAACTCTGTGCTCTGGCTGCTGTAGCGCTGCCCACTCTCTTCCGCTCTGCTCCCAGCACCTCTTTCCTTTTGCTCTGCTTTTGGTTTAGCTTTCTTCGTTGTTGCCTTTGTTACCGTTATTGTTATTGCAGCGGCTTTAGTGTGCCGTTGCGCACAGTTGGTTTAATAATTCGAAAATGTTTTCGAGTGTATGTTTCCCTTTCCCACAAACCACCATTTTGAGGCACAGAACAGCTCTGTTTTGTTAATGTCGTTGCCCGGGGAGTGGGTGAGGGGTTCGGGCTACGGGCATCGGTTATGGGTACACGGGACAAGGCACTGGCACGGGGTTCATTCACCGGCAAACCCAACCAGAGACAAATGCCAATAAGAACATCCCGAGTTGGTCGGACTCGTAGAAAAACTCCAATTCTTGGTTAAGCCGCAACACAGATACTATCACCACACGCACACACACACACACACACACAGATACAGCTCACACACATTCAACAGAGGCTCGTTTTTTTTTTTTGGTGGTTGTTGTAGTGTTATTAATTTCGCCGTAAACGACCATTAACTTAACTCATAGGCACGTTAAAAAAAAGGCTATTGTGTACCTCTCTCTCTCACTCTCTCGAACGCTCTCCTTGACTGTTGGCTTGCAAAAAGCAGTCAACCGCTCCGCTTCCTCCGGTAATTATACAAAAACAATAGTAAAGACAATTTACTACGCGCACTATACGATGGAAAACGGCGGGTAAAAA